GCTGCTCATCCAAAATGATGTGTCTGTACCTTAAGTAACGAGACTTTTGTTTTATATAGTCCTGTGATTTCCAAACCTAAAATAGGGCGTCTCGCTTATTTTATGTACTTAGTTAACATTTGCGTATATGAGGCCGATCAAAATTTTATTACTTGACTTAATTGATTATTTTTATAGCTCTGGACATGTTTGAAATTACATTAGGAAAATACTACTCGTATCCAAAATCATGTGTCAGCCTAAGTTAATTACCAGTTTATTTTTCCTTATGGATAGTTGTTTTTAGTTGTTAGGCCACTCTGCCTCATATGTACTGTCTGTTATAAAAACAAATACAAATACTTACATATAATGACCTCTGACAAGTATCGACTATGTTGCAATTATGGAAATTCGGTACATTGATGGATCATGCATTCTATGGTTTAACATAATTTAAATACCAGCTCTGCCTAAGATTTATTTACTGAATTAATGTGAATTTGAAATAGTATGATTGAGAATCGGCTACTTTAATATACCGATGTGTTGTGGTCCGCGGCGCCATGTTTAACACTTGTTTTATCGTAAGTTATTAATTTGAAGAATTTATTTATAGTAAATATGTTTACTTGTAATTTAGTCAGATAAGCTAAGTTCACTTGATGGTACATGAAACACGATGTAACGATGTGGTGTCGACCTATTTTGGGTTTATATTCGCAAATTCACAGACTGAATCAAAACGCGATTAAACTTCGTGTCTTTTTCATCTGTGGACGGCGGTTCGTAAACGTCCGGAACTTCGATATTCCTACCACCCATTCAATATCTAGATATCCAGACGAAGTCTAACAAGTTTCAGAGATCGAACCAATGGTCCGGTAATTAGTCGTACAATGCGGCCAATTTGAAATTGATAAAATTAAAATCTTCATCAAACAGCAAAAAAAAAAAAAAAAAAAAGGGAAAAAAAAAAAAAAAAAAAAAAAAAAAATTAAGGGGGGTTTTTTTTTTGGGGGGGGGGGGGGGGGGGGGGGGGGGGGGGGGGGGGGGGGGGGGGGGGGGGGCCCCCCGGGGGCCGGGGGAAAAATTTAAAAAAAATTTTGGGTTTTAAAAACGGAAAAGTTTTTTTTTTAAATTTGTAACTACTCGCGTAAACTAAAACAGTATCGCTTATATAATTTAAACTTTAAAGTATTGGCAAACCTTCCAATAGGCTTATTGAGTATGAAATATGTGGCACTATGCAAAACAGCATTATGTAAATCCGTTTGCGAATTACTCTATGGGGATTAGGATTACTATGTTCCACAGATTGCAAACTTGAAAATTAACAAGAAATATGCTTAGACTCTGTGGAACAATATATTTTGGCGCGAAAAATCGTGGTTGGAATTTAAAACTTGATTTGATTTTTTTTATTGTAGTTGATCTGTTTTCACAAAAAAAGAAACTATATATATTAGAATAAAAATTGAAATATGATATTTTATTTATATACATATAATAATTATGTAAACTTACGATAGTGGGTTTAGATAGCAGGGTTGTAGTTTATAATTATATGTTATAAGATTATTCCTGTCCTGTGAAAAGCTGTGAAGTATAAAATCTGCGTTGCGATTTTCGCTTATAGATTTCCGAGTCGATAGCCCATCTTAATAACATGTTATACTAGAACTACCTACTAAGTGAAAGCTCAAAAAGCTTGTTTGATTTCTTTTAAGTCATAGTTAAGTTAAGTTAATTAGTCTTAGTTATTTTCACAGCAATTTTACAAAAAATATATTCACAGTACAGGCTACAAGATGTAAGAGAATAACAATTACCATAATTGATATCTTAATTTTACAAATTTAATAATTCATTATTAGCGTATAATTTATTTTATTACGCGGACATATCTTAAATCAAACGCACAGAAGGCTACATAATTCATAGGGAAACGCATCTTTTATCGTATAATTCTCATTGGAAGAAGATAGATACCGCCATATTGATTTATCTGACAGACAGTGTTGCAAGATATTTCGCGAAAATGCCTGTTTCTCATGGGCTGAAAAGGTAAACGTTGTTAGCGACGCAAATAGTACGTCTATCTTATTTACTACAGTTGACAGCTGTCACTGTCAAAATTTCGCTTATGAAAAGGCCAATATATTTAAGTGGGACGCTCCGTTTTGCACTTATAATATTGGTTTAACCCTAAGAATACTATTATCTATATAGATGTCGACATCTAAGTATATTTAATCTGTAGAAACTATTATATTTTGAAGAACTTTTGAAAATTATTTTAACTACGGCCCGACGTTACGTATCGTCTCTCCGTGACCACGGCTGCTGAAAAGCATCCGAAAAGTCGGGCCGTAATTAAATATAATTTTGTACTTAGTATCGCGTAAACTACAGACAGTACTTAAAAAACAAAGTACAAACGTTTATTTCTTTATCAAACGATAAGATCGAACGATCCAGTATAGATAGCTCCACGTTTATCCTAACAAATTATGATGCAAAATTTCATCAAAATCGGTCGAGACATTTCAGCGTTAAAGACATCCATACGTTTATTATGTATACCTTTAACAAAAACTTTCCCATATATTGATTAGTATAAAAGTATTATAATCTATTCTTGTAATAATCGATTAATAATTAATTATTAATCGATTTATAGCAGATTACTTTCAAAACTCTTTATACATACATATGTAACCTTACTTTAGTTATAATTAACGACGCAAGTCAAAGGTTATAAATACCTCATTCGCAAAGTTGGTTACGTAAGCGACATGTGTACGCATGAGATAATTAAAATTTCAACCTAGACGTTGACAGATGGACGGACATCGAACTGGCGACCGGTGGCTCGTAAATGTACAGTTAGTTGCAAAATATGTTTTCGAGTATTCATTTTTAATCGGATACATATCTTAGTTTTAACTTTTCCCATTGAATCATATTGAAATTATACAATCGGGTAGAAAATTTGTTGGTAAAAATTTGGTAGTGGTTTTAAGTATTGTATAATATTAATATACTATTTTTGTATATATGTAATGCTTTTAGTATTCGGCCGATTATAAGTGTCCAGCGGCTTTTTTTTTCTTGGCGCCCCGTTTTGGGGGCCCCCGGGGCCACGGCTACTGCAAAGCATCCGAAACGTCGAGGCGAAGTTAAAAATTTTTCAAATAACTTATTAAATAAATCGCGTTTTAACACTTAAAGTGTTTTATTTAAATGTGTACTACTCGCGTAAACTATGACAGTATCTAAATAATATACTATTTTTGTATATATGTAATTTTAGTATTCGCTTAGTAAGTGTAGCGTTAGCAAGGGAAAAAAATAAAAACTTATTAAATAAATAAACACTTATTCTATGAGTGTTTTATATATTTAAAGCTATTCAAAGAAATATAATTTTAATTACATTATGAATTGCCAAAAAATATTTAATTTCTTAAAGCGCCTGTAGTTTACGCGAGTAGTACACATTTAAGTAAAACACTTAAACGGTTTAAAACGGTGTGTTAAATTTAAATAAACCGTGACAAAAATTGACTGTATTAAGAACGTGCACAAATATTTACACTTAACACCGCAACTGTACACGACAAGTTCAAGAAATGTGTGCCATCGGGTGACCTCTCGCGTGCACAATAGAAAATAACTCCTATTCCTTTAACATAAAGAATATTTTACTGCAATGAAAACATTACGCCACTGCGCTTATTGAGTATTGCGTACATGAAATTGAGAGTGAAAAGTTACAAATTTTGACTTATATTTGTGTTAAATATTACAAAGTCTTTTCTATTATGTAATTTTTACTAACATTCTTAGTTGAAGTTACATAATATAATAAAAAAGGGCCGTTGCCATGGCCACAGTAAGCACATTCTTATCAACAAAATATATTAAAAAGCTAGCTGTGTCAGCGACTTCGTCCACGTAGAACAGTTTTTTTCGGGCATCCGAATTTGTTTTTGCAAACCGAGGAGGTTTCATTTTTAATAAATTTAAGCTTCCCGTCGCTCTTGCCAGTTAACAATAGCTAATAAGATAGACATAATATAGTGTCGCGGACATTTTATCATAAATATTATTTGGTAACTTAAACCGTTTTTGCACGCGTACGCATCGGTTACTCACAACGACACAAATAGTTTTCCCCGTTTTCTCCACATTTGCCTCCATTTCTTTGCTCTTATTAGACACAGGGCAATGTTTTATAGCCTTCCTCGATGAATGTTCTAACTAACACAAAAATATTTTTAATTCGAACAGACAAACAAACTTTTCAGCTTTATAAATTAGTATAGATAGAAATATTGGTTACCATGACAACGACAAACTTTTTACAGACTGAACATTGTGTAAAGAGATATTGGGTTACGATAAATAGATTTTGTAGTTATAAACTATATAACTTATATATATATAACTAATTAGTGGCACAAAATCACTTCATATAAATTAATAAAGTAAATAAAGACTTAAGAATTTAGAATATACAAGGTTTCCATTTGTTAAATTGAATAGTAGTTATGCTAAAATTATCTATGAAATTAATCAAATATGTTATGTACATAATTTAGTAATATAGAAAATAAGTATACATAATTATTAATTAAGCTAATCACTCTATACACGGTGGTTTAAATCTTTTTGTAAATTTAATTTTAAAGTGAAATCCTGTTTCCCCCTGGGGCATGGTGCGAACACATTTCTGTGTCCGTTTCACTTATCCTTTTTTAACAGGCAAGTAGTTGATCGGACTTCTGTGTCCTACCCGACCGGAACAACTTTTTTAGTTCCCCTGGGATTCGAACCCAGGACCTCTCGCGCTTTAATAAATGCTAGGCAATACATTTAACCATTTGGCTAAAGAGGCGGTCAAATTGAATTTTAAGTTTTATTTTAATTTTTTAATTTTAAGTATTAGAATAAAGTAAAAAAAAAACATACGAGAAAAACGCGACATTACAATTGCTTTTTTTTCTTTGTTACAGAAACAGTACTGTAATTTGAACACTGAGATCTGTTGCCGACTTGAAGTAGCATCGATCAACAGCCAAGCCACCCTCGGCGGTCAGAACCTCTTCCAGTCATCCTACAACAAGGGCATAGGAGCGCCCACCATCGCCGCTATCCCAACGTTGGTCCCAATCCCCGTCACCCCCATCATCCCCAACTTAATCGAAACAGATACCTTCTCCGCTGGCAGTGAAACAGCTGGCGTCTACCGTCCTGGTGCTGTCGGTCTCAAACCTGGTATCCCCTACCTCCCCCCAGTAGACAGCACCAACCTACCCAGCAACATTATCCCCGCTACTTTCCCACCGCCGATTATAACCACCATCAGACCAATCACGCCCAAGCCGTTCGTGCCAATAACTTCGACAGCTGCGCCAGGATACTTACCTCCTATTGGGGAGCAAACGATAAACAGAGAGACGATAGTTCCACCGAATCCAGACTATATCGAAGGCTCGCTCATTCTTGATGAGAATAGAAATCCGAGGCCGAAGCCGACGCCTCGCCCAGTCCCTGTGTCACCAAGTGAGTACCATTTGAAAACTGGATATTCTGTCTATAGTTTACGCGAGTAGTTTAACGAATATAACGCGTTTTAAACCGTTAAAGCGTTTTATTTAAATATTTAAACTGGATATTCATAAATCTACGGCTACTAATCGACGTATCGATGGTTCGATCTCCAGTTTTATCAATTTCTGATTTTTTTGAAACATGTTGGACTACGTGTGGAAATCGAGGTGGTAGAAATAACGATATTCCGTCCGGACTACCGTCCACAGAAGTAGAGGCCGTGAAGTTTAATAACGTTTCGGTTTCAGTCTGTGGATTTCCGAAAATTTAAATCCAAAACAGGTCGACAGCACATCTGTTTTAGATGCTATAGGCTATAGAAAAGAAAGAGAAGGTTAAAATTGTGTTTCAGTCTCTGGATCTCTGAATTTCCAAAGCCAAAATAGGTTGACATCACATCTTGATTTGATGCTGTATAGTTAGCTTATATTGTCATGAAAATATTTCGTCCGCATCAACGGACATATTTTGAGGGACAATTTTAAGTTAATAATAATAAAAATATCATTTACTGGCGTACTTCTTTAATGTCACTATTGACTAGACATTTGTCGTAGTTCTAGTCTGTAGTTCGATTATTTCGCATACATGAAATCATGTTTTAAATCGTTTAATCCTGTATCGTTTGATACTGATGTCACTCGTTTTTCAATAGGTGACATTCCTGCTGGTTGTGCGGCCGCTCTGAAATGTACACCAATTGAATTCTGCACAGCTGATGGTATTATATCCAACACTTCCGTCATCCTCACAAGGGACCAAGACGCATACAGGGTACCACTTACTGTAAGTAGCAATATTTTCTACCACTGTTGTACATAATTTACCAATACTGTACTTGTAATGTTTCGAAAGTTTAAGCTAAGTATTTAAATGATTAAATATATAATCAATACAAATCAATATAAGTAAAATAAAGAAATATAATTAACAAATATTGTATGTAGTTAACGTGAGTAACACACATTTAAATAAAAACCTTTAACGGTATAAAACGGAAAATATAGTTTTAACTACAAACTAACATCTCCAACGGGGGAATCATTTTAAAGAGAATAAAAATTACCCGCTACAGACGCGGTCTCAGTAAATCAAATGACATTGACAAGTGATAAAGACAAATGTCTGTCAAAGCTGTCATAAGTTTATTTTAATAGGCAATAAAATATTTTATATTCTGTGGATGTTCAGCCATCTTTTGCTTTGTAATAAAAAGGCGGGAATAGCGGTGTCATGGTGTAACTGTACTGTGAATTGTTATCCATTTTCATAGAAGCCTGATCTAGTGTAAATGTTTTTTCTTTACCTCACATCAAAAGCAATGTTAATTTCTTTATCTGTAACAGGATTGCCGTGACTTGGAGACAGGACGCATTGGTAAATGTTGTCGTGACCCGTACTATACCGACCCATGGCCAACAAACCAATTGGGCAAATGGGTCCCCGGTGTCTTCGGTGGAAATGACGGCAAATACGTCCCAGACAGCCGCGGCAGCGCTAACAACGTCAGACCTGTAACTCCACCAACTACTGGATCCGTAATTTTTGGTAACTTCAGGTATGTATTATTTGTAATATATATTTTATAAGTATTCATTCATATAAATTTATTCATGTCCCTATTCACTATGTATGTTTTATTTATTGTATTTAACATGCTGTATATAAATAGATACTCGCACATTTTATAGACATACATACATGTAAAAGATTTTGAAATAATGTTTTTAAATCTTGGCAAACTTATTTATTTATTATACTAGTGCCATTCAAAAAATGTTAAGAGTCGACCCAGTACGTTTTGAGACCCTTCGATACATACGATAGACGTATAACGAAATAATTTTTTATGCTATAAATTGTAAGCCAATACGCTGCGGTGTTCCACAAGGCTCACTGTTAGGACCTCTTTTCTTTCTTATATATATAAATAGTATACGCGATCTCGGACTAACAGGTGTTATAACTTTGTACGCTGACGATACTAGTCTTTTCTATTATGGACACTCCATAAAAATTGTGAATCAAATTTGGAGTTCAGCGGCAACTTCTAATTTAAAAAAACTACAGGTGACCCAAAATAAACTAATAAAAATACTTTTTAACTTTAAACATTTCACTTCCACAACTCAAAATTACAAAAAAAAAACAAACGTAATGAACATTGCCCAAACACATAAATATTATATGTGCATACTTATTAGGAAAATTTTAATAAATGGCATACTCAACTATAAACTTAGCCCGCAACTTTGAACAATCTAAACGAACAACCCGCCAGGTGAATAATATCGTAACACAACAACCAAGAACTAATTATGGCAAAAAGTGTATTTTATACGGTGGTGTTAAGCTATATAATGAATTACCAGGCTATATAAAAGAATCAAAGTCCCTGACGATTTTCAAAAAAACACTCAAAAACCATATTCTGTCTTAGGGATTCACTCAATAAAAATAATGTATAATATTCTAAACTTATTTATATTGTAACTTAAAGCAAAATAATGTCACAACTAAATAGTAAAGCTCGCTGTAGAATGCATGCCTTTCGCGATCTGAGTAGCTCCATCCAGTCAGTATATAGACAAAATATATAACTTGTATTGTCAACGGATAAGACGGTGTGGGTAGACCAAATGCTAGTTAAGTTTAAAATGAAATTACCCTAGTTTCTCAGTAAGAGATTGTATGTAATCATTTGAGAAATAAATACATAAATACTGTCTGTAGTTTACGCGAGTAGTACACATTTAAATAAAACACTTTAACTGTTTAAAACGCGATATATTAGTTAAGCTTATTTGAAAATTATTTTTAACTTCATACCGCATACCGGCAACCGGTGACTACGGCTGCTGCAAAGCATCCGAAACATCGGGCCGAAGTTAAAAATCATTTTCAAATAAGTTTAACTAATATATCGCGTTTTAAGCCGTTAAAGTGTTTTATTTAAATAAATACATATTTACACCGTAAAAGTAAGACTAAGATTTTTTATAGCATTTTAAAATTTTCCAAAAGTAGGTATTGTATTTTCTAAATTTATTACTTGGTGGCATAACACATTGCAAATATTTTATTATTACAGAACCACGCCCAAACCTACTTTACCAACCGGCTTCGGAAGCAGTCCAGCATCAAGATTCCCCACCACTGTAACTCCAATCGTAACCCGACCATCCCCTGGAATTGGCCAATTCACTAAGGGTGGTCAGGGTCAATTCACCAAGGGCGGACAGGGTCAATTTACTAAGGGCGGACAAGGTCAGTATGGCCTCGGTGGCCGAGGACAATTTGGACTCGGAGGACGAGGACAGACTGGACTAGTTGGTCAAAGCCAGTTCTCTCAAGTAGGAAAAGGTCAAGTCGGTCTAGGAACTCAGGGGCAATACGGACGCGGACAGATTGGTCTGGTGGGACTCGGCGAAGGCACGCAGCTGGGCGTCTCACAGCTCGGTGTAGCCGGACAAGGACAGTACGGCCAAGTAGGAAGAGGTCAAGTGGGTATCGGCAGTCAAAGCCAGTTCGGAAGAGGACAAGTCGGTGTCGTAGGACTGGGTGAAGCCACTCAATTAGGCGTAGGACAAATCGGTTCAATCGGACAGGCTCAATACGGTCAAGTAGGAAGAGGACAAATCGGTATAGGAGGTCAAGGACAGTACGGTCAGATTGGGAGAGGACAGATCGGTGTAGTCGGTCTAGGCGAAGCCACGCAATTAGGAGTAGGACAAATTGGTGTAGCCGGACAAGGTGTCAACACTCAATTGGGCGTAGGACAAATAGGCGTCGCTGGACAAGGCCAATACTCCCAAGCCGGTAGGGGAGTCGGCTTAGGCCAAGTAGGCGTGGGACAAACTCAACTGGGCTTAGGACAAGTCGGAAGGGGGCAAGTCGGGATCGTCGGACAAGGACAAAACACTCAGCTGGGTTCGGGTCAAATAGGTAGAGTCCCGATAGGAATCGGTCAAACTAACCTAGTGGGTCTAGGACAACAGGGATCAGTTGGCGTGGGCCAAGTAGGCGTCGCTGGTCAGGGACAATACTCACAAGTAGGAAGAGGACAAGTCTTAGGAGTAGGACAAATTCCGCTCGGAACCGGCGTTGTGGGCACTCAGCTAGGCAATGGTCAAATCGGCGTAGTCGATCAGGGCGAATATACTCAGCTAGGCAATGGTCAGATCGGCGTAGTAGGACAGGGACAGTACTCGCAAGTCGGGAGAGGACAACTCGGCATCGGCGGAGCTGGTAAGTCATTATTCCCTTAATCGTCAGATTGTGCAGATTGGTGTAACCGTGAGTATTTCGAAAACTGCTTAATTGATTTCAAGAAATCACATGTTATGGCTGTGATATGTAACCTTGTATGATTAGTAACCACTAATTACTAATAAATAACAAAAAAGATTTAATATTAACGATACCTACCAAATGATATTGACAGTGGGCTATAAATAATTCCTATGAGGACGAATATTTCGATAATGGTTACAAAATTGTTAACCAGTTTGTTATATAATTGAATATCCTGTTATGAATCATAGTATTACATAACTTTGACGTTAAAGAATCTTCATAAAAATACATACAGATAAAATTTATGAAAGCTACATAAGAAAATTTTAAGTTTTTGAATTATACAAAATTAATTTACGCTTTATCTCCCCTTATGAACTGGTAAAAAATCCTTATTAGGTCAACTTGGCGCTGGATCGCAAGTGGCTAACGCATTCACCAGGGGCCAAGGTCAAATCGGATTGCAAGGTGGCCAAGGACAAATAGGTGGCCAAGGACTGATTGGTACAAACGGACAAGGGTTATTAGTATCCCAGGGACAAGGAGAACTAGTGTCACAAGGCGAAGGACAACTTATCAGTCAAGGACAGGGACAGTTTGGTATTGGTGGACAAGGACAATACGGAATCGGTGGCTTAGGACAATATGAAGTACAGCGACAGGTATTTATCGCTTTTGGGTAACTGATACTTTGCAGTCGCTTTTATGACGGGATGATAAACAAGCATCCCTTAAAAATTAATGTATATATGTATATACATATACAGGGTGTAAATGGAACAGTTTTGAAAACTTATAAGGGCATATATTAGGGGCTAAAAGGTGTAATATGGTGCTATTTATTTTCATTTATTTCAAGATTTTTTTCAAAGTTTAAAATACGAGTATGAAATGTACAGCGTTCAGCCAACAAGCATTATGACCTACGCACCCGCAATACATTACGTGAACTGCTGATCAATTTAAGTAGGTTAGGTATTTTTTATTTCATCTTTGCGTATAGTTGTAATATTCGAAAAAAGTATTTATTATACATTTAACACAACTTCAAAAAAATAAAAAAGACGAAACCACCAGAGCACAACCGCAATCAAAACTACATAACTGCGAAGGCCAGGAGACGAAAGGACCCTACCTTCTCCGGTAAATTCTCAACACCTCTATCGCCTTACCAAAAGTGCTCCTAAGTACATTAACATAATGAGATACTCACGTGCTGGTTACGAATTCGGCGCAAGCATTTTAAATAAAACTAACACATCACGAAATATCACAAAATAAATAACCACAAAAAAGAAACCAACTTAAAAGTAAATAAAAAAATTTAAAGAAATTAAAGAACAAAACTAACTGAAATGAAAGATACTAAAAAACGAGACAATTCCGAGTTCCTAATATTAGCAGGAACGTGATGACGCAGAAAATGTTTACTGCCAACTAAACAAAATTTAAAAAGTAGTAAAATAGGTATAGGTATATGTAACTCAATACACTCGAATGTCGGTAAAATATAATATCGATAAACCGCTATTTACTTTTCCTATAACTTTATTTGTTCCGTGTACATACTTCTTATTAAAACAAAACACTTATAACAGTTTAAACGTAAAATGTATTCGTTAATTTAAAGTTACACCTTATTTAACAACAGGCCTTTCTTTCATAAACCACGGTTGATGAAAACAAATGGAATGGATGAAAAACAAAACGGCAACACTATGTTTCGTTTGATATTAGCCGCCGTACGCGCCGATAAGCTAGCTCGGTAAATGCCGACAAAGGGTGTCCAGTCCACCTGTATAATACATACTCGTATTATGAACTTTGGAAAAAATCTTGAAATTAATGCAAATAAATCGCTCCATATATTTAGCCCCTAATATATGGCCTCATAAGTTTTTAAAACTGTTCCATTTACACCTTAATTTCCTATAAAATTTTTTTAATTTCCTACATACATTCTAACTGAAAGTTTATTTTTAAGGGTCAACAAGGCATAATCGACCAAGCTAGTGGTCTCTCGAAAGCCTCCGGCCAGCTAATATCCCAAGGACAAGGTCAAAAGATCTCCCAGGAGAAAGGCCAAGCCATCTCCCAGGGTAAAGGACAGATTATTACTCAAGGAAAAGGTCAATATGTAACCAGTGGCCAAGGAACGATAGTGAGCCAAGGAGGCGGAGCTTACGTTGAGCAGGGAGAAGGCCAAGCGGTATCCCAAGGATTTGGATCTGGCGTGAGACAAGGCCAAGGCTACTCTGTATCTCAGGGTGGTGGTCTTGGTGTCGAGAATGAATATGGGGAGTCGGTTCAGAGGGTGTTCTTGCAGCGGTACAACGGTGCCAGCCATTGTGGTATACCTAATGTGAGTAAATTTTATTTATCAATTCGATTAGAATATATACTATTTTTATGTTTATCCGCATCGACGCTCGCATTCGACATTTATGAACCGATTTTGATTATTTTTTTTTTTTTGGAAAGTAAATATTTCCAAGTTGGTCTAATTTTAAGAAAATCAGGGTAAACGTCCTCAATCCAGAGTTATCGGAGGGAACATTTAAAAATAGTAAAGACAACACCGACTTATATTATAATTATTTCTATTTAACCTGCCGTGATAAAAAAAAATATATATATAATGACATATGGGATCCGGCACTCCAATTGGAAAGCAAGGAACCCTTTACTTGTCCTTTTTTAAATATAATTAATAGTTACACTTTTTCTAATCTAGACTGTTTGCATTTTGTCAAATATCGATATTACTGAAATGAAGTAAAAATAAAGTTTTTTTTATATTAAAAATGATGACATGATGAGAAAATATAAGTCAAGATTAACAGCATTAACTTTTAATTGCAGCTGTTATTACAAAATACACACCAATTAACTGTCTCACCTTCTTCAAGGCTGAAAAAGACATCATTTAATGTCTCTATTCAAGTGGCTATTAACTGGCTAATACTAAAAAAATGATGACATTTCAATTATATATTTCTCCAAGCAAGTAGATAATACTATCTGTAGTTTACGCGAGTAGTACACATTTAAATAAAACACTAACGGTTTACAACGTGATATATTGTATTAGTTATACTTATTTGTTGAGTAGTTAAAATAATTTTCAAATATGTTTGTCTAATATTTATCGCGTTTTAAACGTGTGTTTTAGTTGATAGTAAAAAATATTTATCACTAATCTGAATTTAGTTTTATTGTGACTTTGGCATTAATTTTGGAGACGTGCTTATCGTAGTTTGAAGAGAAACCCAAAATTGGTTAAATATTCAAAAAAAAAATCAACTACATTTTGGGCCAAATCGCTTTATAATCCAGAAAAAAAAATCTGGGTCCCAATGAATGTCTCTTTGCTGAGGACATATAAAGCTCAGCTTAAGACCCACCACTCTGCCCCAGTGCGACTTGGCGGGTTTTACACTGTCATAAATTATTAGTGATGATTGTTTTGGATGCTAACCACCTTTTCCTTCCTTTTGGTTCTAAATTTTTTCTTAAAAAATTCATTCAATGCAATATAACAATCAAATCAATCATCTAGACTAGAATGCAGTTAAATATTTTTATGTTTGGCCATGAAACCATCGAATCATCTTAATTAATAAACATGTCATTGACCCAAAAATTTGCGATTTTCCAATGTGTTTTAGATGCTAATACGTTTGACAATGCATTCGGAGCGCTATAAATGATTTTATGCAAAAATTTACATTTTCCTATCGAATGAATAAAGGTCATTTAAGATGCAAAATATTTTTAGCCGAGTAACTTAGACTGGTAAGAGAAGAATTACTCACTTGTTGGTCCCATATAGCCGACCTAGGTTCAATTCCCGAGAATATTATACAGTAAAGAAACACACACAAGTAGTACACATTTAAATAAAACGCTTTTAACGGTTTAAAACGCGAAATACACTATTTTAAAGTTATTTTGCTATGACCAGACGTTTTGGATGCTTCGCATTTTAAACCGTTAAAATTGTTTTGATGATATAAGATACAGAAATGTAATTATCATAAAATTAATTATCATCTTTATAAAAATAAAATGGTTTGTCTCCAGCCCCAAAGGCCATACGGAAACAAGAATGACTTAGAAGTGGACTTTGCCGAAATTCCTTGGCAAGCCATGGTCTTGCTCCAGACTAACAGGAGTCTGCTGTGTGGTGGTGTCATCACCAGACCAGATGTCGTTATCACTTCAGCTGCGTGTGTTGATGGGTAAGTTCCTCAAACAATTCTTCTGCATTTGTGGCAAAAACTAAACTATCTTAGAATAGATATTGAATGTAATCTTATTTACACAATTATTCGTAAATTCGTATTTGTCTACATGGTCTAAAAAATTAACGTTGAATAACAAATACTTACATACGAAAAATACATTTTCGTAGTATTGCTTATTTTTCTATGGCAGTTAATATTACAATTAATATATAAAATAGTACATACTGTGAATCAAAACCACGTGAATAAGACCAATGTGGTTCAAATTTCCCTTATAAAAATTATACTTGCCCGCAACTTGAACGAACGACTTTGAAGGAAAAATAGACGTTTAACATAGTTGAGGTTCAATCTTAAAATGTATAACAACTAAATATAATTTTTATATTGCAGCCTCGAAGCTAAGAACGTCCTAATCAAAGGTGGAGAGTGGAAATTAGGAATTGATGATGAACCTCTTCCCTTCCAAATCGTTCAAGTCAAACACATCCTTCGTCATCCGCTGTACAAATCTGGAAGCCTCCTCTACGATGCTGCGGTCCTGGTACTCTCCGAAAACTTGAGGTTGTCCAAGAACATCTATCCCATATGTCTGCCAAGTTCCTCTGACTCTGTGGACGCTTACTACAACGGCGTTGGCGAGTGCGTTGTCACTGGTTGGGGCAAAATTGTTTTACAAGGTAAGTTCTTATTCTCACAAAACCTGGGTAATTCTTTGCTATATTAAGTATTTCGTCTAAATTTGATTAGTATAAAAACGGTTCTTGCGAGCTAATCTTAAAAGATAGACATATACAGTTACGGAAATTTCATAAATGAATAATTGTATCCCTTTTTTACATACTTCCCAATAAATTTTTCAAATCGTAGATCGAACTATAATACCGTCGTAAGCCGTTTTGCAAGGGAAATCCCGTAGAAAAATAATTTTCCCCGTTTATTACACTTTTCTATAAATTTTTCAAGTCCTAGGACAGACTATAATAGTTTTGACATGCTCGTTGATCTAATGTAGCAATCACTAACAATCAACGGGAAGTGGGTTCGACCCCGATGGGCTCCAACTTGTTTCTAATCGATTTATAAACTTTCTGAAAAATGTTAGACTTCTTTTAAATAAAACACTTTTAACGGTTTAAAACGCGATATATTAGTTAAACTTATTTGAAAATGATTTTTTAACTTCGGCCCGACGTTACTGTTAGACTTCGTCTAGAAATCTGAATATTAAATGGGTGGAAAGAAAATCAAAACTACTTCCACATCACGAAATACCGTCCACAGATGAAAAAGCCGTGAAGTTTATTCGCATTCGTTTTCAGTCTGTGGATTTCCGTATATCCACAGCTATTACACCTTCTATAAAATGAACTCCATGCCTTTCTGTCCTTCTGCATGATAAGCCACTTATTTGTTATCTGCGAAATTATTCTTAGCATCTGTGAACGTGTCGAAATAGAATCGGCATTCCGCCGATTCGTCGCACATTACATTCGACCCCGGAAACGTACGATTTATATAATTGTGAATATTATCTAATATGACCTTTAGGGCGTGTTTGCTAATTACTTCTAGACTCCTTATCGCATTCGTTTTGTAAACAAGATTTATACTAACGGTTTATATAATAACTTATTAGAATACCGAGATATAAATAAGACCAGTTTGGTTTAGTGTTGTTAAAACGACAACTGATATAATTCGTGAATTTGAACTAACCAATTTTTAATAATATTTTCGTTTTAAACCGTTAAATGTTTATTTCAATGTGTACAACTCGCGTAAACTATAGGCGATAATATCAAATATTTTTCTAAATAACTTATATTACTAATCTACTTTAATTACATTTTATCTTAAATTAATTAAGTAACGTCAATAGACCATTAATTAGGTTTTCTTTAAGGTTGTTTTAAAATGTGACACTACAACCTTTAGTTAATTAAGCATAAATATAAAAAATGAACTTTGACCGATTATGAACAGAACCCTAAATATGAATAATATTTTGATTAGACGTCTCGACCCTGTGACCTCATATTTCTGACCTTAGTTTTGTTGACTACAATATCATATTGTCGCTATAGAATTATGTAAAAATGTCACTTACATATAAATTGATGAAATCAATATCTTGTCAGTGCTAGCAAAATGGTAATACTTATATTAATATAGATATTACCCCCATGAAATACTATTTGTAGATTACGCTAGTAGTATATAATGAAAGATTTTAACAGTTTATAACGAGAAATATACTAGTTAAACATATTTACAAATTATATTAACTTCGGCTACTCCAATGTTTCGGATGCTTTGCGGTGTGGTCACGGGGAGAGATAAAATATCCCTATTGTTCTTTTTTTGTCTATGGACGCTTGTTCATGATCAGGAGGAAAAAGATTTTCCCACCACCCAATTAATATCCAGATTTCCAAACGAAGTCCAAGATGTTTCAATAATTTATAAAAATTGACTACAATTGTGTTGGACGCGGGGGGTCGAATCCACGACCCGTTGATTATTAGCCATACTACCAACGTACTCGTCAAGACTTAACAACTATTGTCACAAGGTTAATGACGATAATCAGAATCGACGGCTTAATGACTACACGACATTTTCTTTAAAAAAAATCAATATCAATACTATCTAATGTAACTATTTCTCTCGACCCAAGATTTGAGACTGCTAGAGCCAGACTGGCCTAATGACAAAAAACATGATTTTCAATTTGTGTAAGAATTAATTTAACAATTTTCGACTTTAAATATATGAATGAGTCATAAAATTGCAGTTAGGCTGCTCTGGCTCTAGCGGCCTTATTCGAACCAGTATCCTTATGATCAACAGCCGAAGTCACTAACCACTAAATCAGTATATAAATATCATATAATGCCATTTTAATTAACAAAATTCAATATATTACATTTCAATCAGGACTGACAAGTCAATCAATACAAAATTTCATAGTTTTTGCCACAATCAAATCGACACACGAAACATCGATAATTATGTTTACATAAGTGCTAAATGTCAAAAATGTATTGTTATATGTTATTATGTACGCAAAGGAAAGCGGGGAGGAGTTTTGTAGGTCAGTGTCGGCACGGTAGCGACGGCAAAAAAGGTTTTTACTATTGTAGAATATTTTTGTAAAGAAGTCAGTTACATTGTATTTCTGTAGTTTATTACTAAAACTGTGTTGTCTAGGATTGAATTAGAAATTAGAGGGCCTAGGTTCAAACTCCGGACTTAAAATATACTATTGCGGTCATGCTGGGCACAAAACTCAACTACTTACACCTAGATCAAATTAGTCACTAAATCAGATATAAATATGTGTTCGTCTTATACACCACAGCCAATTTCAATGACGTTAATTTCAATACGATTATAAGCTTTTCAGCATCTGTAGTCACTTTACTAAAGATGGACGTTTAGTCTGCTACACTAGCGCCATCTGTTCCTTCATTAGAGAGTTATAAACGTTTTCGCACACGAAGGAAATTTTACAGAGAAATAATATATTTTCGACTAAGAAGTTTTAAGTTATTTTTTGCAATAAACCAGTCTGTTTTGGAATCACAAAAAACATGAAATTTATTGAATTGTCTCGGAATAGGTGTTAGAAAAAGTAAAGGCGTTAAAGAAAAAAAACCTAACGGGTTGACATTTGTTTAATTTATGGAAATACTTAAAATATGAATAACATAACTAATAGTTCTGCCAATTACAGAGAACTGCCGAAAACACGTTATGTCTTGTATTTACTGAACTTTGAATATTAAGTATTTGATCACAAATGTTTGTTCATTCCTTAAACATTTAGTTTGTATTATAGTCGTTTAGTGATTAAACATGTTCAGCATTGCGTTAAGCACGAGAAGTTTTAGGTTCGAATCTCAGTGAAACAATAAAACGTGTCGGCCGAACAGTGTACAGTACTCTTGCCTCTGAACAAACTCGATCGGAAAAACGGATACAGTAATGTGTTCGCCCATGCCCAGTAGCGTAGCTAGGTGGACAAGGGCCCCGGTCTACTTAATCTTAGAGTTTAAATAGCAACAAGAACGTTAAAATGTTTTCTTGTAAGACCTTTTAAAGTTTAGGGGGGGGGGGGGCCCCCCCCCGGGGCCGCGGGGGGGGGCGCCCCCCCGGGCCCGGAGATAGCTCCCCCCCGGCCCCTTCCCCCCTCCTTTTCCCCATGCATGACACTAAATGCCACAATATAAAACGTAATATAAATATAAAAATAACTATCCTTCAATTATCTTCGTGAGAATAAATACGAGTAGATATCAAATAAAAAAAAAAAAAAAAAAAAAAAAAAAAAAAAGAAAGAAAAAAAAAAAAAAAAAAAGAAAAAAAAAAAAAAAAAAAAAAAAAAAAAAAAAAAAAAAAAAAAAAAAAAAAAAACCCCCCCCTCTCCCCCCCCCGGGGGGACAAAAAAAAAGTTTTTTAAACCCCTTAAATTTTTTTTAAAGACTTTTTTTTATTTAAAAAAAAATTATTATTATTTCCTTTTACTTCGCAGCTAAGTAGTAGACAAGTTCTTCTTTTTTAACACTACCATTATACCACTGTATTATCTATTATCTTTTCTGTTTAGTCATTCATCGAAAACAAAATAAACCCAACTAAAACCTGATGTCATCGATATGATAAATGTAAAACGAGTCATTTTGTCCATATTGTATTCTCAAGGTCGTATATCGAGTTCTAGGGGTAATTTGCATACAAACATACACTCATTTAAATAAATTTACTTCGCATTTTGATTTGGACTACAAAAAGTTGCGGCAACCATTTTCGGCTTATTCAATTTATCGACTCGCGTTTATTGCTTTTTAATTTCATTTAACTCCTGATAGATTTATAATGCAAGTCCACATTGGGCAATTATGACATGGTAGAAGTGTCGCTGGTAGTACCACCAGCCCGCTACGGTTTCCAGGGAACTCTGGAATAGTTTGTGCGTAGTAAAACTGTATATCAGAAACCATACAATGCATGCACGTATTCAGGGCAGACACACTTCTATGTCCGTTTCACTGTTTTAAAGACCTTACCAGAATTCGAACTTAAACCTCTTTAGACTGAACTATTTACAGCTAACAGTTAAAATTTTCTAAAGCCTTTAAAACTTACTTTACTTTGGGCATCGACATTTGTTTTTGAAAACCTCCCCATCCTTTTAAACTATAGCTGTTACCTACGGTGTTGGTCGCGTCCCGTCGTTATTGCAAGTTAATCTTAATAGGTAGATATATACCGACGCGGACATTTGCTTTTGGATCATTCTTTCTTCGCCCCTATTAGTCGCAGCTTGATGTTGCCTTTTTTTAACTGATGATGTGAATGCCTAATGCACGCCCACGTCGGGCAAGTGTGACGTGGGGAGTGTGGTAAATCGTATAGCCGACCAGAACCACTAAACACACCACCAGCCCCCTACGGTGCTTCCAGGAGCCTTGATGTTGCCTATAAGCCTTTCTTGATAAATGTACTCACCAACACAAAAATAATATAATTCGAACCCGTAGTTCCTCAGATTAGCGCGTACAAACAAACAAACTGTTCAGCTTTATAATATTAGTAGAGATTTTTATTAAGATTGTGTGTGTGTGTAACCTGTACTAAAATTAGGTTAACATGATTATTGCTTACTTGTGTAAGTCACTTTTGTATTTAGAGAGAAATCTGTTTCATTAAAATATTGAATGATAAATATGTGCAATAAGCAAGGCTGTGTTGCATACATTTCTGTTAAAACAATCATAAATTTCTCTTACGTTGATAACTTAATGGTGCATACAAAAACGCCTCGACATAAAACAAAACGGAAATATGAATCTGAAAGTGACATTATAATTGTATTTATTGATTTGTGATCGCGAAAAGCGTTTTTTTGCTGACGTTACATCAACCGGTCCGCGGGTCGCATCGTCTGGTCTCAACCGTTGCATAACAGATTAATTATTTTTATCTTCGCTCATATTGAAAAAAACTTCCAAATTACGCTCTGCAAGCTGCTAATATTAACAGTGCGAATCATTTTAAGCTATTTATTTAGCAGGATCTTTTTTAAGCTAAATGAATAGCTTAAAATTGAGGCTGCTTATTAACTTAACTCGTCACCGGCTAGACCGGTTTTAATAAGATTTTTAATAAACTAATCCCATACACTGTTCTCATTGCCCGTATTAATATGGAATATAAAGAACACTAGTTACTCGTAAATTTTAAAGGAACTGGGAATCAAACACACACCTCACGTTCAAATGTTTGGTTAATGATTACTGCTAAAGTGCTACTTCTTTATTATTTCAAAGGCAAACAACAAGATCTGCTGTCGATCTATATTCGCTTTGTACACTCAAAATTTCAAATCCTACCATGTCAAACGCAATCCTTTTGACAGGGTAGGACTTAGTAGGACCCGCTTTATATGTTTAACTTATTAACAGGCGGTGGATTCGATCCCCACTGGTTTCAACATGTTCCTAATCAATTTATAATTATTTTAAAACATGTTAGACTTCGTATGACAATTGGGCTGCTCAAAAACCACTGTCCAAAGATGAAAAAGCTCTTAAGTTTGGATTTCCGAATATCCAAAACCACAATGGGTCGTCAGCGCATCTTGTTTAGATGCTATAGGCTGGGATATTTCACCCACCATCAAGTGAACCACGAGCTCGTCTGTATATATATATATATGTATATATATTTTATTTAAACCTGAAATATCGCCATTTGAACCTACTTTTCGCAATCCAATTAAAAGCAAATAAAACCATCTCACAAAGGTCAGTGTTGAAATAATTGATAATTAATAATTTATGATGTTGCAAATGAAATTTCATTCAGCATCATTGACTGTTGAAATTAGATTTGCAGTGTTGACATACATACACACACACACACACCAGATATAGTTCGTATATTCGTGGAGATTTTTACAGTTTGCTTTAGCATTCAAACACTATCGATTAAGAAAGACCTCGTCACACGTAATTTCTTAAGTAACATTTACTTACGCGATGTAAAGTTAAATAAAACGATTTTGATGTTTTCAAACGGAAATTAAACCAAGAATTAATTGCGGCACGTCAGATGTTTTAAAAACTTAATAGAGAAGACAGATATCAAACACATGGCATTTCTATTTGTAAGATACAAAAAAAATTGTTTTTTGTTCATTATACATATACTAAGACATGATGAGACTTGATGGTAGGCGAAATACCCCCGCCCTATACAATTACGAGATGCACTGTCGGCCTATTTGGTTTTGGATATTCCTTTTTTTTATTTTGTCCATAATGTTTTAACAGCTAAGGACGATGGGGCTCCCCTTCCTCGGACCTATATTCTAAATTCCACAGACTGAAACTGAAACGCGGTTAAACTTAACGGCCTTTTTATCTGTGGACGGTGGTTTGTGACCCGGACGGAATTTCGATATTCCTACCACCAATTTAATATCCAGATTTCCAGACGAAGTCCAAATTAAAAATTGATTAGAAATATTCTGGACCCAGTGAAGATCGATTCCCCGACCCGTTGATAGTTAGTCGTACATTGCTACCGTATACCAACGAGCCTTTTCGATTACAGCCTGTAGATTACCGAATTTCCAAAGCAAAAATAGGTCAACAATGGTTCTTGTCAATTTTAAATGGCTGGGGTTTCACCCTATGTGAAATGAATCTATACATCAAACGGACCTAAACATGTGTTTGCCCCATTCCCAGTCATAGTGAGAAATTACTGTTAATAGGAGACAGAATTACGAAAATTCGCAGACGATGCAAATTTTCTTAATACGTTACAAGTTAACGTTGGATGTCAAGTTTTATGGTCTTGTTAAACTTTAGTATTTACGCTTAAGACCTAAATACTTAGACAAGGTGGGTGGGTATTAAATGAAACTGTTATAGGCTGAAACCGAAATGGCTCGTCGGTATACCTGACGGTAGCAATGTACTGCTAACTATAATCGTGGGATCCATTTTCACTGGGTCCAGCATATATTCAAAGTCTAAATACGACCGCCTCTGTAGCCAAACGGTTAAACGCCTTGCATATCGTTAAGCGCGAGAGGTCCTGCGTTCGAATCCCAGGGAAACATTAAATTGTTGTCAGGCAGGGCACAGAAGTCTGATCAACTACTTGCCCGTGAAAAGAACGGATCAGTGAAACGGACACAGAAATATGTTCGCCCCATGCCCCACGAGGGGGAAACGGGCTTGCACTTACTTACTTACAAAGTCTAAATAAGTCGACAGTGCATCTTGTTTCGATGTTATACGGCCGAGGTATATGACCTAACATCAAGTGAAGTCGTGTCAGTTCTCCTCTATTAGAAGAAAATAGTATTTTTTTCATCTGTGATTATTTAATTTGACACCACCGATCTAAAAGAGACCTTGCATTGAGTCAATAAACGCCTAACCTCGTTAAGATCGTGTAAACAAATCAGCCATCGGATGGTTAGGGCTTGCACTCTACGATTTTCACATTAGCAATCACACTGTGATTTGTAAGAAACAACAGTAAAGATTAAATACTGTCTATAGTTTACGCGAGTAGTACACATTTAAACAAATTTAAATTAAACTTCGGCCCAACGTTAAAAATCAATTTCAAATAACTAATATATCGCGTTTTAAACCGTTACGTTTTGGATGGCTTTGCAATCTCCTACCACGGCTGCTGCAAAAAAAACAAAGTTAACAATCATTTTCAAATAAGTTCGAAATAAGATATCACGTTTTAGACCGTTAAAGTGTTTTATTTAAATGTTGTACTTCTCGCGTAAACTTAGACACTGATTGTAATACGGTTTTAAGTCCAATTTTCGGGTCACAAACTAGCGTCCTTTAGATGAAAGCCGTGTAGTTTAATAGCGTTTCCGTTTCAAAATAGGTCGACGGAGCATCAGACTTAGATGTTATATGGCTGAGGTATTTTACTTTCGAGTGAACCCACGCATGTATGTCTTCCTCTAACATAGAGAACATCGAATCTCTCGTGTTAAATTCTAAGTAATGGCGATCAATTTTGTTTCTAAATGTTTAAGCAATTATTATATTGAACGAATTTTACATGCGTTTTAACTTATTTTATTTGTACGATCTGCGTAAGTTACATAAAACTATAATTTTACTCACGTTTTTTCAAATACAAAAAATATAATTACCAATTTTGTCGTCTCACAAAAATTTTGACAGCCCTATCTCAGCGGCCGTCAGAGAGCCCGATAATTTATTCAGTTTTAGAAGATTCTCAGAAACGAATAAGTGTAAAATGTCTTTGAGCTGTTGGTACTAAAATTTTATCGTTTTATTGCCAAATCGCAACGAGTTCTGTTTCAAAATGTCTCTAATTGCACACATCCACCGGTTTCAATTGAATTTTAACAGTTTGTAACATGAGAGGTCGTTTTACTACTTACAACTTTATTTACAACTAGCTGCGCCCGCGACTCCGTCCGCGTAGACTACTCATTTTGTGCACCATATTATTTACTTCTGCAAACAATGTTCTCAGTTTTATTATATTATCGCGACACACGGACGGAATTCGAGATCGCGTCTTGATCATTTAAATAAAAATTATTCTTTGATACATATTTTTTTACTTTCTTAAACTGTTTTCACAAAATTAGGTATTTTCCCCGATGTTTTTGCATTTCCTTCTCTTTTCTTTACTTTTATTAGTCACAGCCTGATGTTTTATAGCCTGAAGCTACCTCCAAAAATGTTCTAACTAACTCAAAAAAAACTCATTTCCTATTAGTAGTTAGAATTATTGAAAATATTTACCACGGCCCGACGTTTCCCAGTCTCCCCATGACCACGGCTGTTGCAAAGCATCCAAGACGTCAGGCCGTAGTTAAGATAATTTTCAAATAAGTTTAACTAATATTTTGATTAAATTTTTATTTAAATGTACGTGGACTTAATTCTCTCTTTTCTCACCACCAGCTCACTTGGAAGGCGCCATAATGCACAGCATGAACGTGTCTTTGATCAACCCTGGAGAATGTCGCGCTAAGTTATCTTCAGACTACCCTCATCTTTTGGAACAGTACAGCGAGGATAGCTGCGTCTGTGGGCAGCCCACCAACCCGCTAAATAACATTTGCAAGGTATTTAAAATTGGAAAACTTAAAATTTGGTTATATGATTATGGCAAGTCTAACACAAAATAATGTTATGGTAGAAAAATTACCTTTATACATTTTTTATTTAAATCGAATTAAATTGACAGTTTTTTCGTCTGTGGACGGTGGTGACTCGGATGGATTTCGATTTTCCCACCACCCATTTCATATCCAGATTTCCAGAAGTTTCAAAAGACATGAATTAGAAAAATGAAGGACACAGTGGGGATTGAATCCACAACCCGTAGCCATATATTGTCACCATTACACAAACTGTCAAATTCACCCATTTTGCCTTACTTAGAACGTTATTAGTTTGATGTTTAATTTGTTTAAGATAAAAGAATATCGCATTTGATCAAATAAATGATAGTACTTTTATATTTATTAAATCAGTTTGTGCAAAATTATTTATTATCCATGCACAAAAATACATACCATTCAAATAAACATTTAATCACTTTTATATATTCATTTACTATCATCATTTCCAGGTCGATATTGGAAGTGCTCTCGCCTGTACAACTGGAAATGGACGTTATGTGATGCAGGGCATCTACTCTTGGGACTCAGGTACTGTCACCACCTTTTTTCTTTATAGTTGGTCAAACTTCGTAGTAATAGTGTAGCAGGCATGACTGTCACATTAAAGACATCTTCCATCTTTAGTCTCCCGTGACCACGATTGCTGCAAATCTTATGAAACGTCGCGTCGAATATACAATAATTTAACCAATAATAGTATTACGTAGTTTACGCGAATAATATAATTAAATAAAACACTTATAACGGTTTAAAACATAAATATATTAATTTAAATATGTCAGTTTCTTTTCGATATTTTAAGTAACTTTATAACTGATGAACCGAATGAATGTGTTTTTGCTAAAAGGTTTAATAAACCTTGTTTATCTCTTTCAGGATGCCAAGTCGGAAACCAGGTTGCATCATTCTTCAAGTTCGACCTGGAATGGTATGAGTGGTCCATCGGTCTGATTGAGAGCGTTCGCTTTGCACAATTTACAACAATCACCACTGGAAAGATCACCGGCCAACTTAACGGAATCGGTATCAAGCAGTTCGGAAGTGGAGTTAAAACTGGCCAATACGGTTCTGGAGTCAAGACCCAATTCGGCAGCGCAAATGGACAAGCCGGTGTCGGTTTCTCAGGTGTCAAAGGTTACTCCGTCTCTGGCCAGGGACAATACGGCTTCGAAGGCGCCGGCCAAGCCCAGAACCAAGGCCAATTCTCCACTGGACAACTCAGCCAGTTTGCATCAGGCAAATTCGGTACCGGCTTCGAATCCGGCTTCAACACGCAAATCAAATCTCCGATCACCAGCAACGCGTACAGCGCCACCTACTCCGAGAAGAAGGTCTTCCAGACCGAACCCAAAATTATTACGTACACGACCAAACCGGAGATCGTCACCTTCACGACCAAACCGGAGATATTCACATTCACGACCAAACCGAAGATAATAACTTACACGACAAAGCCGAAAATCGTGACATACACGACCAAACCAAAAATTATTACGTATACGACTAAACCACAGATTATCACCTACGAGACTTCAGGCAGTGGGACTAACCCACAGTATGTAGCACCCGGTGTTACGTTTAATCCGAGCTTTTCTGATCTAATCGGACACAAGCATGACGCGCAGTGTAAGTGTCTTGACAAATAATCACCATACCCAGAGTTTCAGCAGTAGCCATTCGAAAATAAGAGCTAATACAAGACAATAAGATTGCTTTTTATCCACGCCACAATGTCGACACTAGTACCCTCAAATCGATTTAGTGCCATACATTTTTAGCCACTTCCGGAACAGTACAAAGTTCAGTTCCTAGCGAGTTGATGAATTTTCTCAATTGTAACGTCAGCAATATATTGCAAAATTAATTTTCGCGTGACATTATTTTAATTATTCAATACGTATACACTTTTCTGATTTTCTTTTTCTCATCTATTTGTAGCAAGTGTGTAAATACGTAGGTTATGTCACCTAAAGATTATACGAATATGTACGGTTAGCATAAAAAACTGCCATTTTAATGTAACATAAGCACGATATTTATAAGACAAAAGTATTTTTTGACGATTTTTTTAATTAGACTTTTGACCATTTCGGAGAAACGTACCGAAATGGTCGACTCTCTAATATAATTGGTTTAAGATTAAAAATAAGTATTTTTATATAAAATTTTATACGATAAAGTATTTAGTCAATATATTATGTAGTTTATATATTGATGTATCTTATTTTAATTAGGTTTAATTAATAAAATGGAGGTACTTTACAAATACACTTGGCTTGTTTTATTTACTTCTTTCTGATTCTAAAAAATAATTCAACAACATGTCTACTAGCGCCATCTATAGGATTCTATGTTAGTTAAATCTAATATATTTAACACACAATGTTTTGAAATAAAAACACACAGATTATTCTCATATTGATATAATATTCCAATTAAAATTTTAATTATATAACGGTATTTATATTCTTACATTAAAACGTCTGAAACACAACGCCGATCTCACAACTACGTTTATTATAATATAACAACTTATGATCGAAAATGTTAAATATCCCACTGTACATAAAGAATAATATATACTTTAGTTTTATATATAATAAAACCGTAAAATATTTACAATAAACGGAACCTAGTACGAGTTTTGTGTAATTTTATTGAATACAAAAAAAGTAATGATAACACGGCCTGGCATGGTATCAAAGGGTGACAATAGTTTGTAGTTTACGCAAGTAGTAAACATTTAAATGAAAGTTTTTACTGTTTAAAACGCGAAATATATTAGTTAATTAATACAGGTGCTGCAAAGTATCCGGAACGTCGTCTCGTAGTTAAATGAAATTAAGAATAAGCCAACTAATATATTTCGCGTTTAAACCCGTTAAAAGTGGTTCATTCAAATAGTTGCCGTGTCAAAATTCCTTTATTCCAAAATATTGAAACACAGATTTACTTGCCATCACGTGACAAGAAATATTGTTATATATTGAGTTCCGAAACAGCGTTTACTTTTAAATATGTTGTAAAGTCTAGATTAATTATTAATTTATCCGTTTTCGAACTGCTTTCGTCTCTTTTATAAAAAATTACTGTTGATAATGGGTGACATAAATTCATTATTTAAATCTTTAAAAGGCTGAATACAAAACTCATACTAGGGTATTGATTTTGTTCTGTGTTTCTTTACAACGTCGAACGTACAGTGGCTTTTTGACAATACAACAATGAACACCAAAAGGTAATCGCAATATTATAAAATTATATACTCTATATCCACCATTACAATACAGAAGCAAGTAAACTTATATGATATAAACCAACACCCCCCCCCCTCCCTCTCAAAATTTGAGATATAATGTAGTTTGTAAAGATATCATGGTGGGTCAAAATGGCTTGCAAATACATATTTCTTAGAGTTGATTTATGGTTCCTCTTGTGTACCTACTTTCCGTAGAAGACGTGAGTAGTACACATTTGAATACAACACTTTTATCGGTTCAAAACGCGAATAGTACTAGTTAAACTTATTTTAATAATGGCCCGACGTTTCAAATGCTTTACAGCAGCATTTGTCACGAGGGGCTGCTTTTGCTGCTTTAACGTAGCGAGCCGCAGTAAGTAACTTTTACATTTCGCGTTTTAAACCGATAAAAGTGTTTTATTTAAATAATCACTTTTGTATTTAAGAATTTCTTTACTAGCAGAATCAACGTAAAATGTTTGCACAATATTAAAACTAGGCTTAGAAATGAATACTACGTTCGAAAATATACGTCACTTTTGTTTGCACCAAAAAAGATTTGAGAAAATATATTTATTTTGTAGTTCGCTACATTTTGTATTGTTTGGTGCAAAACATAGAAGAATCTACAGCGGCCAAATAAATAGGAACGATATTTTAAAAGGACGAAGTTTTTTTTGGATTCACATTCACACATCATTACCATTGTAAAATTGATGGAATTAGTACTCTTCGATGGTTATTGCACCTTTTTAAAACATTTTTAACGGTCTATAACACGAAATAACTAAGTACTAAAATGTCCTAAATGTCGGATGTAAAGAAATAAATTTGCTTAAATATTTCGCGTTTTTTACCGTTAAATGTGTATCTATTAAGTCCTCTTTTATAGCATATTTTGATACCCGTTTATAAAATGATATAAACAGGTATTTGACCTTTTAAGTTTTTTGAAAATCTCTAGTTTTTTTTTTTGTATAAATTTGTGTGTCGCAATGCAATTTTTATTTGGTTTTATGACCAAAAAAGTACTTTCATGATATATTTGTCACGCCCTAACACCATCAATTTTACACTTAACTAGGGTAAAAACAAATTCACACTAAAACTATGTGCATACTAAGTCTAAATTTGCTAAGTGAGACTTGTGAAAAACATAATGTTTCATCATTACTATCGTACCATACAATATGCACTTTTGTAACTAAAATAAACAAAAGTTCTTATTAAATTTACATAGTATCATAACACAAGTATTGTCAGTAATTTACACGAGTTGTAAACATTTATTTAAAACACTTTAACGGTTTAAAACAGGAAGTATATCAACAGATATAGAACAGATAAATTAAGAAAACATGCTTAATTTCAATATATTTTAACACGGTTCGATGTTTCGAAAGCTTTGCAGCAGACTAGATCAGCCGAGGGGTTCTAATATATTTAGCGTTGTAAACCGTTTAAAGTGTTTTATTTAAATACTATTTTAGCAGATATAGCACATGTATAGTACGGATATAATGATGTTTCTAAAGTGGGTAGTTTTATATTTTTCTGGATTCTAAAGCCTGTCTTATTTAGTAATCAAGTTAAAGAACCTGAATATACAATACATAGATAGTGTAAAGCAACGCATTTTCGTATTATGATTTGAAAGAAAATAGCGTGTAACACGTTACGGCTACAGTCTACCTACCCTCACTCTGATAAATTTATAATTCAACTCAGATATTAATAAGATTTTATTTTGTGTATTCAGGGATTTTAACTTGGTTTTTCTTGTACAAGTATGATGTATGTTTTAAAATATCGAATTTAACATTGCACAGTTAGACCTAACATACAACTAGATAGATCATATACATATTTTTGTAAATAGACTTTGACGAATTAAAATAAATACTATATTTTCGGCACAGCAACAATAGATAGACATTTGAAAGATAAATTTATATAAGAATAAAATTACATTCATTTATTTTCTATCTATGACTTATGACTTATTTTGTAATATATTATTTCCATTAATAATACTGTAGTGTCTTAAAATTGTAAATAACAATTGCTTTAAAATGCTAACAGATAAACTTAATTTACTTATTTTAATATGATCACATAATATTTGATACAAGAAATATAAATAAAAATCACAGCAGTGCCCTTTGCCATAGTCGTGCATAGCTACCTAATATTGCATGCATGCTACGCATGGCTAAAGTATTTATGACACATCTACTGTCTATTCTGTCTGCTCCAAGTATGCATATGCATGATCTGGAGTAATCTTGGTCTATTTTTTTGTATAGCTTCTTTTTAAATGTATAATTACTATTATTTAACTTTAATTTCTGTCTTTTATAGTCAATTACTTAGTTCTACAATATGTCGATAGTTAAAAATGACTTCATGTTATGCATACTTCAGTTATTCAGATGTTTACATAATAGTGGGTGGGGAATTCCTCACCCGTTGCCAGTATTTGTGAATTATAGACATGTGCATTTCGAGGGTAGTTACAAATAATTGACGACAAGGTAGTACTTGGCAGTTGGTGACTTGTCTCTTTATATATATTTCGGCTAATCTGTATCAGCGTACCTTGGCAGTGAAATCTATTTCAGACAAACAGCATGCCCTTTTCTACTTGTGTGTGTTTTTACCTTATATGGTTAAATTTAAGAAGATTTTTAGATTATTATTTACGCAGATTAATCACAGCGCCCCCTGCTGGCCATTATAAAGATAGATTTGATTTGTTCAGTAATTTTTTCAGTAATTTATTGCATCTAGAATTATTTTAAAATGTCGTTTTACCTATTTATAATGAATATAATTCTAAACATAATATTGTAGCATCTCTTTGGTAAATACGCTTATATTTTAATTAATGACGCTTTTGACCCGCCGAATTTTGCTTCTTTTTTACCAAAAAAAATATTAATATTGTAATTAAAATAAACTTAATATTAAATAATATTTTCCATATAAAACTCAACCTGCCTCATATATAGAGCTTAAATTTAAAATTATCATATTTTTTATTGTGATTTTATCGTTCATAGAGTTTAGAAAGACACTGGTAACAATATATAAATCTGATAATTTGCTTTCTAGATTTAACAGACTGCTTTGTAATTCGATAAAACCATAAAACTGAAAGTATATAGATATGAAACATCTGTAATATCACAAGGAAAAAAATATTGCGAATTTTCACCGACAGATGGAGTTAAACTAAAAACACAAACCCAAATAATTTTAAACACTCTCCTCTTGACTGTCTTCGTCTGATCGTATGGAATTCAAGTCTGGGTCCCTCATGGGTGGTGGCGAACCAAACGGAAAGTCCTAAAAAGGATAATTCAATTGTCTGAATATTTATTTTTTGATATTTTCTAATATTGATAACCATTGTGCCTCAGCTGTAAATGTATCCAGACTCCTAGAAATAAGTATTACTGGTCCTGAGTTCGAATCTTTCGAACAAATTGTTATATTGTTTCAGATGGTCGGCCAGGTAAGGTTCGCATAGAAACCTATGACCAATTCTCTACTCAAACCAGAATTTCAGACTCAAACCTTAAATAATTTCTGGAACTACAATTATTGTTAGTCGTAAGGACGTTCGTTATTAACTTAACAACTTAACCTTCCGGAAACGGATTTGTTGCCTGTACTATGAACAATGATACAAGTTTAGACGGTAGGTTTATCGAAATTCCGTCCGGGTCACGAACCACCGTCCACATATAAAAGAGTCGTGAAGTTTAATCACGTTTCTGTTTGAGTCTGTGGATTTAAAATCTCATCTTTGGGGTTGTCCATTAATCATGTGAGGCTTGAAACGGGGGAGGGGTGTGATAAAAATCACGAAAATAACACAAAGTGGAGGGGGGGTGTAGTAAGATATCTCGTGTATTTATTTTTCGTGTAGACATTTTTATTATGGTCCTTAATTTCAGAATAAAATAAGATTATAGTTTATACCTGTATTTATATTAAGATAATATTCAGAAAATTTTAAGATTCTTTGTAGGTACTAAAACTACACGTGATGTTGAGATGGGGGTGCGGGGGTGGACTCAAACCTCACTACGTATCTACGTATGGGGAAGGGGGGGTTAAAAAATGCTAAAAAAAGATCACGTGATTAATGGACAACCCCTTTTCAGCGCATTTTGTTTGATGTTATATAGCTGGGATAATTCACCTACCGTCAAGTGTTTACATGCTAACGTAATTAATAAAGAGTTACTAATAATTTGTAATACAAACCTGTGCGGGTAGATTCCTCGGTGCAGGCGGAGCGGGGGGCGGATCGCGAGGAGCGCGGGGTGAGGCGCACTCAGCGCAGTCTGCACCAGTGCTACGAGTCGAGCGACGAGACCAAGATTCCGGCATGCATCTGAAACAACACAAGCAGAAATTTAACACAGCCGGGAACCGAACCTGGTTTACAAGAACCGAACAGCTTACATGTTGTTGCTCCAATAATGTTAAATGTATGATCGATGATTTTCTTAGTTTTTTTCATTATTAAACTTCACTGACTTGTCGGTCTAATATAAAAGTAGCCATGTACGCTAATCAACGGGTCGTGAGTTCGTCGAACTTATATTTATTCTGTAACAAGTTGGACTTTGTCTGAATAATCTGTATATTCAATGGTCGATAGGAATATCGAAATTCCGTCCGGGTGTCAAACTACCTACATAGATGAAAAAGGCGAAGTTTAATCGCGTTTCGGTTTCAATCTGAGGATTTCCGAATATCCAAAGCCAAAATAAGTCTACATCGCATCTAGTTTACATGTTATTTTGATGTATTTCATTTTTTTTCACTTTACATCTCGTGCAATATAATTTTGACCACTTTCAAATTAAGGGCGTAGAACACCTGTGAAGAACTATCAAGAAAAAAATATTTTTAAATTTGTAACTTTATTTAATATATTTGATTAAATTTGTGTATACCTTTAAGTTAGATACATAGAAACAACATATATTAGAAATATATGTTGTAAGTTTGTTTGTATGTAGTTAGTAAGCTTTTAATAAATAAATACAACTATACTCGTTACCATAAGTATTCAAATGCAAAGAAACACTGTTTTTAATTCACGCAATTAGTAGGTACACATTTAAATAAAACACTTCAACGTGTCTCCGTGACCACGGCTGCTGCAAAGCTTCCTTGGACCGTAGTTAAAATAATTTTCATTTAGTGTTATTTAAATGCAAACAAACATTCAACTTACGCATGATGAACAATATGAGCACAAGGTAACGACGCCAAGGGTTCAGGTCTGTCTGCTAGTGGTTCACGGCATTTAGCGCAAGCTGGAGCCGCCCACGCACCAGCTGCTTTTTTCTGTCTTGCTGCAGCGCTGTTGTCTCCTAACGCTGTGTAAATTTCGGCGAGACGAAGGCGGACTCTTCTTACCAGCATCTGTTGATTTGTCACTCAAATATTTACTTTTATCATAACATAATCTAGGGCCCTATATTTTTTACTGACGTTAAAGTGCTTTATAAGAAAGGTGATCGAGACTTCGTAACTCGCAACGCACTGAGGTATGTTATTCTTGCTTCGTCCATCACATCTTCGCGTACTTCAATCTTAAAAGATAGACAATTACCATCGGGGACATTTATTAGAACATTTTAAGAGAAATCACTCTTTTATGCATTATTTTTAGTTTAAAACCGTTTTCGCGTTTTTTCCATATTTCCCCCTATTTCTTTGCTCCTCTTGGTCTCAGAGTAATGCCTAAAGTCTTTCTTAACAAATGCTCTAAACAACACCAAAGATATAACCAAAAAAATATAAAGAACATACTTTGCCAAACATTTGTTTTAATCGCTGGTTGCGTCGGCGTTCGTTTGGTAACGAGTGTTGGCCAGGCCTTAACGAAAGTACATAGTATGACACCTTACCTTGGACCCAACAGAAGTCGCCACTTCCAGCAGCCTCGTGTTAAACTCCAAAGGCCTGCAGTTGCAGATCCGTCCTTGCACCCTCAAAGCTTCTAAGCACCTCGCAGCTCCGTCCATCGCCTCCATCTGCGCTAAACGATCGCCTAAAGATTGTCCTGCACCCATCGCTACTTCGTAATGCCTAAAACGGATTAAAGATGTAAAGCGACCAAAATGCAATAAAGTGTATTTTTTCTTACTTCGTACATTTTTGGTAAACAAAGACACAATTTACATAAATATGAGTAATATTCTCACAAGGTTATGATTAAAACTGATGAAGTATATCATATTCACTTTTTATTATTTACTTTTTTTTTACGGGATGTAAGCTAAGTCAACGTCAGTAGAAGATAAAATTCCCACTCATGCACGATCGCTAAAAAGCGTTACAAACGTCGTGTTAAATAATATTGACGTAAAATTAAGAAAATAAGTCGTCATAGAAGAGTTTTAATATTGAGTTCGTTTCACTAAAGTAATAAACATAATGTATTTCTTGCTTCTTGAGATGGCTAGAAACGTGGACTTAAGACAACCCACCTTAATGCTTTATTGAAATCACATTTTCTCCTATAGACGTCACCAGCTATTCTGACTGCCCGTGCGAAGCTACCTTGATCACCAGCTACAGTAGACAGGCGTAAGGCTTCCTGAAAAGGGTTTTGATTTGCCATTCAGAACCCAAGATACACATTAAATGAAACTCGAGTTCTCTTGAAACAAATTGATCTTTTTTTTATATTAGGTATTTAGATAATGTCGAAATCTTTACTAATATTATAAAGCCGCGGGCATGAGTAGTTTAGTACATAAGTTAAACTTACATTGCAATAATCATAAGCGTCCCCCAACTCCCCCCTCGCCCGCAAAGCAGCCGCCATTTGCAATAACGCGATCCTGTGATGTCGCGTATTGAGGTCAGTTGACCGTGGACCGCGGCCCAAGTCACACGCTCGAGCAGCACAAGCCACAGCTCGTTCTGTGTCGCGGAGACGACGCCATAACTCCGATAGACCCACGTAGACCTGGAAAAGAATAAACAGTCTAGAGAAACTTCTAGTTTTGATCGATCGATTGATGTTATATGGCACATCAAACGAGGTGCGCTGTCGACCTGTTTTGGTTTTGTATATTCGGAAATCCACAAACTGAAACGAAGAATTTCGATATTCCAACCAAGCATTTAACATCAAGATTTCCAGATTGCCCAAAAAAATTAAAATATCTTTTTGTTGTACCTCCTTAACTACTACTAGTATAGCAGTTTAGCACTAAAAAACTACTAAAAATGTATCACATAGACTTTCTAATAGCTGCTTCAAATGTTTTAATAAAATACTTAAGGATGCCTACTTGAAGCAGAAGTGTATTATCGTTCTGTGCTTGTGCAACAGCTAGAGCTTTCTGGAAACTGTCCATGGCTTTGGAGAAGGCGCCCAGCTCTAAGCTCACACTCGCCACTGTGAGGTGAACGCAACCCGCCGTTGATCCTCCACCACAGTCATTATAGAGCGCGTGGCGTGCGTAGGAAAGTGCTCTGTAAAGAGAGAAGGAATATCAATCAATCAAAATCAAAATTCATTTATTCATGTAGGTACACTTATGAACAAATAGTTAAAATTGAAAACTCTAAATTAATATTCACTACCAGTTCCTAAATTAAGGCCGCAGAACGTACGAGAACTTGAACGCGCTTATCACAGGAACGGCTGTTTCGAATTGTGTTTCTGTTGGTTAGACCATTTATCGAGGAAGGCTATAAAAGACGCTGCGATCAGTAGGAGCGAGAAAACCCAAGTGATATGTATAACTAACTGTGTAGCTTAAATGCGGTGTATCGCATTGTGTTATGCGCGTTCTGGGGTTGAATCTCAGGATAAAGATTTACTATTTCGACACAGCACAGAAGTCTGCTTAACTCTGTCTGTTGTCAGTTTACGCGAATAGAAGACGTTTAAAAAAACACTTTTAACATCTTAAAAATAAAAAAAAATTATTCATTTTAAGACGAGCCAGACGCTTTACAGTAGTCAGTCCCCCCACTCCATGACCACGGCTGCTATAATGGATCCGAAACGTCGAGTCGTTCAGAAAAATTAATACATATATAGAACATAGCGATTCTGTCATTAAATTTGTATGTATGTTCTAAATTTTAGTAAAAACCAACCTATCTAACCCGCCGAGTGTTTGGTGTGCCCTCGCCAGGTTGAGGTAGGCTTCAGCCCTCATGGGTGCGGAGTCCAGCTCTTCTGATATGCCAAGTTGACGGTTTGCGAATTCCAAAGATTCCCTGAAAGATGACAAACTTGCACGACTGTAATATAGTATATATTATACACAGATGCAATGTCTTGCCTTAAAATATTTGGTTAAAAGCAAATTGCCTGTTATTTTTCGTTAAGTAAAGAACCACAGTACTATATAAGATTAATAGTTTTTTATTTGTATTTTAAATAGATTGCCCGTGTAACTGAAAGGTGAAACACATTGCATTAAGTGCTAAAGGATTCGGAGTCGTTTCAGTCCAGTAGACATAGGTCAGATCATTAGAAGTAGACGTTCGTCTATTTCACTGGGGACTATACTAATAGTATAAAGCTGAAGAGTTGATTTGTTTGTTTGAACGCGCTAATCTAAGGAACTAATCGTTTGAATTGTAAATTTATTTTTGTGTTATAAAACATCAGGCTACAAACAATAGGAGCGAGGGAACAGAGGGGAATGTTTCAGTTGAGTGCGATGAGAAAACGGTGCAAAATACCCAATAAATATGAAAAAAATGATTCCCCTTAAAGTATGTTGCAGAAATTCATACGTAAACATTTTACATTAATTCTCCGTTGTCCCTCACCTATACTTGCCAAAGTCCATGAAGGCCTGGTAAAGATGGCCGAGCAATGCGAATTTATCGCTCCGGTGTCGAACCCCACGTAACGCTGATAACCAGATCTTGACTGCTTGCCGCTGTTCATTTTGACTGTACAACCGCACACCGCGCTCAATCTGAAAGTGGATAAAGTTTCTGAATTTTAAAAGTATTTGGATTGAAAAATCAGGCATCCACAGCTGTTCTAACCAATTCAAGGACCATGTCTTCAATGCCAGATGCCGTTTCAAGACTCACCCGTTTCGCCATTTTTGTCAATGTAAATAGATTTTTAATTTTTTTATATTTAAGTGGAAAATATTAAAGTTTTGTTTAAGGTAACGGTAAATCTGTTTCCGTTTTTATTTAGGAGGAGGAGAGGAGATCACCCACCCCCCTTTCCATTCGTTCTCTTAGTAGAGCTTGATTATCTTAGTATCAGTATAGTCTGTTGTTTATGCAATTGGTACACATGTAACGTATTTTATACTTTTTACATTGTACACATTTAAATGCTTGTATATGAAATACACATTTAAATAAAACACTTTAACGGTTTAAAACGCGAAATATTAGTTAAACTGTCTCCCCGTGACCATGGCTACTGCAAAGCATCCGAAGTTAAAAATCATTTTTCAAAATGTTTAACTAATATATCGCGTTTTAAACCGTTAAAGTGTTTTATTTAAATGCTTGTATATGTCTAACTAAAAACCGAAGTTTCAATTGCACCAGTCACAGTGACATTATTAAAATATATTACGCGTTTTAAACCATTAAAATAATTTGAATTATTTTTTTGGCAAGGCTTCTTCTTTTCATATGAATATTTCTTCTTCTCATAAGTTTTGCATTCACCACGATTAATCACTTCCTCACCTTCCGCCTCGCTAGGTACTGGTCTATCCTGGACCTGATGATACGAAAACATTCGCACCAGCCTGTCGATGGCCTATGCGCTGGGCCAAAGCGCGCCCCCCAACGCCCATTGCGGACCTCAGTCGGGTACTCTTCGGAGAATGAATACAGCTCTGCAAATAAAAAATAAAAAAAAACATTTATTTACGTAGGTACAGTGCTCTCCAAACTGTTTGGCAGGGTTGAAGTTAGCAAGAATGGTTGCGCAGAACACAAGGCTGCGACAGGGGGGCGAGAGTGCAGGACGACTCGACTTTTTGCTTAAAATTGACAGTGCCATGCTTAAGATGGCGGTCGAGCTAACTTCAGCCCGACCAAAAAGTTTGGAGAGAACTGTACCTATGTACATTTATAAACGTCACACCAGTTAAAAACTAGATCTTTACATTTACCAGTTCTCAAATCAAGGCCGTAGAGCGAAAGAGAAGACTTGGCAACTTAAATAATGCTTTACGAAATTTCATTAAATCTTCACTAATTTATAAATAAATTATAAAAAAATCTGCGAGAGTATATGACCATCTTCTAAGATAAACTTGCAAGTACGACAGGAAGCAGACGACGTCGTGGGTAACTGCTGTATTTTAGAGGCCCTAAAGTCACTGTTCTTCGAGGACAAAGCCGCTGGCACAGCTTGTTAATAATAAGATGAGCAAAGGTCTACATATCAGTATTGTTTACTAATGACAGAGAGATCACGGCTTTTCCATCTGTGAACTGTAATTCGTGACTATGTGACGATATGCCTAACTGAAGTCCAAAATGTTTGACAAAAATAATATTTTGATTAGAAGCATATTGGCTTAGGTTGAGATTAACCTACGACCCTTTCATTATTAACCATGTATTGCTACCATTAGGCCAACTAAAACAGTATATTAAATGATAAAACTTTTAAATGTATTTCTTATCTGTGGATACATTGTTATATTCATTAGATTTTAAAATTGCATGTATTATTTCAATAAGCAAACACAACAATGAAGTAAAAAATTCCTTAATTTTCTAAATTATGTAAATTCAGTAGCGTAAGGACTGTTTGATCGAAAGGAAACAGGTAAGGTGTCTCTTAAAAGGCTTATATTTGTGTTTTGTTAATTGCCCTTTTAAATGTAGTTTACATTAATTAATGGAAAATATCTTATAATATTAATTATGATAAAAAACTCACGCGCGTTCACAGACCTGGAGTGACAAGGGCGAATCATTTTGACAGCTCGAAATTGCATTTCATAAAGCATAAACTATCAACAGGGCTATTTGATTTATAAAAATTTATATTATATGGTAGATGTTAAAGAGCCCCAGGAAATGTGGTATTTTTAAAATTCGAATTGTGCGAAATAACCCTGCAATACGGCTAGTGACGTCACAGCCTTATATTGGCCATTAGTGTATGTCGATCATATGATCTAAAACCTAAGTGCATTTGTAACTAACAATTACATTTTAACAGTGATTGAAGTAAATAAAATGAGTTACAAATTCATTTATTAAGAACTACAAGCACTTTTTATAAGCAAGTGACGTCGTCATAAACCCGACCAATCAGGAGCGTTTTGTGTAACTTAAATGTTCAAAGTTATTTTTATATAAATTAAATATTATTTGTAACATATCAGGCACATATTCACTATCTTAATTTATACTTTATACTGATAACTGTAACTGACGCCATATTCATTGCATTGTGAAATAGCCATTATTTTATATGTATTGCCTTTCATAAGAACACCTACCTAGCTTGACATGAATAAACTATTTTTATTCGACAACGATATAGGAAGTACTGTCAGTAGTTTACGCGAGTAGTACATATTTAAATAAAAGTTTAACGGTTTAAAACGCGAAAAATATTAGTTAAACTTATTTGAAAATTAGTTCATTGCAGCAGCCGTGGTCCCAAGCATCAGAAACGTCGGGCCGCAGTTAAAATAATTTTTAACTAATATATTTCGCGGTTTGAACCGTTAAGCAGTCCAAACGTACCAGGTGGCTCATCGAGACGATGTCTGGAGGGATCTGGTGAACTAATCAACCGCGAAGCAGACAGCTGGTGAGCAGGCGCCCCGCTGGAACAGATACAACCAGCCTTTACCACAACGTTGTCACCATATTTCTCCAATATATATATCAATAGGTTGAAAGAATTCGACGATGACGTGTAAGACTCGGTAGCTCAATTGGCTAAAGCACGCCGGTTTAAATCCTGCCTGAGTCGTACATTTTGTCAATCTTTAATAATTTTTTAATTTAAGTTCGTCATGTAAATATTTTGAGGTCGTAAATATGTATCATTATTAATAAAACTAAACTTTTTATATTTATTCATATCACATAATAGCTTAGTACTTCAACGGACCAACATAAGATCGCAGTTTGATTCCTGTTTAATAAAATGATCCTAACATTGACATAAGGATGTCGATGAAATCGGCGTTGTTTGTTGAGGTCGTTTGCCAAGTTAGAAAAAATACATTATATAAAGTTTCTGTCCCAGCTGTGGGACTTACCCGAGGAAGTCGCGCGACTCGAGCGAGTCCCATGACATATTCCGCGGGTGGAGGCGACAGCGTCACCTGTTGGCAGGGTGCATCGCGCACTCTTTCTGCCGCATAACCTGGAAATATTAAAAAAAATACTACTATTATAAAAAAAAAAAAAAACAATTATTTTCCGTAATCTAGTAGCGCAGTACTTTGATTTCCTGGACAGATAATATTGCTTATCTAAATAAAACAAGTTTAACGGTTTAAAATTAAATAAAATGTATTAGTTAACTTATTAAGAGTTTAAGTGCGGCCCGATGTTTCGGATTGTTTGTAGCAGTCGTCGATGTGCCCCTCCCACTTTTTTATTAAACTACAGACGATACAATAATGCTTAATATATGCTAATGTTAATTCGTTTTTTCAGAATCGATATTTATTTAAGTCTTCATTTCCTTACTTCTTTATGATTTTAAAAATAGTTTGATATTATTATTATGCTATACCGTTTCAGACACAAAACGCTTGTAAGAAATAAAAGAAATTCATTATTTAGTAATGTACAAATTATAATATCAGAATCAGGTTGTCCTAACAATAAACAGAGAAACCCATATAAAATATAGCAATTTATTAAAATACACAAATAAAACTTTAGGTCAACAGTTCTCAATGCGCAATAACTGTCTTGAATGAAACCTAAAAACCAAAACCAAAAGCAATTTAAGGGAATTTATATACAATATACAGTTGGTGGCAATGTATGGCTAATGGTCAACAGGTCGGGAGTTCGAACCCACCAGGTCCAAGATTTTTCTAATTTCTTCAATTCATATTTTTTCTTAAACCTGCCGGACTTCGTATGGAAGTCAGGGTATTAAATGGGTGGTGGAAATATATAAATCCTGTCCGGGTAAAAAATTCCGATTTCAGTCTGTGGATTTCCGGATATCCAAAAGGGAAGCCAAAATAGGTCGACAGTGCATCAAGTGAGATCCTTGTCACGTATGTCCTCCTTTATCGTAAAAATAATTCATAAAAATTCCGAATATGACCTATTTTAAGATTATGGTACATATAAGGCCTAGGTATACCTAGGCATTATAGGTATTTAGATTGTAGGAGCAGTGACCTATCCCTGCGACATTTACCTACATCTGTAGCGGTGACCTAGATTTTATGAATCAGGCTGGGCTAATATCATTTGCAAGGAGCGACATTCAGATTACGTTAGTAGTATTTTTAACCTAGCTCTCAATTCTATATATTTATAATTTAAGCTGTAGCTTTTATATTGCATTAGCTTACTTGGAATGACAATCTATTAGCGTTGTATTACTCTAAATTCTTTCAATCAATCTATTGATCGAACTACTTTGTTCTTATTAATATTCAGATTGTAAAACTATAGCTATTTTTTATGTTCTTTAAACATGATATTTATGCATGATTATAAATTTTAAGCAATTTAATTAATTAGCAATTTACTTATATCGATTAATTTAATGACTGTTACATTCGTTGCGTTTTAATATTCATCTTCGTTCGTTACCTAGCTTCATATTAAAAGCACAAATTCTTCTATCTACGAGCTTTTCACCTCATTTCAAATACAAAGGGATGGAGTTAGCCTATTTTCTAGAAAACCTCCCTGATAACAGTCGACCGCATTCTAATTTTAAAATTGTGAAAGGTACTCACAGGTTATCACAAGGGTGGCTGTTTGTCGCAATCCGGTGTGTCACTAACTGACCGTTTTTCTAAGGAAATTCATTAAACTATTTCTTTTTAGACGATTTTGTTGTAATTTCACGGTAGAGTCCTTGTTCGGACTTAGAGCACACCCCGCACTGTGGGATGTTGTGCAGGAGAACAGGGGCGTGAGTGGAGTCGCTTAGAGTATTTTTTATGTAATTTTGGTATTTAAAGTTACATACATTATTTAGGTTTCGTCTCACTATTGCGATGTGACCAATGTGATCTATCAGCGTTTTATTAATAAGCCAAATTTAACGAAACTTTTTTGACACTCTTAACTTATCTTAACTGTAAGAGTAAAGTGTGGTTACGTCTCATCAAAATTCGTTGCAATAAAGGGCGCTCTGCCTTCTTAAAAAAATCATTTACTTAACGCAATCGTGGTAAACACAAGGTATAAGTAATCATTTACTCTTTAAAATGTTAAAACTCAGCTCCATAGCTTTGTTAGTCTCCCAGCATCCCTCTATCCCCTTTCATTGACAGCGAAGCGCATGCGCGGACAGAATCGACACATCAAAAACGTTTTTCCATTTAAATGAACATAGTGTTTAGCGCCTATTACACTAAAAAGGTTTATGCTAAATTAAATAACCTTCAGAGAATTCTCTTGCGCTTTATAGTAACTAAGTTAACATTTATCTACCTTATCTATTTTGTTATTGAATTTATTAATATATTTTGTAGGTGTATGAATAACACACGTACGGTGTTGTAGTTGAATAAGCAGTTAATAAAAAAAATGCGTTAAAAAATACATAAATACGTCATAGTCAAACATGGGCACTATATCAGGAAATGACACACTAAGTAACTACATGCCAACATGCCATGGAAAAAAGCATGCTCACAAAAGATCAGACAGACAAAATAATAAAGTAATTAGAAGTAAGACAAAGGTAACAGACCTAGTAACTAAAATTAGACGACTAAAATGGAGATGGGCTGGGCACACAATCAGAGGAAAAGAGATATGGAGTAAGAAAGTAACAGAACGGTATCCTAGGGCAAAGAAAAAGAGGAAGACCTCGGATAAGGTTGGAAGATGACATAAGGAACGTGGCTGGAGTCACGTGGAGTAGAGTAGCCCAAGATAGAAAGGAGTGGAAAAGGTTTGACACACGGCACGGAAAATACGATAGATAGTAGACTAGTAGAAAATAAACATTGTAAATATAAATAAGAAAGTGTAGTATTCGTAATAAAGGCTTTTTCATTCCACGCCATAGTCATTTCATATTGAAAAGTGAGAGAAACGTCAAATCCTAATTCGAACTTTCCCGCCATTTTGTCGGCCGTCGGGTTTCAAAAGCGAACGCGTAAAACACGCGCAGCTTTCAACTCCACAAATTGAAAGAAAAAATATTGTCAGCATCAATTTTAACCCAAACAGTAATAAATTGGCATCTCTCAGCGACATTAGACGCACACAGCGGCGTTTATTAATAGAGGACGTTTGTAAATCCCGAAACGAGGGTTGTTGCGGTCGTCAGTGCGCCGCGTGTCTCGGCGCAATGCGCGCGAAAAACTGTCACTGTCAAGTTGCCTCGCCGAGTGTCAAGCCATGAGTTATGCGTACGAGGATTTTGACAGGTTCACGAACTAAATACTGTCTGTAGTTTACGCGAGTAGTACACATTTAAATAAAACACTAACGGTTTTAAACGCGATATATATCGGTTAAACTTATTTGAAAAGTATTCTTAACTACGGCCCGACGTTTCGGATGCTTTGAAGCAGCCGTGGTCACGCGGAGACCGCGGCTGCTGCAAATTTAAATAAAACACTTTATCTGCTTATACTTTGCAGCAGCGGTGGTTACGGGGAGATCACGGCAGGCAGAAACGTCGGACCGCTTTTTATATAACTATGAAATAAGTTTAACTAATATATATCGCTTTTTAAACCGTTAAAGTGTTTTATTTAAAGGTTCAAGAACTGTTGTGACGTTAAGAGTGAGAAGCAGAATGAGGAGGAGGAGCACGTCCAGCACGTGTTGGGGCCGAGCAGGCGGTGCCTGGCGTGGGCCTGCAAGGCCTGCAAGCGGAAAACCGCGGCCGTTGACAGGAGGAAAGCGGCCACGATGAGGGAGAGGCGACGGCTTAGAAAAGTGTGTCTTTTGTTATATTTATCTAGCTATTACTCTAAATATTGAATATTCTTTTAAATATAATCACTTAAACGGTTTAGAACGCAAAAACAAAATTATATATTTTTTCACTTTATTTTAAATATGAAACGCCCTTCTTTAGTTAGTAGTATATTTTGCGTTTTGAACCGTTAAACTTACTGAATATTCATTCTTAACTAAAATATAAGAATCAATCCACAGAAACCAACTAAATTCCATTTATAAGTTTATATATATAGTGTAAATATTAGTTTTTAATAAAATGCGCGTTAACAGTATAAAAAAAACTTAGAATTGTGTTTTCTTAAGACAGGTGGCACGAGTGGTCTAATTTGCTTCGCGTACCGTTAAAATCCTTTCAAAATTTAGCATAGAGTGACGAACTTTTCATAAAACATTTAACAATACTAATTAATGAAGTATAATTTCATAATTTAAATGCGAAATAGAACTTCCTTAAAAGCTAAATACTGTCTATAGTTTACGCGAGTAGTACACATTTAAATAAAACACTTTAACGGTTTAAAACGCGATATATTAATTAAACTTATTTGAAAATGATTTTTAACTTCGACCCGAAATCGGCCGTGTCACCCCGTGACCACGGCTGCTGCAAATCATCTGAAACGTCGGGCCGAAGTTAAACATCATTTCCAAATAAGTTTAACTAATATATCGCGTTTTAAACCGTTAAAGTGTTTTATTTAAATGTGTACTACTCGCGTAAACTATAGACAGTATTTAAAACGTGTACTAGTAGTTGATATAATTATCGTATTAAATTGAACTTTAAAATCTCACCATAATAGTTTCTTGGTAACGTTTGAAGTATAATAATCATTATGTATATAGAATTTAACCGTGTCAGCGACTTCGTCGGTGTACAATAGTTATTTTGCATATCCAAATTTGTTTTTGCAAACCACATATTATGAGCTGTTGACGACATCGGTCGTGTCCCGTCGTTCTTGCAAGGTAATCTTAGATAGACATATAGTGTTGCGGCCATTCTTTTTGATTCCTTAAGGAATTATAATTTTCCGTGTTTTTCCGGCTATTTCTTCGCACTTGTTAGTCACATAGCCTTCCTCGATAAATGCTCTAACTAACACAAAATAATTGTTCAATTCGAACGCGCAGTTTCTGAGATTACCGCGTTCAAACAAACTCTTCAGCTTTATATATTGGTATAGATAGGTTAATAAAAAACATGCTTCTTTTTCCTGGGATTCGAACCCAGAGCCTCTAGCAATTAACGCGATACTAAACAACACATTTAACCACAAGGCTACCCAACAGGGGAAACGGCATTTAACTTTCTTACTATTATTTGAAAAATATTGTTATCTATTGGTACGTTTCTGTACAGAATCACTTTGCGTACAGGCAAATATAACCCGGATTTTCTTGTCTCCAATTCGACAGCTCAATCTTTTCCAATAAGACTTTGAATGCATCTTGGAGCACGCACAGAGGATTACTTGCTTGAGATAATTAGTTTCGGTTTAATTATAGATAAGAACTATTTCTCTACTCGTGGAACCAAAAATACACTCGTGAATTCAATATAAATGTACATTTTAAATATTACACTTAAAAAAAAAACAGTTCAACGGTTTAAAACGCGATATATTCTGGTTAAACTTTTTTTGAAAATTGAGAAACGTCGGGCTGTAGTTAAAAATATTTTTTAAACAAGTTTAACTAAAATGTATCGCGTTTTAAACCGTTAAAGTGTTTTATTTAAGTGTGTACTACTTGCGTAAACTAGACACTATTTTATTACAATTTTCTAAAAGTTTAACCGAAATCCTGGTGTGTGTTTTTTGTGCTATAAACCATTAGTCTATAGACAGTCCTGGAGCTCGAAAAAACAGAGGGAAATGTGATAACAATGGGAAAAATTAATTTTTATTTTTTATTCAAAAACGTTCAACCAACAACATTCTTTGAAAACTTTATTATTTTTTCAAAGTTATTGCACATGAAGGCACTGTATAATTTAAAAATCGAAAATAATCTATAATTTAAAAATTGCAAATAATCTATAATTTAAAAATCGAAAATAATCTATAATTTAAAAATCGAAAATAATCTATAATTTAAAAATCGAAAATAATCTATAATTTAAAAATTGCAAATAATCTACCAATTGAGCTACCGAGTCACTCGGACTCGGTAGCTCAATTGGTAGAGCAACAGCATGGAACTCTGACGATGCCGGTTCAAGTCCTGGCCGAGGCGAAAATTTTTCCAATTTATTTTCGATTTTTAAAAGAATGATTCTTGTTTAAATTATTTAAAAAATGTCCGTGACAGTTTACGTTTACGATTTCTCTCAATTGTTAAATGTTAAACTGACGTATATAACCTTTACATTTATTTTTTGTTTCGTATATTTTAACCATAAATAAATCTAGTAATACTATATTAGATATCTAGTAGAGAGACCAGTCTTTCTCTCTTTCTATATAATTCCTTGGTCACACTAAATCATCATCATTTAATTCTAAACGGCCCATTCGAGTGACATTTAAAGATGACGAACGTTCTATATCCACTTGAATATCACGTGCGCGAGAATAGGGTTCTCCAGCTCCCCGAGGTATACACGTCACAATTCACAACTAATTACAAACGTGTGTCAGCGCGACAGATTCCACCAATCCACTCTCCTAATGGACTTCGGTAGTTAGCTTTAAAACAGTCTAATGGATTGGTGTATATTAGGCATATGAAAATATATCTCACAATTTTATTTATTCAGGAAAATAAACAGAGCGGTTTCTTATATACACTAATATATAAAGCTGAAGAGTTTGTTTGTTTGAACGCGCTAATCACAGGGACATTACCGGTCCGAATTGAAAAATTGTTTTTGTGTTGGTTAGAAAATTTATTTAGGAAGGCTATAAAACTCGCACTGTAACAAGCGAAGGGAAAGTAAAAAAAGGAAAAAAATATTCATCATTATGGATTTCCGAGGCGTACGCTGCAAAAACGGTTCAAGATAACCAAAAAACATGTGAGAAAGAATGATTTCTCGTTAAATGATCTAAAAACAAGTCCGCGACGCTTATGCCTATCTTTTAAGATTAACTTGCAAGAGCGATGGAAATGGACGCGACCGACGTGCTGGGTAACAGCTAAGTTTATAAAAATTAAGGTTTGTAAAAACGAAATTGGATGCAATTCTCGCGGACGAAGTCGCTAACTCAGCTAGTAATAAATAAACGGAATATAACAATACTAGCTGTGCCCGCGACTTTGTCCGCGTAGAAGAGTTAATATAGGCGTCAATATTAGTTTTTTCAAGCCTCTTTTTTAACTTTATAAATGTAATCTGTTGCCCACGACGTCGGACGCGTCCCGTCGTTCTTTCAAGTTAATCTTAAATTATGATGTATAAAGGACGACTTTGAAAGAAGCCCGAGAAGATTTCTAATGACCTAGAATTTTTTTTAATAATACCAGCTCGTTAAAACAGTAATTTAAAGGAAATGAAGGCATTTTCACTTTTATTTTATTTATAGTATCACGGACATTATAGTGTCGATAAATGCTCTAACGAACACGAAGAGAATTCATTTGGAAATAGTAGTTCCAATTGAAGTTGAGATAAGCGCGTTCAAACAAACAATTCACTATTAGTATAGTACAAACATCTTTATTATTCTTATAGATAAAAAACTTCATATATTAGTAATACAAAATAATCTTAGATACCAGAAAAATCTTATTTTAATACAAATAATTTGCAAAAATTTAAGTGTGCGAAATATTCAAGTTCTTTTTTTATCATTAAAACCTCGGTAGTTGGACTTCTAGAGTCATCGTATTATAAGTAGTTACTTAGACGACGCGAAGTGAAAATAATTAAACAAGAAACCCCGGTGACACACGTCTCCTTAGGGATTGAAGGACGCTTTAAAAGCTATTACGTGACAAACTCGTAGATTACGTTCTTAACGGCCACGATCTAACGTAAAAATAGGTTAGTTACGCTACTACGTTCAACTGTAGTTCTAACGTTAAGAGAAAAAATTAAGAGAATTGACGCTGCTAGAACCAGTGTGGCCTAATAACAAAAAACGTGATTTTCCAATAAGGAGGAAATAATTGCGCAATTAAATTAAAAAGGAATTTGTACTATCATTGTGTAAGAATTATGGTAACAATTTTCGGTCACTGTGCTCTTGTAGTTTAACATTTTTAGACGCAGAATACTATTATATTGTTGTGAAAAATTCTAATCAATTAGTACATTTTCTGAAACATGTGTGACTTCGTCTGGAAAGCTGGATATTGAATGGTTAATAGGAAAATTTTACTAACCACTATCCACAGATGAAGAAACTGCCTAGTTTAATCGTGTTTCGGCTTTATTCCGTGGATTCCGGAATATAGAAACTGCAAAGCCAAAATAGACAGCCCATCTTGTTTCGATCTTATATGACTATGGATTCACCTACCATAAGTAAACCTCACGTTTGTCTGTCCTTCTCTATCCTAATACTACAGAGGCGGTAGATGGATTTTTCTATTAGGAACCCGAAGAGAACATCAAATAAATAAGCCACATTAGAGCTAATAAATAACGCCGCCTCACAAAAATAGCTCCTCTCGATAAACATACAAATATATAGCGAACATTTTGTTTTCACATAAAAACAAATTTATTAGTCCCCTCAAAGAGAGTTTTATTTTACGCGCCTGTAGCGTTTTGTAAATGTCGTTAACATTATGATAGTTTACATAAATCTGTCAAATCGTTATGACGTTTTAATTTGGAGTCTTCGTCGCGAGTTATGGGGGACGCGCGTCCTCAGATCTTTTCGTTGTTCAATGTTTTTTTTATATGATGTATAGTTTGTACGCTGAAAAAGCTTCATAAATCATTTTTTTTAGATTATAAACTTCACAACTTTGTCTCGTTGATCCAATGATTTTTTTAATAAAAAGCTAAAAGTTGTTTGTTTTTTTGGATATTTTATTGCATTTGATATTCGGAAATCCACAGAATGAAACCGATATGCGTAGAATGATTACATACTATTTTGAAAACACCTCAATTCTATGTTGTCCTGGTACTGGAATGTATCAAGATCAAAAAAGTTTGTGTTTTAAATAAAAAAACAAAAAAAAACCGACACGGGCAGGGCTTGAACCGGCATCCACAGTTAGTTAGTTAGTTAGGTTGCACTTAGAATTACTGTACAGAGCAATCCCCCTCTGTCCTCTTAGCTCTATTAAAAAACAATACATTGTAATAAAGACGAAAATACCCAGCAACGGTACGGTACGATGTTGGTTGGTGACAGTATTGTAGAAAACCATAAAACACAAAATAATGTAGCTCTTATGTTTTGTTAACCTTCGGTAACTAAACAACTAAACGTGTCGCCTAGCGTTGAAACAAAGGGCTGTTTCGCTCGGGTAGGGCATAGAACTGATCAACTACTTGCCTGTAAATAAAACCGATCAATGAAACGGACACATAAATGTGTTCGCTACATGGAAGGAAACTAAAGCGTCATCTTGATGATATTAAAAATGTAAGTTCTTTACAAATACTTTTTGTAATATTTATTTCGTTAGATAAAAACACTTTTAACATTTGTTTTGCTCGGTCGCATCGCTTCTCTGGTTAATGGGGCGGAGCTAATAGGCTCTGTCTAATTTTATAAAACTTTCACATACATGATATTCACAGGCCAGTGTCCTCTATAAAGATAACTAGGTTTGACACGCGGTTTCTTCTGTGCGGTAAGCTTATAGACCTTTTATATTTTGCCGAACATATAAGCTTTTAAGTAAGCACGTTTAACGTTTTACTTAAAACGGAAATTTATTAGTTAACTTATATAAAATGATTTTAACTACCGCCCGATATTCGGTTTGCAGCGGGGCATTTTTAATGTTAAAGTCAAATCCGCAGTGAAATAAAGGAAATATATTCGATATTTCGTTTTTAAGCCGTTAAGTTTTATTTAACTTCCACCTCAGTCTTTCGTGATCGACAGATATTCTGGGGGCAAAAGGGGCCTTTGTGAAGACCCCAGAATCTTGCGTATGATCCACATATTAAACTAACTAATGGATTACCAATTCTTCTCTTAATAATAAAATTGTTTGTAGGTAAATGCAGCTTTTGAAGAGCTAAGAATACGTGCTAGAGCTGGTAGTGGGAGACTCCCTAAGTTGGAAATCTTAAGAGCAGCAATTCAGCACATAGAGAGACTACAGGCTGCTCTGCGAGCTGCCGCTGTGGTGAGTTAACCATTATACAGAGTGTATTATAATCGTTTGTACTTGGAAAAAATTGTTTCGTCATTTGCTTAAAACGTTGTTTCTAATAGAACTAGACTTTTTTTTAAGATAGAAGAGAACAGACAACCTCGGGATTCACTTGATGGAAGATGAAATACTCCAGCCGTATAATATCTAAACAAAATGTGCTATCGACCTATTTTGGCTTTGGATATTCGGACATCCACATACTGAAACTGGAACGCGATTAAACTTGAAGTGACCTGGACCGATTTTTGATATTTCGACCACTCATTTAATATCTAAATTTCCAGACGAAGTGCAACATGTTTCAGAAAAATTATAAATTGATTAAAAACATTAAAGACCGGGATTTTGATCTCCGACCGTTGATTAGCCCTACATGCCACCATCAGACAAAATCTCCTTTTCTCTCTAAATAAGTATTTGCTTTTTTCGGGAATCGAATCTACAAATACAAATATACGAAAAGAGTTGTGTTTATGAACGCGCTAATCTCAGGAACTACGGGATCGAATTGAAAAATTCTTGTGTTGTTAGAGCATTTATCGAGGAGAGCTACAGGCTATACTAAACATAGCGCTGTTGTTTGAATATGTCCGGGACCTTATATGACTATCTTAAAGTTAACTTGCAAGAACGACGGGACGCGAACAACGTAGTGGGTACCAACTTAAACAGATTTGAATCCCCAAAGTAACTATTCTAGGCGGACAAAGTCGCTGACTCAGCTAGTATTAAATAAAACACAAGAACTAAAGCAGATGTTGCAGATAGGTACTACGTTATACTGAAATACGGAAATAGCAGTCTACTTCATTCTGTTTGCCTGGTATTTTAATAGCTAATAATCTAATATTCTACGAAAGTGCTTAGTTAATTTTGCCTAACAGCGAAGACTATAATTCAATGTGACGTCAATGGACCTAACGATAGCAATGTATGGCTAATAAACGTTCGGGGGTTCGATCCCAACCGGGTCCAAAAAGTTGCTAAACAATTTATAATTCGAATAAATTGTGTAAGGCTGTCGCGGCCATCGTTCAGCATATCATTGTCTTTCGGGCTGATCGGCCGATGTGAGCGAGAAGAGGTTCTCGACGTTTCGCCATCACGTTTGGACGGCATCATCAGGAGATGTTAACCCCTCGATTGCTCGAGGAATCAACATCGATGTAATTTATAATTCTTCTGAAACATTGTCTTTGTATGTCATTTACAAAATCTAGAAATATTAAATAGTTATGACGTACGTTAACGTTAAAGTTTAAATTTAATTTATGATACGGCGGGGCTTAAACGATAGATAAATGTAAGACTTATTGTATTAAACATTTTCGAAAATATTGCACTAAGACTAAAACGGAAATTTAAACGAGAATTGAAGCATTCCTAGTACGAGTGGATAAAAAATAGAATGCGCAAGCGCTGCTTATCCGAGACATCAGACAAACGAAAATAACTGACGATCAACGATAACTCGCGGAAAGATGTCGCGATGTTAAATCGCAATTAATTCACGCCAGACACGATTTATGGCTACACGTGCGCGGGCGCACAAATAGATCCGCTGCCGAGGGGATCATTTTAATTGGAGATGGCCTTTTGCTTTACTTGCGACCTGCCCTGCGGTGCAAATTACATTTCTCCTTTATTAGGAGACATAGGGCAACGCTTTCAGAATAACGATCAACGGGTCGTGGATCCCCACTAGGTCCATCATATTTCAAATTTTGCAATTTCTAATTTTTCTGAAACATGCTGGACTTAGTCTCGAAACCTGGATATTAAATGGGGGTAGGAATATAGAAAGTCCACAGATGAAAAAGTTAGGTGAAGCTTAATCGCGTTTCGGTTTCAGTCTGTGGATTTCCGCATATCCAAAGCCAAAATAGGTTTAGAACCCCTGCCACGTCTATCATAAAAAAATTGAGTTAATTTACTTTTACTGAATACTTTTAAATTAAAGAGTACAAAAAACTTCTAGCAGGGGAATTACAGAGGCCGTTTTAGTCGCGTTCGCTTTCGTTTTATTTATTTTTCTATTTTATGTATTTTTTTATTAACGTTAAAATTTTGTGGTAAATATATTGGTTATTTGTACTTCAAATGTCAAGCGTGGGGAATAACTGAAAATCAGCGTTGTGCCTATTTTCAGGTAAAACAAAAGCTGAGTGGTGTACCCTTCACATATATCTATTTTATTATATATATTTTGTATTCTTGTGTATATGGAATAAATTATTAGATTTCCTTTGAAATTTTAAACTTCGATCTAGTGGTTAGTTTGACTGCGGATAATGTCCCAGATTCGAATAGGTTTGAGAAATAACTTCGGTATTTCTCGATGAATATTTCAAGTACTAGCCCGAGTTTGGATGTAAGATAAGTCTGGTTTAAAACTAATCCGCTAATAAACAAGATGGGCTGTCGACCTTTGGCTTTGGATATTCTGAAATCCACAGACTGAAACCGAAACGCGATGGAACTGTGCTTCCATCGTCTGTGACCGATGGTTCGTGACCCGGACGAAATTTCGATATTCGTACAACCGATTTAATACTAGGTTTCAGACAAAAGTTAGGAAAAGATAAATGGATTAGAAACACGTTGGTATCGGGTGGGGATCGAATCCACGACTCGTTTTTTATTAGCCATACATTGCTACCATTAAAAAAAAATTAAGTAGTAAATATAGATAGGGGTATAATTCTGTGAATTAGAAAATAATAATGAATTTTTTGTCAACAGTTAGAATCAGACGCTTGCAAGAGTTACGTGGAACCAGTCAACTCACGCGCAGATACAAAGGACACTAAAAGTGACAGAGAAAAGCCGTTTTTACACGGTGAGATACATTTCGAAAAACTTTGTTTTAAAATGAAAAATCAACGGATTAAAACGTCTTATATTACTTAAGATACTGTCTTACTACAATTTTGAGTGCTTTTCAGCAGCGAAAGTTCCAAAAAGTGAATGAGTTTGAACAATTTCAGGTTTTTATTACTAAATTTATTTTGTTTCAGGTGAACCGTCTTGCGGTCTTAACAGTTTAGCGAGACTAAGATGTATAGTACAAGCTTTAGCCAAAGACAATGTGTGATTTTAGATAGCTAATGGTTTTTCAAGTATACATCAAAATATGATACAAAAATAACGAAGATACCTACTGTCGTCTACACGAGTACAATAAATAAAACACTTTAACGGTTTAAAACGCGATATACTTATTTGAAAATTATGTTAACTACGTCCCGATGTTTCGTCACCCCGTGACCACGGCTGCTGCCTAGTCCGAAGTTAAAGTATCCGAGGTTGAAATAATTTTCAAATAAGTTTTGCTAATCTATATCTCGTTTAAAACCATAAAAGTGTTTTATTTAAATTTCGTTATACAAAACTCAAATCACCAAAGCGAGTTAATAGACCGTCGTTTCACACAATTCCATACAAAGAACAAGGACACAAAATGTGTACGACGCCAACATTTTATGGAAGTTTCTTTGACTAACCCATTTTGGTGATTATATCAACTAGTTTCAAATCAGTACTAAATCTATAATTTCATAGCTTCCAAGAAAGACATCGAATTCAATAATTCAGTCGACGTATTTACTTATAAATATGTAAAAATATAACTGTATGGTATATACCTAAAACGAATTAATACAATACTAAACAATATAAGGCCTAATACACACGAGAGCGTTTTTCCGTCCGTTAAAAAAACGTTCAAATTGAAAAATTGCAAAAATACGGTTAAAAAAAGGTCTATTCCCAACGCTCTGCGTAAAAATGCGCTCTTAACGTCGCTTTTTAAAAGCGCCTACGTGCGAACACGTACTTGGGTATGCATATGTTCTATTTGAACTCTTTTTTAACGGACGTTAAAAAACTCTCGTGCTAATTAAGCCTTAGACTACCTTAATTAGATAAGAAACGGTGTAACTTATCCTAATCTATTTATTTAACTGTAATATTAGACAATATTGCTCATTAGCTTTTAAATGGTTGAAATAAATTATTTTATGCGATAAATATTACGTTTTATTAAAGACACTATTAGATTGTAAGAGATTTGGCTCAAAACTTGATGTGTGTGTAAATGTAAAATCCCGTTTTCCCCTCGTGGGGGCATGGGGCAAACACATTTCTGTGCCTGTTTCACAGATCCGTTCTTTAGCAGGCAAGTAGTGGATCAGACTTCTGTGCCCTGCCGAAACAATTTTTGGTTTAAAAATCGAAAATAAATTGAAAAAATTTTCGACTCGGGCAGGACTTGTACCGGCATCGTCAGCGTTCCGTGCTGTTGCTCTACCAATTGAGCTACCGAGTCCTTTTAATTTTCGATTTTTAATAGTATCTATATAGTAGTAATAATAAAGTTTTCAATTTTTTTGTTTCCCTGGGATTTGAACCCGGGACCTATCCAACAAGTTTTAACCATTTGGTTACAGAAGCGATCAAGTAAAAACTTAAATTAAGTATTAATTTATCTAACCCTAATCTTAAAACTCAGATAAACTTTTACTAATATTGATTGCAAAACTATCTTGGCACACATTTATTGCAAACTGTAACTTCTTACTAAGAAATGCGTATTTTCGAATCACCCCTTATAACCCGATCTCCTATATTAATAGTCCTGATAATTATGATAGATGTCTACACGACACAAAGTAGGAAGCATTTGTGGGTGGGGCCTGCGCGCGCGCCAAGCCACGCCCTGCGTCGCTCGCGAATCTAAATCTTAGATTTATTCTTGCAATTACGTGTATTTTTGTCTAACGGATCAATCTATACTAATCTTATAGCTCATTTGTTTGCTGTTGTGCATGAAATCTTAATAGGATGTAATACTTCGAAAACTTCTAAAATATTTATTATCACAGACACGTTTAGTCCCTCACATGAAGTAAACATATTTTTTTATCCATACTAATACATAAAGCTGAACTTTGTTTGTTTAAACGCGCTGATCTCAGAAACTACTGTATCGAACTTGAAAAATTCGTTATGTGTTGGTTTGAGCATGTATCGAGGAATGTTTTGGCTAAAATAGACGTTGTCACTAACACGAGCGACGAAACAGCGGGAAATGTGGAGAAAACGGGGAAAATTATTCATCTTTGTGGATTTCCGATGTGTACGATGCGAAAATGATTCAAGTTACCCAAAAAAATAAGTCCTTACAAAATAGTAAATGAGTCCTTTGAGAAAAGAAAAAAAAAAACAATCCCAAAAACACCCCAGCGCTGGCCTATTTTTGCTTGGGATATTTGGAAACTCAACAACAACGCAGAATTACTACTTCACGGCTTTTTCCATCTGCAACAAATATAAATTGATGTTACAAACATATTGGACCCGACGGGAATCGAACCCTACGATTAGCAATCCGTTGCTACCGTTGGACCAACAAGCCTAAGTGATAAAGTATTCCCAGATCTAGGAATGGTATTCTAGTCTGTTGTTTGAAATTTGATACACTAAACTAGACAAAACAAAATATATTAAAGATAATCTTACGTACTAAATCTATACATATAAAGCTGAAGAGTTTGTTTGTTTTTTTGTTTGAACGCGCTAATCTCAGAAAGTACAGGGTCGAATTGAAAAATTCCTTTTGTGTTGGTTAGAGCATTTATCGAGGAAGGCTAGGCTATATAACATCGTGCTGTGACGGATAGAAGCGAAGATCATCTCTGTGGATTTCAGTTACGCTGCGGAAACAGTTCAAGATACTTAAACGGATTCCTCTTTAAATGATCTATAAAAGATCTAGATCTAAAAAAGTCCGCGATGCCATATGTCTATCTTTTAAGTATAACTTGCAAGAACGACGGGAAGGGACGCGATCGACGTCGTGAAAAACAGTTTATAAAGATGACGGGGTTTGCAAAATCTAATTTGGATGCCCAAAATAACGATTTGCGGAAAGTTGCTGGCACAGCTAGTAAAAAAATAAAAGGCGGCCTTGTCGCTAATCAGCGATCTCTTCCAGGCAACCTTAAATACCTACAAGAGAAAAGAAAAAAGGCTTATTAAGTGGGAAGATGTAAATAGTACCATTACTTAAAATTAACAATTAAATAAAACCTTACCTTAAAACTAATGCGATTAACTGTTCGTCTATATATATTTAAACATGGTTATAAAAAGATTTTATTCATGAATGCTCATCGAAGCCTTGACAAATAAATCATTCTTTCGCGCAATATTTCATAGCACGGTACACAAATCATTCACTCTTTAGCCGGTACTGTCGTTCGTTCGTTCATCAATCGTTGCGCAAGAGTTGTCACGGTTGTCTTACGATCAGATTTATTCTGTTTCAACACGATAATACGATTTATTTAGGGATGAGATTTGAATTATTTGTTTTTGTCGACTTCAGGAAATGCTAATATATATTTCGGGAGATTCTGAAATAGGTAGTAATTATATTAATTAATTCGTTTGTCGTACTTATACTAATATTATAAAGCTGAAGAATTTGTTTGTTTGACAACGAAGTATGTAAGAATGAACCAGTTCAAATGGACAAAATTATTCTCACATACTGTCTGTAGTTAACGCGAGTAGTACACATTTCAATAAAACACTTTAACGGTTTAAAACGCGATATATATTAAATAATTTAATTCATTAGTTTCAATCATTTTCAAATAAGTTTAACTATTATATATCGCGTTTTAAACCGTAAGTGTTTTATTTAAAAATCCTTTATGTTGAGTAGACCATATCATGGAGTGAAGGAATGTGGACGCAACGGTTCAAGATACCCAAGAAATCTGTATGAAAGAAAAAAAAATACTTTATTTAAAAAAGAAAGAGAATTTTTCTTTTTCAAATAATGTAAAAAATGTCTGCGACAGTATACGTAATATATCTTTTAAGATTTACTCGCACGACGGACCGCGACCGACGTGGGTAACAGTTTTAATATAAGGAAGAGGTAGCTTTGCAACAACAAATTTTTACGACCAAAATAACTGTTCTACGCAGACAAAGTCGGTGGCACGGCTTATTAGTTTATAAAACTTGAGAAATTATAAATCAATTTATGAACAAAATCGACAACACGGGGCTTGAACCGGCAACCACAGCGATCCGAGCTTTTAATGTAACGTATCGACAGTGTATTTAGTACTCTTATGACATATTAATGCTTAATTAAGTAAAGTGATTATATTTAAACGCTTAACAAATTAGTAAATTTCAATTAAAATAAACTATCGCGACCATTTTGCAAAACTAATTTTAGAGTTCGGCCGTCGTAATTAAAAAAATAAATTTATTCACTTGTCATGGTCACTATAGCTAAATGGTTAAATGTGGGGCGACATGTTTTAGGTTCGAATTCCTAAATGGGGTACAAAATAAACCGACGGAGAAAGTTTTAAAAACATTGTAATTAATCAAAAATTTTAACATTTTACAAAAATATATTTACATTATATAAGTAATAATATGTATAACATACATTCTAATAATATAAAAGCGGAAGTTAGTTCGCATCGCGTGAACGGCACAACGGAGCGATTAATTTTGATTAAACATTTCATAGTCATTGCAAAATCTAGATGTTATGAAACTGATTTAGGGGTAATACACGTTTTAAGCAGTCAGAAACAAGCATTTTAAACCTGCAAAATCTTATTAAAAGCAATACAGACATATTTCTATACCCGTTTTACATAGACAAACATATCAGTCTTAGTAAAAAAGAGCACAATGTATCATCCTAGATTAAAATGCAATTTTTAAAACAAAAAAACAATTCATTTTTTATTTTGATAAAAAAAATATTTAATCTAGGAGAGTAGCTTACAAACTCACGCTTGACCAAATTATACAAATCAATTTGAAATATCCTTAAATCATTATAAATGGTGACACATTAAAAAAAATCATTATCAAATACAAATTAAAAATCGCAATAAATAACAGAACACTATGAAATAATTAACATTTTAAGCTAATAATTAATGACATTTAATATAGATTTAATTAATAAATTATTTCGTTTTATTGCCAAGTACTATTACAAATATAGAGGGCACTTAAAAAAAATCATGAATAGCTTAAGAGCTAGCAAGATAAAAAAAAACACGTAAATACACTTTTGTTTATTGTTTGTAAGAGGACAAACAAACATAGCTTTTCCACCTACGGTCTGTGGTTCGTGACCTGGGCAGAATATCAATAACAAGATTTGCAGACACAGTCTAATATGTTCCAGAAACAATGAACATTATTTTTGAGAAACACGTTAGACCCAGTGGAATTCGACCACGACCAAGCCCATCAGCACTATTGCTATTTATAAAGATGTATATTAGCAAAAAAAATGAGGAGCACGGATTTTCAGAATGCATTGTTCACTCCTGCGCATGGTAAAGGTAGAAGCCCCCCCTTATCATTAAGTGTGTAAGCAAATATGGTTACAAGAACTATAACTCGTTATGACCATATTGACAATAAGTTATTTTATAAAAACCATTATTGCTGCAAAATATATATTGCCTGTAGGTTGCGCGAGTGGTACTCAATAAAACAATTTCGACGGTTTCAAACGCGATATATTACATCATTAATTGTTCACGTTGTTATTAAAAAAACAACTTAAACGAGGACGTGTAGATAATAAACGAAGAGCGTTTTAAACCGTTAAAAATGAGTTCACAATCATTTACAAATTTATTAGTTACAGGGCAACTGAGCGAACTATACACTTAAAACGTAATAAAAAATAATTAAACATATTTGAGCAGTTTTGTATAGTGCATACGGAAACAGGGTTTATACTAAGTCATAGAATACACAGAACGAAAGTCTTTTTTATTTATTTAGTATTTTAATACTATAAATACATCGAGGCTTTATATGTAACAATAAGTATTGGTAGTTCGAAAAAAAGTGAAAAGTGTGTGCGCGTGTCCGACTCACACTTGACCGGTTTCTATAGATGCATCCTGGATACAAGCTTTAAGCCTAGTAATAGTGTATAATCCGCTATTTCATTGTGCGATAAATATATTTGAACTATGGACGAACATGTTTTTAATTCTTATAAAAATAGAACGAAAAATACTGTTTTAAATAAATTTTACATAAAAATTGAGCTGTCTATTTCAATGACATTAAATATAGAGGCTTAGTAGTCAAATTACGTTGTTGTCTCCCTCGAACGTATCTACTTCATCATAAGAGGAAACAAGACAAAACATCTTCAACGACTTTTAGTGCAAATGTAAGAAAAAAAACTGTTTTCAATGTTATCATAGCCAAACGTCAAAAAGATTTTGTTTGAGATTCTTCAGTATAAAGTGTATACAATATCTGTAAAATAAGCGATATTTTTTGTAGACAGCTCCTAGACTATAAACTACAAAAGCATCTATACAAATACGCGAGATTTACAAAGAAAAAATCTTAATATAAATCGATATACAGCTATCTGGATGGAAGCGCCATCTGGCGGTTGGCATATCGTACGCGGTCCTATGATATGTGCAAACGGCTGGACGAATTTCGATGAATTCAAAAGAGTGAGCGGAGAATAGACAAGGTGAAAACGATATTTATTTTTATTTGACGTATTATAACTTTTTTCAAGTTAGTAGTTTATTAAATAATAATATTAAAGTAGATTATGTTTTTCTTGGCGTTCTTCAAATAGAATGCCCGAATTTTTTAATTAGGGATTTTAGTATGAAGCATGGTAATCGATGAGAACAAGAATCGATTCTTATCGATGAGAAATCGAATTGAGTTCAAGATATAACTTATTATGTTAAAAGAAATCGAAACCGCGTACGCAGATTACAAAAGTACAATTAGGCCGTAATATTTCGATTGACTTATCGACTAATCAATAATATAGACTAATATCACTGTTGATGACATCACGCGTTGCTCAGCAACTCACTGGAAATAAAAAAACAATATGATTATAACAACCTACTGTGTCACGAGATCCTGGTTTAAATTGGAGGTCATGAAAAATCTTAGTTAGGATTTTTTTGTTTTTTTTTCATTTCTTGTATAATATAGTCACTCATAATATTACAAGCAGGCCTTTTAACCCCTAGCCTCAAAAATCTCGTAGGCCGGCGTTAGTTTTTTTATGATAGAGGAGGACATACAAACATGGAGTTCACTATATAGAAAAGCCATAAAAGATCTGGACAAGATGCGCTGTCGACTTATTTTGGCTTAGGATATTCGGAAATCCAAAAACTGAAACTGAAACACGAATCAACTTGACGGCTCATTCAACTCTGGACGGTGGACAGAACTTCGATATTCCGACGGCTCATTTAATATCCAGCTTTCTGAACGAAGTCCAAAATGCTTCACAATAATTGAAATATTATTAGAAACATGTGGGAATACAGTGGGGATCGAACCCACCACCACACGATTATTAACCATACATTACTTCCATCACACCATTATGGTAATGGTCGATTAGTATTAACGGCTGCGGGCCAAGCAAGCATGGTAGGCTCATGGGACCCTCAGTGCCCAGGAGTGGGATATTAATCTATTGAAATGAAAGACTTACTTCGTTAATTCTCTAGTAGTGAGCGGTCCGGTTAGACCAGACCTGGACCTGGAACGGTTTAACTGTGCTCTTCGCTCAGCTGAAAAATAAATTGTACTCTAAATGACACACATTCTTCAAGTTTTACAAAGCTTTTAGGCTTTTCGAGCTGTGCTTTTATGAGTGAAAATATTCACTTGAGGACAGCTTGAAAGCCAAATTTCTTAGCATGTATAGATTATATTGGACCATCAAACGCAAATATGATAAAAATAGGGTATATGTTTTAAACTAAACTAACAATGATTCAAAGAAGCTGTTTGACGTACGTTAGACTTAACAGTCACACCTACAATACTTTATTTAACTAATTTAAGGTTAAACATTTTGATGATCACAGCTGTAGGTTTTTATCATCATCTCAGGACATCTATGAATAATACACTGTTTAAATAAATATCACACTTTGGTTACACAGAATTAAAATTACTCAAATATATTTTTTGCTGAATTTATGTAAACATAATTGAAACATTTTAAAGTCGGTTAAAAATAGAATGCCATTAGACATATAATTGAGTATATTAATTAGAAATCGTATAAGACTATCAGGACCAATGTCTAAGCTACTTGCGTTTTTAACTTTCGGCCGTCGTCATAAAATAGTCAACCATCTTTCAATAACGACGGCAAACATGTCAAAAATGCAAGTCTTCACTAAAGAGTAGTTAGTAAGTAACAATATTATAATTAAAACACTCTTATAAATATTAGCTTCATAAAAATACGACATTGAAAGCGAAGAAGACATTTAAAACGAATGCGGGTAGTTTTCGCTTCACGGTACAATATGTAAAGCCGTTAGATTTACGCTGAAAAAATTACAACTTGTCTGTATATCTCTAGTGTCGGCGATGTTCGTCTAGCTCGCTTCCCTCCATAACCGATTGACACATCTGCGACTATTTCAAGAAGTGAATTTTAAATTTAATAAACGAATCTTGGTAGACTACAAAGTGGTAAAGATTACATTTTTATTAATACTATAAAAATTGCTAAAATTAAAAATTAAATTAAAAAAATTAAAAATTAAATTAACAAATTAAAAATGTACGTAAATTAAAAATTACGACACAGGCGAAACTTGAACCGTTCCGTGCTGTTGCTCTAACTAGCTCAATTGAGCTACCGTCCACACGTCATCTTTGAATTTCTTCAACCCATTGATACAAGAACCTCTTGCGCAATACAATTCCAACCTTAACATTTACGTGTTGAGGTTCAATTGTTCAAATTTTATATTTGAAAAACTTAATTGTTCTGCTAAGCCAGTTTATTTATTTTTTTTTTTTTTTTTTTAAAAAAAAAAAAAAAAAAAAAAAAAAAAAAAAAAAAAAAAAAAAAAAAAAAAAAAAAAAAAAAAAAAAAAAAAAAAAAAAAAAGGGGGGGAGGGGGGGGGGGGGGGGGGGGGGGGGGGGGGGGGGGGGGGGGGGGGGGGGGGGGGGGGGGGGGGGGGGGGGGGGGGGGGGGGGGGGGGGGGGGGGGGGGGGGGGGGGGGGGGGGGGGGGGGGGGGGGGGGGGGGGGGGGGGGGGGGGGGGGGGGGGGGGGGGGGGGGGGGGGGGGGGGGGGGGGGGGGGGGGGGGGGGGGGGGGGGGGGGGGGGCGGGGGGGGGGGGGGGGGGGGGGGGGGGGGGGGGGGGGGGCCCCCCGACACGGGGGGCCCGCGCCCCCCCCCCCCCCCGGGGCCCCGGGGGGGGGGCCCCCCCCCCCGGCCCCCCCCCCCCCCCCCCCCCCCCCCGGGGGCGCCCCGGGGGGCCCCCTTTCCCGGGGCCGCCGGGGCCCCCCCCCCCCCCGGCCCCCCCCCCCCCCCCCCCCCCCCCCCCCCCCCCCCCCCCGGGGCGGGGGGGGGAAAACATTTTTCAAAAAGGTTTAATTAATATATCGTGTTTTAAACCTTTAAAGCATTTTATTTATTTTTTATTTAAATAGATTATTAAAATTATGGCATAATGTGCGAAATATTAATTTTTTTCATATTTTATAATGAGGGAACTTCACGATGTAACTTTTTTTATATAACAGACGTTCTGTGACACAGTGAATATAGCTGCAAATAAAAATAAGCGAATCAAAAGTGTGCCTCGTGTACCTGCGATACGGTTCAAAATCGCTTGCACTAATCCATCCTCCTCGTTATCCTCTAAATGTACGCGTGCGAACATTAAAAACATTATTTTGCATCCAAAATGCGAAACAATACGACTATAGCGTGTATTCCTCGATTAAATAAAACCATTTTTAACGGTTTAAAACGCTAAATTAGTATAATTGTGTGAAATCAAAAGTGAAATCTAAGACATAACAAATGGCGCTATCGTAGCAAATTGGACTTTGACGTTAAGTACATCCTACATCTTCAGTTCCCCCCGTGACCACGACTGTTGAAAAGTAACGGAAACGTCGGGCCGTAGTTAAAATAAATAGTAAATAAGTTAGAACATATATTTTGCGTTTTAAACCGTTAAAACTTATACAACAATTGTGTGTTTTTAAGAGAGATCCATAAAATTTTGCTTTATGGATCTGGTAAAGTGGTGTTTCTTACCGCCAGCAACCCTCGGGTTGGCTTTCTTCCTCGGCCGCTCTCTGCTAAACGCCGAACCACTTTGGAGAGCTTCCATCAAACTGAAATTAAAACAAAGTATGTATAAGTAAAAATCCCATTTATAGTTGTTGTGACTAACAGAACGAACACATATTTATGTCCGTTTCACTGATCGTATTTATTTACAGTGATCTGCTCTGTGCCCTGCCCGACTGAAACCATTTATATTTTTCTCCGTGTTTCGGGGTTTCAAATCTAGGACATGTCGCGCTTAACGCAATGCTTTAATACGTTTAACTATTTAGGAACAAAGCCAGATTTATTAACAAAAAAAATGCGACTAGAAAAATACGAGACGAGATATTAATTTTAGCTGCTAATTATCATTTTACTATAAAATGTAAATAAAGTGTTGGAATAATTTAAATAAAACACATTTAACGGTTTAAAATGCGAAATATATTAGTTAACATCGGAACGTATTTTAGTGGTAACAATTACTAAACGTTAACTAATATATATCGCGTTTCAAGCCGTCAGGAATAATCTATTAAAGTCCTAAATTAAAAATCACTTGTCATGCCTAAACAAGAGGTATGTAAAGGTCCTCACCTGTCCATGACGCCGTCCTGCGCATGCTCCATGTCAACGAACTGTTTATATCTGTGCTGTCTATCCCGCCTCTCCCTCTCGGCGGTGGCGCGGGCTTCGCGAGCCCTTCTCGCCCTCTCCTCTGTCTCACGAATCACCACGTTCTCTTGGTAGGCCGCCTACAATATTCATATTATTACATTCTTAAGTATTCCCACAGCTGGGACCAGCTTTTTAGGAAGTTAATTCGATTTACTATCCTATATAATAATTTTTATATGATAGAGAGCCAAATATAAAATCTCTTTCATTTTCATGTTTCGTGTAAGCACCACAAACGACTTATGTTTTCGGATAACTATGTACAAAAAGACAAAAAAAAATTATATTTGTTTACTGTTCTGATATTCTGTCTTTATAAATAAGAAATGATCGTTAAGGTACAAACACCATGTATATAAAAGAAATTAATTTTTAATGTAATTAGTAGTAGACTATATACGTATAATTAATAATAATTCTATAAACAATATGATATTTTAATGTTCCCCATCCTATCTTATACAAGCTTCGTAGAAGCACATCTAATGACGTCATCAACTACGCGATGGCCGGAACTTTTATTATTCTAAAGAAAGTATTTGTATTTATTGGTAAGTTGCAACTGATATATACAATTAAACATGTTGCCTACTTAAGCGCGATATGTCCTAGATTCGAATACAATAGATTGTTTGGTCGAGCAGACCACTGAGGTCCGATCCAGCCTGCCTGTAAAGTAATCCGACCAGTGACACAGAAATATGTCTAATCACTAACCGCGAAAGAATCTTTAAAGGTCTTGATGTCAGAGAAAAATTCTTCAAGCGTATACTTCTGGGGGTCAAACACGTAATACTCTGCCAGTTCCTTGTACAGCGCCTCCATCTTCCTGAACATGGAGTGGAGGAGGTCGCACTGCTCTCGAGCTTCTAGAGCGAAATTCTGATAGGGTTTTAAGGAAATATAATGTTTTTTTTATTATTTTTTTGTAATGAAGCTAATAGAATACTTTTAAATAAAACACTCTTGACGTTTAAAATGAGAAGTCGATTTCTTAACTTATTTTAAGTATAACCACATATTTTTGAATGCTTAGGGGCAGACGTGGTAACTGAAGATGGCAAGTGTAACTGATGTCAAAGTCAAAAGATGGCGCTAGCGTAGCAGATCTGAGATTCTTAGTTATTATTTTAAATAATCTAAGCAATATAATTCGCGTGTATTTTACAAACATTTCTAACTTTATTCATATTCAAGGTACGTTATGATTATTATATTTTTTAAATGTAATAATGACGGAGACGCTATGGATGTCGGTTTAAAGCCCGGGTCGATTTAAAAAAAATCTGAAATCAATTTATATTTAAGTATATAATAAGTGTGATAACGGTTTACGTCAGCTCGGTTTAAATTTTTGAAAAGGATACGCTCATGCGCTCGTGGAAGAGGTCGTCGGAGCTCTGCTGCACCCTCGAGTTGTTGAGATCCGTCTCCAACGCTCGTATATCGTTCTCCATCTTCTTCAGTGACTTCTGCAGATTCTCCATCGAAACACGCGCCGCTCTTTAAACAGTAAACGTAAAAGTTACGTAACGTTAATTGCCGTGTTAGTTACTAAAGAATTCTGAATTTAGTAAAGAAAAAATATACACAAGCTGAAAATCGAACACTCGATACACGCATGCTGCTTATTAAGGGCAGTGCATTAATCACATGAGACTTTTGTGAGTGTGAGAGAGATTATGTGTTGTGAGCGAGAGTGTGTGTCGATTACCGTGAGACATAAGGGAATATGTCAAGTCGTTCGGTTATTTTTATTCCGGGAAGCCATATCTAGTTGATTGATATTACCAGCATTGTAGCCTGAATCCCGTAAAAACATGTTCAGTCTCAATAAAAGGGGTGACGATGGGCCGAAATTACGAAAAACCACAAAAAGGAGGGAGAAATAGTCGAATATCACGTGTATTCATTTGCTGAATGAGACTTGTCTAAATAATTACCGATCAATATGTGGCATCTCTTCTGCAAAGTTGAGGACGTCCGGGAACTTTTGTTCTATGGTATCCACCAAATAATGTAAAAGTGTCTGCTTGTTCTCCAGATCCTTTGTCGCTGTTAACTGGAAAAGTAGGTTTTTATTATTTTTCTCTTATACCATCTACATGCAAGAGAATCCACTTCCATCAAATGGTGCCCGAAAGAATAGTGTTCAATCCATCAATCGATTTTACCTAAATACAAGTTATAATATTTGTGTCCAATCTGACCGAAAACTCAGTAACACACCGTCTTGAATTCGATGATCAAAAAAACACTGTTCAAAGATTTGCTTAAGTTTAAGTCTAACAAAGCGAAGCTATTTCTTTAGAAGCGAGTGATAATATTTATACTTCACCAGGAATAAAATCTTTTACGTAAAATATACATGCCTTGACATCCTTCAAAAGCCTCAAATAAAAACATTTTGGCCTTATCATATCTTTCTTAATAAATAGTTTGAATTCTTTTTTTATGATAAAGGGAGACAGACAAGCTTGGAGTTTATTTGATGGTAGATGAAATACCCCAGCCATACAAAATCTGAACAAGATGCGCTATCGACCTATTTTCGCTTTGGATTCAGTAAATTATATTTATAAAAATACATTTTAATTCTACTTTATTCGGTTATTATTTATATTTTAAGACTAAATTGTATTGTCTAAGTGATTTGTAAGATTCGCACTTCTTGCACTTTATACAACTGTATTTTAATTATTTAGTTTCTTTCTAGTCGGGTTGTCTGGAGGAGTTCGCCTATAGCGATAAGGCCGTCCGGTACACTGTATAGTTCTAAATAAAAAACTAACGGTTTAAAATGCGATATATATTAATTAAACCTATTTTAACTACGGCCCGATGTTTATAGTTGTAAAATTACTTTGTATATCTGTAGGTATAATAACAAAGTGTGAAATAAATAAATATTACATTACCTTAGTGAGAAAACTAATCTCGAACCCGTAAGCGCCAGCGTTGTTTGATCCCGTGTTCATATAGTTACCCAAAAGTAACAATAGCTCTAGGATCTTCGCGAATTTTCCACTAGATTTCACCTCTTCGCACGCGGCTGTACCCGATACGATGTCCTGGAGATAAAAAATATATTGAACGGAAAATTTCAAATATATATTTTTTGTGGAATAAATCAATACATACTATCTGTTGTTTACGCAAATAGTAGTTTATAAAAAACACTTTATCGTTTTAAAACGCGATACATATTAGTTAAACTTAATTGAAAATTATTTTTACATGTCGCGTTTTAAACCGTTAAATTATTTTCTTTAAATCTAAATAGTCTTTCAATTTATATAATGCCATCATGTGCAGAACATATGAACAAAGTTAAAGTTCTCAAAAAAGTAAACATACCGGCTTAACTTCAGATATGATCTCCGTATAGTGCTCCCTGAAAGCCAGACTCCTGAGTCTTGGAACCAGTCGCTTTACATCAGCGACGGTGGCTGCAAATTGTTCAGCCTCCGTTAAGTCTTCGCTCTTACATTTCAACTCGGCTAACTTCTTCAGCTGATCCGCTGGAGGTAAGTACTGTAATAAAGTATTATTAGCTATAATATATAAATAAAATATAGTAATAAAAAAATGAAGAAGTTAAAAAAAATAAATAAATAAAATAAAAATGAAGCTGAAAACTTTGTCTGTTTGAAAACGCGCTAATCTAAGGAACTACTGGAACCATTATTTTTTCTGTTAGAGCATTCAAACAAACAAACAAACTCTTCCGCTTTATATATTAGTGTAGTAGGTAAATAGACTAAAATAACTTTACACGATATTATATTGAGAGAAAATCTATATCTCTTTCTCGATCAAGAAATTACCTGTATCAAAAGATCCAAAACATTTGCGGTCAGGACAGTGGTATCACATTTCAATATACACGTTCTGATGTGTTCGTATGACATGTGTTTCAGCGAACCACCCAAAAGGATCGACAGATTTTGAGCAGCTTTCGAGTCTAGCACTTTGAGGTCTTTCACTTTTTTTAACGTATGCACCCTGTAACACAAGTCAAATGATTATAAACGTGGCGTGCAGGTGGCGCTAGTGAACCATATTTAATTATTTACGCTAGGATTCGAATGGTGGACCTCGAGGCAAGGCGTCTAACCTTTGAGACAAGTGTTCAATCAAGTCTACTTGTCTATATGACACTAACGGGCTAGTTGGTCTTATGGTAGTAACGAATGGCTAATAATCAAGAGGCCGCGGGTTCGATCCCCACCAGGTCAACATGTTTCTTATCAATTCATAATTTTTCTAAAATATGTTGGACTTCGTTTGGAAATCAGGATTTTAATGGGCGGTAAGAATATTGAAACTCCGTCAGGGTCACGAATTATCGTTCACAGATGAATACGTCTTATCGTCTGTGACTGAGCTAGCTTACAAAGCTCAAGAAATCAGTTCACCTTTACTAAGACGAAGGTCAAAATGATTTTTAGAATTGGATATTGGTAGAGACGAATCTCACCATACTCGACTTACCACAACTTAACATAACTTACTTATCAACAGCATCCTCGTTTCTCTTAGCGACCGGTTTGCTTGAAAACTTCATCGCTAGACCATTAAGTATATCAGGCGACGCCATTTTTTCTTCTTGCACCTGGAAATAATAGTGCAAATATGAATACAACATCGACCGTCTTTCTAGATATTAAATGGTTGATAAGAATATCCAATATCCGTCTAGATATTGGATATGACCAACCACCGTCCACGGATGAAAAAGCCGTGAAATTTAATCACGTTTCAATTTCAGTCTGTGGATTCTCAAATATTGCGCATCCTTGTTGAGATGTTATGTAGCTAAGATATTTCACCTTCCATCAAATGAAAGAAGGACGAGACAAGCATGAATTTGCATATTAATTTTGGTAAATAAGTATAAATACTGTCTATAGTTTACGCGAGTAGTACACATTTAAATAAAACATTTTAACAGTTTAAAACGCGATATATATTAGTTAAACAAATTTGACAATTATCCTCCCACCCCGTGACCACGGCTGCTGCAAAGCATCCGAAACGTCGTAGTTAAAATAATTTCAAATCACGTTCACGGTCACGGGGGATAAATTAAAACCGTTAAAAAATTGTTTAATTTTATCTCTGTGAATAATATGTATAATAAAGAATAAACCACCAGGTGATAAAATCAGAACATATATATACTGTTGTTTAAATTAATTAGTAAAAACTTTTACCTTAACCCAGAAAGCTTTCTCCGACATCTTTTGTGGCACAATCGTCTTCCAGTTGGCACGTTTCAATGGCCCTCCCACTTCCCACTTCTTTTTGGGCTTCAGACCGTGAGGCAGGATGTCAGGTTGAGGCTGTAGGCAGTGATCAAAATTTTAATAGTGCCAATAAAAAAAAAAAAATGATTTCCAATTTATATGGTGTCATCATTTGCAATAACATGTAAAAATATTAAAATAATAACACAGTATAGACAGTATTTAATAACACATTGTCACGTCAAAAGGAAATCGAATGTAGTTTCTTACCATCCTAGGTGCCATAAGTCCTCCAGGCGGTGGGGGCGGACGGGGTCCCATTCCGGGTGGGGGCGGCGGTGGTGGGGGGCCCATTCCCGGCATGGGGGGTGGTGGGGGACCTCCCATACCCGGGAAGGGGGGTGGAGGAGGCGGGCCTGATCCTCCTAGAGTAGTAAAGTATTAATAAGCAATTTTTTATACAAAACATTTTGTGGTTAACGGCGAAATATCTCAGTCGTCAGTTCCGTCGGTAAGATAACTCTATATCCGTAACCGTAAATATAAAATGTTTTATTAAATATAAGACTACTACTACCAAGTTCTCTCCCTAATTTATTTATAGCAAATAAATAAGCGCTCTGCACCAAAAATAATGCATCATAGAGAAATTAAATTGGCAACATTACATTATTATTATGCATACGCAAAAACACTTTAGCGGATGTAAACGCGAAATATATAAGATAACTGTCGTTGCAGATCTGAGTTTAACACCCTCCATCTTCTATCTCCCCCGTGTCCACGGCTGCTGCAAAAATCGCAAACGTCGTGCCGTAGTTGAAATAAATTAAAAATAATTTGACGAATATAGTTCACGTTTTAAACCGTTGAAGTGTTTTATTTAAAAGGCCATGTAGTCTTAGAGTGACGTACTGGAGTTTTATAAGTAAATAACTTCGAATTAGACTACATCTACGTATAAATGGGAATTTTAAAAGCACACAAACCTGAAGGCATTGGCGGCGGAGGAGGAGGGGCTGGCCCACCTAGAAGCAGACACCAGAAAGAGATAGATATACAGAGCATGCATGTGTGAGCGAGACGTCTAGCATGCAGTAGTTCAGAATTAAATTTTAATAATTAGTTGTACAAAAGCTAGCATATTTAAATATTTTTTACTTAAATAAATTATACCTTAATAAATATTAAATGATAGCTAATAGCTGCCTTATTATTTTTTAAACTTATATTAGTAATAGATTTTTTAACCCACCAGACTATACAGATGTCGCCATATTTATATATATAGTAATAAAACTATTATGAAAACAAAGATTACTTTAATTACATCGAATTTTATTTTTAAATACGAGGAAGTTTTTGTTTTTAACTAAATATCGCAAGTGCTTATATTTCGCCACAATGTTATATTTGAAAATAACTATTCCTGCGTCTAAACTTTGCGGCGGTCCAAGCCGAGGACGATGCCCCCCTCGGGGCACCCTTGGTCTAGCCGCAAACACAGCGAAACGCCCTGTTAGTATTCCAGGTACCGTCGGGGCTCAATACATAAGATCCATTCAAAAAAAAGCGTCAAAACAACTCGGTCGATTTTGATGAAACTTTGCAAATATGATTTGAACCTTAATTTTAATAGAATAAGGCTTGGAGCCGCTTTGTATTCAAATTAATGTGAAGTCTAACAGCACCATGTATATTGTATTACCCTCAATTGTTAACAATAATTATTAATAATAATTCACAACTAACCTGACGGTAATGGCGGCGGTGGCGGTGGAGGGGGTCCACCTAAATAGACAGAGACAGGTGTAGTTTCATGCATTTGTGCGAAAGAGACAGAATTATTAACACATTTAATGTTCTCCGAAATCTCACGTTTAGGGATACAACATTTATCATGCATGTTTAATATTTTTTATATATTAGAAGTTATAGTTAAGCCAAGATAGACGTTACATGAAGTACCATAACGCAAGATTACCATCCTTTATTTACTATTCTATAACATTTAATTACTTACCTCCAGGCATAGGGGGTGGGGGTGGAGGCGGCGGACCTCCAGGGCTGCCGATTGCCTGGAAAACAAAAATGAAAAATAAATACGTTGACTTTATTGTCCAACCGCAAACCATACAAACGTTATGCTATTTTGATGTTGAAATAAATGAAATATACACACCGGTGCCCAGTTTTTTATAACCTCTTTATAAAACAGTATGAACGGTTTAAAACCATAAATATACACGGAACGTGGATGCCGGTTCAAGCGACACGGTACTACCCGCGTCGTAAACTTTTTTTAAATCCAAAATAGATATTATACTAAATCTTATTACCTTGGCAATAGCGGCTATATTCCCTTGCGAGACACCGCCCGGCCCGCTAGGGGCAGACATATTCTTCATTCGCTCCTCTAGATGCGTGACCCGCGCTTCCGCCTCTTGTCTGGCTGATATTGCTGCTTCCAGTTTACTCTTCAACTCGTCTATCTTCCTCTCTTCTTCAGCTCTTGATTTCTCTAGAATGGTATGAAGCACTTATATAAGAAAGCTGCAGAATCTGTAGATTAAAATCCACAGATTTGTAGGTTCGTTATATGTTTCTAAAATGTATTTTCACTAGGCCATACACAATCTCGTTTGAAACAACTTTGCAAAGTGGTTGTGTTGGATTTCATTATATTTGATATCATAGTGGTATGAGTAATACGCATCTAAATAAAACACTTCAACGGTTTAAAACGCGAAATATATTAGTTGAATTGATTTCTTAATTATTTTAACTACGGCCCGTCGTTTCGAATACTTTGTTGCGGCCGTGGTCACGGTGAGACGAAAGATGGAAGACGTCTCTAATGTCAAAGCAATAACTACTACGCTAGCGCCATCTATTCCATCGTTTGGTATTAGGCGAAACTGGCCTTGTCCCTGCAGAATTGGCAGTTTTGCTAATAGATTTCACGTTTTCAACCATTCAAAATGTTTATATATAACTATTACATATTTTACAAGTTGTATATACCGTCTCTTAGTGCATTAGCAAAGGATGCGATATTAAATACAGCTCTAATACCTATTAGGCCATCGATAAGCGGCTGCACGTCAATGTTGAACCTTTGAGTGAGTCTGAAGTCCGGGTCGTAGCCGTTCTTGTGTAGAACTATCTGCGTCACGCATTCTTCAATGAGTTTATAGTAGGCTGGCCTGTAAATATTGGGGACTTTAGTAGACAGATCTCCTCGTGTTGCCTAGTATTGCGTTAAGTAAAACAGGCCTTGGCTCGGTCGGGCAGGGCACAAAACGGTCTAAACGAAATCCAATTTCTACTTGCAGCTTGAACATATGCAATATCAATAGATACGTGTCTCTTAAACATTTCAGAATGTTCAAACTCACGATAGACAACTGCGCATCTAAAATACAGTTTTTTTTTCTAATTTTTCTATAGTGCTTAAACAGCTAAGGACGCCGGGGTCTCCCCTTCCTCGTTCAGAAGGGACCTGGTCTAATAAAATACCTGTTAAAGAACGTCTCCTTTCATCGAGTGAGTGCGAAGCTTGTCATTTCTATTCTAAGACGTAATAAGTATTGTAATTCCTTTCTTATAATTGTAAATAAATTTATTACGAAAATACCTTATAAGTTCATCGTCCCTGATGAATAACAAGTGCTGCAATATAGACAGAAGGAAGGGTTCCGCTGGGGTCTCCATCACCAGATTCTTCACCAGTTCAAAACATTCGTTTACATCTTGAAAATCCACCCTGAAACGAGACAAAGATATAAAAAATAAACGTTTAAAAATATATCGACCATTTTCTACTTTACTACCCACAAAAGTTTTAAAGAAGTAACTAGAGACCTAATGATATGCTAAGAGGGCCAACTTTTAGAAAATACTATTGATATTAAACCTTAAGAATAAAAAAAGTAAAGTGTAAAATATTTGACCCACATACCTTACATAAAACATTTTACCGGTTTAAAACGCGATATATATTGGTCGAAAAATTATTTTAACTACGACAGTATCCAAATACCTTAATTTTATGTATATTATTGTATCATAAATATTGTTGTAGTTTACGCGACTAGTACACATTTAACTAAACACTTTAACGGTTTAAAACACGAAATATATTAGTTGAACTTATTTCGCGTATTAATCCGTTAGTCCTTTATTTAAATATTGTGTCCTAATTTAAAAGTTGTATATTCAAAGAAATATCTTGAAATATACCTCACGTCATCAAATTTAGCCAAAAACTCGTCTTGGTCTCCGGAAGCGTACGTGTCAAATACATTCATTTGGATCTGACGACCGCCATCTTCTGCGCCGGCGCGTAGATCATCTGAAATCGTTGAGATATTGGTTATAATACTATATATTCTACTGTATTATGATATAACGCTAGTTCGACTTAGTTAGGATACTAATATCTTTTAAATCACGTGTCAAAACAAGATACGGGCAGTTGTAATGGTGTATGCCTAATGATCACTGGGTCGTGGGTTTGATACTCACCGGGTAAAACATGTTTCTAATCAATTTGTAACTTTATGAACATGTTGGACTTCGAAATCTGGATAGTAAACGGGTGGTAGGAATTACGAAATTCCGTTCGCGTCATAAACCATTGTCCGAAGATGAAAAATCCGTGTCTGTGGATTTCAAAGCTAAAATAGGTCGATAGAGCATCTTGTTCAGATGCTATAGGGGGTATTCCACCTACCGTCAAGTGAATCTGTCCTCCTCTATCATAGAAAGAAGATCATAAACGAGAATGAACCTTACCTATTAGGTCATAGAGTCCAGTTCTCATAAACTCGCTTCGCAAATGCATTCGGAACTCTAGCTCTTCTGGTTCAGTTATAATCGCATTCATCAGTTGCATGCAACCGTTCTGAAAAACATTTTTTTTATTAGTCAATAACATTTTCACTGTTAGTGAATATAACAAAATATATATAAGATTCAATTTCATAAAATTACAAAAAATATGTAGCGAAAAAAGGCCTTATCGCTAAAAAGCGATTTCTTCCTTCTTGTAGATGGAGATTTACTATAATAATTGATAATAAGAGTAATAAAACTATAATAAGTTTATACAATGCTTAGAACGTAATATAATTCTTAAAGTTTGACTTCTTTACAGAGATAATATTATAAAATAATTATTATTGAAAAGCAAGTAATCACAAAATATGTTTGTGTCTCTACGCAAAAGGGGGAAGCCTTCAGAAAAACACGATATTCTGAGATTAATCCGTAATAAGATAACAAGAATTATTCTTCCTTACAAGAATAGTTGGGTATACTTACTTTAGATATAATAGATAGTTCTCGAATAAAATTTGCAAAACGTAATCAAATTGTAAAAGCTATCTGTCTCTTTCTAACGTACATATGAGACATAACTGAAACCAGAACTACGCAGTCATGTCTAATAATTATAGCCCACGTATGAAAGATTATAAAGATGGATAATATTAACCTTCAGACTCTCCGGTGCTTTGGGGTGTAAACCTTCGACGATGGGCAGCAACCTTGGCTTCCGACTGGATTCGCCAGCCATTGTGATCGCTTCCAATACTTTCTCGTGACCATTGGGTATCAGACATATTGCAGCTAGCACCTGTAACATGACAAATAATAAGAATTCTCTCCTCCATGTAGACAAGTTGCGGTATCGACCCCCCGGTAACGATTTCCGAATATCTATGAAAATTCGATAATCCACGGACTATAACCGAAACGCGATTAAGCTTTATGGTTCGTGTCCCAAGTGTATTTTGTCCTAATACCCATTTAATATCCAGATTTCCAGACAGTCTAACATGTTTCAGAAAAATGATAAATCGATTAGAACATGTTGGATCTGGTTCGGATTGGACCCCAGAGCCGTTGATTATTATTAGCCTTACATTTACAAGTAGCTGTGCGTTCAACAGTGCCCTGGCTAACCGAAACTATCACCAAGAACTGCTGCTGTATCTTCTGATTGGTAACTTTACCTGGGTCTAAACCAAGCGACCGTAGTACAAGAAGGGAATATCTATTGTTATTGGTTTTCTATTAAATATTGGTAATACTCCGAATGACAGCTACTGGTAAAAAAAGTTTTCGGTGAATATATTTCGCGTATTAAACCGTTGAAATAATATCGTTAAAATCTTTGGCTCAGGCCTTCGCATGTAGTGAGGTTGAAGTGTTGTACGAACGCTCAGAGTCAGATTTTTAGTTGTTATGCCAGTTCATAACAACTTTAGCTACTATTGTGCTACTTTACCTTGGCAGCTTCTAAGGCGCAATGTGGTTTCCTGGCGTCCAGACTCCTCGCGAGAACAGGTAGGGCCTCGCGGCATTCGAACACGGCACGGATGCCGACTGTATTGTTCAATATCGCAGATAGACATCGTATGCATTCGTATTGCACTCGGTCGTAGCGGGAGTCACTGGAAAATTTGTTGAAAAGTGTGAGTAGTTTGGCATATAACATTTATGATGGTGTTACAGGGTTTCGATTCACGCAACATATTTATTTATTTACATTATATTTCACAAAAAAATGAACAAAAATTTAACCAGACTAAAATATAGAGTGCAATGGGCAGCCTGATCGCTAACGAGCGATCTCTTCCAGGCAAGCCAAGATAAAAGGGGAGAAAGTTTACGGGAAAACGAGATGCAAGGTGGGCGAAACGAAATTTACAATCCTAAATATAATCCTAAAAATAAACGGAAACTAAACCTAAATAAGTAAGATTACGTAACAATATTATTAGATAGTGACAATTTATTCAGATGGGTAATTAAATGACATATTATGCTTGAAGAGGAGCCTTTTAAAGAATTGGAGGGAAAGCGCCATACGAACCTATAAAACTTAAGTAAATAAGAAAGAAAAAGAAAAAGAAGTCTCTTACCGATAGAAACCACTCCCACTGGCAGCAGTGATAGACAAATAAACATTTTGTGAATTTTATTTATTTAAAATTATGTAATATTCATATCAGTTATGCCAATATACTTATGCCAATCCTCATGTTAGTATCTACGAGTATCTATTTGTGTAAGTCGAATTCGTGTCGTTATTACTGACGGGTTAGTAAATTTTGAACATTCCCTAAAATAGGTCGACAGCATTTCGTATTTAGATGTTACATAGAGGTGTTCGACCCTCCATTGAACTTGTCTGTTGCCTTCTGTCATAAAAAATTGGTGCAGAATAAAAATAATGGGTCAAAACTGTTAGATACTACCAACTATTTCCTCTGTTCCTATCAATGACATGTTGATATGTTGAAAAGATATTCATAAACTATTTAAAACCGAAAGTGTCGTGCTTACTCACTTCGTATAACAAATATTGAGGGTAGTCAGCAAACTCTCGATACCCTTAGCGCCGAATTCTTCTATCCACGACAGGGGATTGTTGGTTAGCGATATCCTCAAGTTTTCCAAGCAGCTGTGCAATTTCCCCACAGATAACTCCGGTTGATTCAGATAGGTCACGTAATCCGACGGCTTTTCAAATTTCGATCTGCCTTCCTGTAAACGAATAGATGGCGATGTTAACAAGAAAGTTTTAGTAAAATAAATAATAAAAGTTTGACTATGTAGAATATGATAACCCTGAATAAAGTAGTGGTAAATTAACTACTTTTCTTATTAACTGCCCTCATTTTTAGATTTACCGGAATAATATACCACCACTTGGCAATCATAATTGGGTCTCACAACCGGAATAAAACAGACTATTTTATGATCACTATAACATAATCTCTTAAAGTAATAAATAGTTAACTGTATAAATAGATATATTACCTGCATATTAACAAATTTATATGCGACTAGCATTTTCTTCTTTTGATCCCTCGAATATTTCCTTAGCGGCTCCTTTTTCTTTTCACCTATATTCATGTCAGTCTGAAAAGGAAATTAATACGTGTATTTAAGTAAAAAAAGTAAAATACAATAAACAAAGTTGAAATAGTAGCTCAATAGCTTAACGTGTCTCATAGTCTTAAGGAGGTCCTGTGTTTTAAAATCCCGGGAAAACAATACTTTCGGTCAAACCCCGAAATCTGACAAAGCCCCAAGCCCCAAATTAATTTAAATGTAATCAAACTTCACTTTTACAGTAAATAATATCGATCATGAATAATAGTATTTCACTGCCTTAAACCTATATCTTATACAAGTCACACACCCCAAGACGTGTCATATCGTACGAACTAAAAATTAGTCTCCTTTCAACCCTTAAAGAGGTCTGAAGATCACTTCGTGCGTCCCAGTTTAATCCTGGCCACGAGTAACAATTATTTTATACTAGAAACTTTCAAAGTATTTCCCATGCTTAAGTTATTAATATTTTACAGAAATATTATTTTTATATGAATACAATTTTAGTTTAGTAGAAGTTCTTTAGATATTTAATTATGCTCTTTTATTACACAGGGAGTTCAATAAAAGCTGCAATACCCAAATAGTTATATAAATGTCACACATGTTATAAAAAAAATAAACTGATTTTGAGAAACACATTAGACCGTGTGAGAATCGATCTACCCCTATGACCAACAAGCCCGTCTATTTTGCAATCAAAAAAATCCTATCCTTCAAAACGTTTTTATTCTATTAAAAAAATTACAGGTAAATAAGGTGAATATATACTACTACTATTATTACGACTATATGTAAATAATTTTTACCCCTTCTAAATGTCATTAACTTCCCTTAAATGCCTTTGTAACTAAATGGTTTAATTTGTTGCCTTGCATTACGTTAAGAGCGATAGCTCCTGGTTTTTAATCCTAGGGAAACAATAGATTGTTTTGGTCGGGCACAGAAGTCTTATCAACTACTTGCCTTTAACCGATCAGTGAAACGGACTGAGAAATGTGTTCGCCCCATGCCCCACGAGAGGAAACGGGATATCACAAGTATCACTATTTATGGGTGGGGTAAATTCACCAGCATTTCTTCGAAACGACTCTCGAGCTGATCGTCGTCCAGTGCGTCTATCTTGCTGGTGTACTCCGCGGCTGGTGGCTCCTCTTCCCCCCGGAGCTCCGCCCGGGGCACCGTGTCATAGCCCCGTTCGATGCCCGATGGCCCCGCCTTCTTCGGCCGCCCGAACCATGTGTCCAGCTGCGAAAAAAGTAGTCTTGTTTTGATAACCCACAAATATGCAACATGCTTATGACAGGTTGTAGGAATAGAGAAGTGGGTAGAAGAATGTCGACAGAATAACTGAAATACACGACTATGTTAGGATTTTGGATGATTAGTGGAGTAACAAAAACTAAACCTTTTTGAGTTAGATTAAAACTATAGGTAATTATTGAAAAGGTAGAAATTTGCAATATGTGTCTGCTAACGCAGTTGATATAATTTTATTTATTGTCAAATAAGTCACCTTCGGATAAAATTAAAAATTTCATCGCTATTACATAAACATTAAATAAAAATATATTAAAACATAAAATTAATTATTAATCTCTCATTCCAGGGTTCTTATTCTCATTCTCAAGACCCCTTTAAAGTAACCGAATAAGTAATTTAGTTCGAGTTCAAAACCGTCTACATTAGCTTAATTGGATTAATAATTTTAAAAAAAAATGCGAAACTGTTTATATTTTACGCGAGTAATATACCTTTAAATAAAACACTAACGGTTAAAACGTGAAATTTAAACGGTAAACCTATTTAAAAATTATTTTAACTACGACGTGACGTTTGAGATGCTTTGGAGCAGCGAGGGGAGGAGTTTTCGTTACCTAAGTGTACTGCAAACATATGGATAATTTTTATCTCTCATATACCTTGGAGAATATTAATACTTGACCTCGTATGAGCATGACAATTGCGTCGTCATGTTGCTATTGAGGATCGATTTCAGTACATATTAAGGACAATTCAATGGGTGACGTCACAGCTTTGATTGCTAACTGCTTCGATGTTGCGATTAAGACTAACTTGATTGCAAAGTTTTGACTTCTGAGAAGACTTCGTGTCTCTAAGAGCAGAACTGTTGGTCCTAGTTACCATTACTATTTTAGGTAGTCAGTAGCTGGAGCCCTTAAGCTGAAGGTCTGCACCCGTTAGGGTAGGGCCCTAACTGGGTGCAGACCCAACATGCGATCGTTAGTTTCGAAAAAGAAATATAGAATTCGGAATAATACGTAAAAGTTAAGATTGAAATTACATTGCGCGAGAGGTGCATGTAGTGATAGGTTGAAAAAATACGAGCACGCGTAGGACTCGGTAGCTTAATTGGTTAGAGGAACTAATTAAGTACAACGATTAAAGAGAATTTATGTTCAATGAAACTGAATAGCCTTGGATAGATATTGGACATCACATAATTGAACATTTTTAAATTTTACGACTCGGGCAGGACTTGAACCGGCATCGTCAGCTTTCCGTGCTGTTGCTCTACCAATTGAGCTACCGAGAATTAGTAGAGCAACAGCACGGAAAGCTGACGATACCGGTTCAAGTCCTGCCCGAGTCGTAAAATTTTTTCAACTTATTTTCGATTTTTAAATTATATAGTGCCTTCATGTGCAATAACGTTAATAAATGTAATAACTTATCTATATGATAATGCTGGGTTGCTTTGAATAACTACGCGTTTTACTCTAGGAAGCCTTACTCACTGAAAACGGGGACTTCTCTCGCACATAATCCCCGACAACTTTTATCGTATCCATAATTATTAACACTACAAATACAAGTGCATATTCATACAAACATTCGTTTCTAATATAAATGACGGTAAAATTTAATTTGAAAAATTAAAAAATACGTCGTGAGAACCGTGTTATCGCGGCGAAATGGTATACAAAACTGATTATAATTTGGCAACAAACCCATCATAATATTTACGTCACGCCACCCACTATTAGGATTCCATGCGGAAAATGCTAAGCTACATTTGCTATTACGAAGTTACTTGACTTTCCAGCTGTTCGGTGGTCGTCTTGAAAAATGTTAGTCTAATCTCGGTATTCAACATCGAGGAATGCTTACTATATCTACATGCTATTTATGAAAAAAATAATTTTCAAAACGCATTATGAATTGAATAATTTTTAAAGCTCTTGTGACACACTCCTACAAGAACTCACACTCACTTCTAAAACGTATAAAGAACAACACATATAACATATTTATCTAGCTACTAAAAAATAGAAATCTATTAAGATAGAGGGAAAACAACATGACGGGGCTTGAACCGGCATCCACAGCATTCCGTGCTGCTGCTCTAACTAATTGAGCTACCGTGTCCTCGATCATCCATCGTCGAATTTTTTCAACCTGATACATACACCTCTCGCGCAATGTAATTTCAACCTTAACACATATGTCTTATGAAATTAAATTAGCACGGAACGCTGTGGATACCCGTTCACGTCCTGCTCGTGTCGTAACTTTTTTTTAAATCTACGATGTACATTTTATTATATGTACTTTACTTCTCATTTCTAACGTAAAAACAAAAGGAATCTCTAACAACTCGGATGAAATATCTCCGCACTCAGTGTACCACAAGCTTTAACTATTCTCAGCCAAGAGCTTACGAGTAAATAAAATTAGCGATGACATTGTGAATGAATCTGATTCACTTCTAAGAAGCGGTAACGATATTTTTATTTATTATTTACGTTTTCACTAAAATAATCATTATCTCATACTCAATATGATTGTTACCTGAATAATAAATCTACTATTTAGTACAATACATTTTAAGGGACAACGATCTTTCTATGGTGCCTAGAGCAAACATATGTGGACAAACAAGCAGTTGATTGACGTTCTGTGCCCTGGCTGAACAAAGCTAAAGCGATACCCCGGGATTTAAACCCAGGAGCTCTACGAGTCGGTACTTATTAATATAACTATAAAAAATAATGAATTCGTTGAAATCTTAAGATGGTGTTTTAAAGTTAATCCACTTTTCAATAAAAAAGTTGATTCGTTTGTTGCCTTTTAACTATATACAAATACATCAATTACATGACTTATATAAATGCATACATTTTAATTTTTGGTTTCGGATAGTAGGAAAGCCACAGACTGAAATCGACAGGAATTCAAATTAACGCCTATTTCATTTGTGACCGGGAGTTTATTACGAGGACGGAATTTTGATATTCCTACCACCCCTTCGATATGTTAACAAATTTTCAGACGAAATCAAACATCATATCATTGTCTTTCGGGCTGTTCGGCCGACGTGAGAGAAAAGAGGTTCTCGACGTTTCGCCATCACGAGCGGACGGCATCATCAGGAGATCAAATCAAACAAAAGTTTTACAAAACTGAACACACATCGATCAGACCTAATTTCGTGCAGATTATGTCATTATCCATTGCAGTTATGTTTGTTTATCCGCCCGGAGACTATCAAACGACGCGACGTTTAATTGATGAGATAATACGTTATACAACTGCGTAAGCGCATAACAATTGCGCTTGTTTAGCTTAATAGATGAAGGGCCGGCCTCATTTTTAACTAGTTTAATCTGTAGCTTATGTTACGTTTTCTCTGCGCAAGCTTTTATTGGTCTGTATTTATATGGATTGAAAACAATTAATGAGATACACAATATTATAATATTGTTCACATGTTATTACATATGGAGGCACTATATTATATATATATATATATATATATATATAAAAAAAATAAAATATATATATATAGGCAGCGTTCCACAACGTCAGAGCAACAGCACGGAACGCTGACGATGCCGGTTCAAGTCCTGCCCGAGTCGAAAATTTTTAAAATTTATTTTCGAATTTTAAATTAAGTATATAAAATTAAAATGTAGGTGATGAGATAGGTATGTTGTTGGATTATAAATAGAAATAGAGTAGAAAATGTATAATTATATATATTTATAAATTTATAATAATAGAAAATTAAAACGATGATATTTTAAATAACGATTGTTTAAATAATTTTTAGTCTATTATCAAGGTTACAATAAAATACTAATAATAAAATAAATAAATACTATCTATAATTTACGCAAATAGTACACATCTATATAAAACGCTTGAACAGATTAAAACGCGAAATTGATGAGTTAAACTAGGCGTGGTCATAGGGAGACGTCTACTGCAAAGCGTCCGAAACGTCGGGCCGTAGTTAAAATAATTTGTAAACAAGTTTAACTAATTTATTTCGCGTTTTAAAGAGTTTTATTTAGATGTGAACTACAGACAGTATTTAAAATGTTTTTTAAGCAATAAAAAGCTTTAATTCCTCCGGATAATATACCCATAGTTATACAAATCATAATTTCAAGTAACATACAAATATTGGGCTTATCACGTCAGTGACTAATGTCAACAACGACTCACGCGCAGGTATGAAGGTCGCGTGTGTGATAGTGACCTTATAGTGTGGTAGTGTTGACAAGGAATCCTTATAGAATTACGGCTCTTAAATATCTTTTACTGGATCATGGCTACTTATATGTTTAATAAGTATTTCTTGTTCTATCCCAAACTCACAGTAATATCTTTTTCTTATTTAATTTTGTATATTTGAGCGACTAAAGACTAATTGTGAGTTAAAAATAGATTGATAGGGTACACTTTTGATGCTCGGTATCAACCATACAAACTTTTTGCCATTAAAATAACATCGGCATCGTCTGTACTTCAGGGGAACAGTAGGAGCTAGTCCTCCCGTGACCACGGCTGCTGCAGAGCATCCGAAACATCGGGCCGCAGTTAAATAAAAGTAAGTTAATAAATTTCGCGATTTATACTGCAAAAAGTGTTTTATTAAAATGCTTCATTTATCCAATACCGTGACCGGTCAACCTTTACAATGTGAATAGATGTAATGCAATTGAAATATGCGGTCAAGGTTTGGTATTGTCACCTCTTATATTCTGATTACTAGAGATGCGCCGAGTAACACTTTTGGCGAGTAACGAGTACCGACTTTTACTCCGCTCAATTTTTTTGCAACCGAGTACTCGGTGAAGTTACTCGGTTCAATAAAATTACCTTAATATATTGCTTTTCTTAAACAAAGTATACTCGTTATCAAAAAACCGGCCGAGTACGCAGAGTACCGTAGTAGACTAGAGTATCAACCGAATACTCGGCCCATCTCTACTCATTATAATTCGATGAGTAGCCAATCTTTGACCCTGGTTCGGTATCCCCTAGTGGGGCAACGACCATTACTGATATCAGAGCACGAAAGATTAGTCTTTACAATTGGGATTAAATGACCAACTTCGATTAGCTCTTATGTTTAATGATCATGATATAAGGTTAATATTCAACGGGTCGTGGGTCGAAGTTCGTCTCACGGGATCCAAATTATTTCTAAAAATCAGTTTTCAATGTGTCTACAATTCGTTGGACTTCTGCATCGTCCACAGATGAAAATCCGTCAACATGTTTTAGAAAAATTATAAATTGTTTAAAAAGTGTTGGACCCGATGGGCGTCGAACTCAGGACCCGTTCGTTATTAGCCACACATTGCTACCATTACTAACGAGCCCGTGTTTTATATAATTCTAGACAAACAGATACAAAATATAAATTTTCTTATCTGTTAACAAACACTTTAGTTCAAAACGAGATATTTATTGGTTCAACTTATTTGAAAATTATTTTAACTACGGCCTGACGTTTTAATATATTATGTGTAACTAAAATATATAGCGTTTTAAACTGTTAAAGTATTTTATTAAAATGTGTACTAATCGCGTAAACTACGGATAGTATTTAGCAAGAATTGATCAAATGAAGTAACGTCGAAATATTATGTTTATTTGACGTAACAATAATATTAAAGCCTTGGCTATTTTCGTCGAATCAACCGTGATGCACCAACACCATATAGTATAAAATCGCAATTCACAAGGTGATATCACCATTACATCACCAATGGGTCATTGTCAACAGGTCTCTAACGATATATTATAAAATTCACTCGCATTTCCAAAGGAATTTGTCGCAGGAAACCGGTTTTATAGTTTACAATATAATTGCTAAATAGAAAAACTGATTTGAAAAGATTTGTGTCGCTCTTTCTATGTCGAATAGAGTTTCTTATGTAAACCGCAAAAAATAAGCCGAAAATTAAAATACCCCAGCCATCTGATCTTAGATGAGCCGTCGACCTATTATTTTTTATCACGACATATAAACAATTTTTTTAATTCAATTGATAGAAATCTTCTAAGAAAAGATGCGCTCTCGACTTATTTTGGTATACTTCAACCGAAACACGATTATTTAAGATTCGCCATCGATGAACGGCGACACAGGCGCGACCTTATGTCCAGAATGACCTAACGCCCTTTTAATGTCTAGAGTAACCAGATTTTTAAAAGAAAAGGATATACAAATGTGTTATACATTTAAATATCGATGCATATTTGTATGTAACCAACCATAATACAACTTAAGACGTTTAAAAGTTGATCTATCTATGCTTTTCATTGACCGTACATGACAAATTAACTAACTGAAAACAGATGCGTAGCCCTTTGATTTTTTGGGAATTTTTAAAACTAGAATCTTATAAATACATTTAGATATATTGCGTTTTAAACCGTTAAAGTGCTTTACTTAAATGTGTACTACTCGCGTAAACTACAGACAGTATTTAAATCTATTTAGATTGAAAAAAAATTGCAACACAGGCGGGGTTTGAACTGGCAGATCCACTGAGCTACCGTGTCCGTACAGCGTTGTGTGTTGAACTGACACTGGTTCAAGTCGCGCCCATTAGGTATATTTTTACACTGTAAACATTTTTTTATCGATATAATGCCATCTTTAAGTTTCCACTACCTCTTATCAAAAACTCACCCCCTTTCTCCTCCACGTCTGCTTCCGACGCAAGCGTGGAAGGCTGTTGTACCTATTGTCATCCATAATCACAACACTTTCACTTATTAGTTCATTACTCTAACACTTCCAATTATCTTTTCGTTAATTTTCTTTGGAATTTTCACAATTTCAATATCGCGCACAACAGTGGCTATCGGTTGCCTTTTTAGGACTGAGTTGTTATTGATAAGCTATCGCGGTGATAACATTCTATAGATAAGGTATGATATAGAAGATTTTAACGTTGTTATTTACATTGAAAAATTTATGACACAGCTTCGAACCTAGCACGTCGACGTCCCTTAGTCGTATTAGGTGATAATTTTAATCGTTACTTGACTTTTAGATAACTAGGAGTAACAATGTGTATTGTTTTTTTTATCTAGTTCTTCTAAAATATAATAGATACACCTTTATTTAATCAAAACATTTTAACGGTTTAAAACGCTATATATTGGTTAAACTTATTTTAAACCGTTATAGATCGTTTTTAAACCATTAAAGTGTTTTATTTAAATGTGTACTACTCGCGTAAACTATAGACAGTATTTAAGTACACACTTAAATATTTTCATATTTTTTGTTTAATTAAATACGATATAAATTTAATTCGTATTAAACTTTAGTTGGAAACTGCTTTGATACCTCTTGATAAAAACGTTTAACCCTAAATCACTGCTCAGTAATATAAAATAAAGTTTATTGAAAAATATCATTGCTAACATGTAAATTGATTTGCTGCGTGTTAATTCATTTGAAAGCCCTATACTGCATGTTATCAATTTGTAAAAACACTAACGCTTCAACTGATAACCTACTTTTTACAAGATGTTTTTTTTAACAGATTTTGATAGTGAAATTATCTTAAATAAAGTCACACGCGATTCTTGTACTTCTGACAATATCCACTGAATGAAGAATAAGTGTATAACTTTTTAGTAATTGTAAAATATGTAAAAAACATTGATTAGGCTAAAAATTGCATGCAAAGGGCATGCAATTTTTACAAAGCCGTCTAATTTTATTTCTTGAAAAATGTTCGTGTATCAATTTTAACTATACTAAGAATTTATTAGCTCTCGGCTAACAGACTACTTACTATTATTTTTTAGACCGATCTTAGTAATAAGTCAACCACACGTATTTTTTATATTTCAGACAAAGAAAAAAATATGTTTCTCATATGGCATTAAAATACATACGGTTCAAAACGCGAAATATTAGTTAAACTTATTTGAAAATGATTTGACTTTGACGTCAGAAAAATCCTCCATAGTCTCCCCGTGACCACGGTTGCTGCAAAGCATCCGAAATGTCAGGCTGTAGTTAAAACTAATTCTCAAATAAGTTTAACTAATATATCGCGTTTTAAACCTTTAAAGTATTTTATTTACATGTGTACTACACGCGTAAACTATAGACAGTATTTACTATACACCTTAACTTACAAGTTGTAAAATATTTTTTAACACTAGATATAAATTATAAGACTAACATTTGCTGGGTCAACAAATGTAATATAATAAATACAATACAGGGTAACGAACCGGGTATAAAAATATGTTACAATTGTAAATGCATTGTTCGCGAATATTACGCAATTGCATTGAATCGATATTATGTTAACAAATAAAGGACACAATAGTGGAATTGCTGACTTCATGATTGTGTCATCGTTTCGACCAAAAACTAAGTTTAGTTTATGACACTAATATTATAAAGCTAAAGAGTTTGTTTAAACATGCTACTCTCAGGAACTACTCGAGTTGAAAAAATATTTTTGTATTGGTTGGACCATTTATCGAGGAAGGGTTTAGGCAATAAAACATCAGGCTGTGACCGACAGGGTCAATACAGAGGGAAATGTGAAGAAAACTGGAAAAATTATGTATCTTTGTTGATTCCTGTTGCTTGTACCGCGAAAACATCAATCAATCAATAATTATTCTTTATCTAATCTACATTTCTATTTTTATCTAAATTTATTTATTTTTATCTAAAAATTGTATTTTACTAGCTGGTGCCCGCGACTTCGTCTACGCAGGATTAGGATTAAGATTACGTAGTATCGCGCATTTAAACTAAATGATGTCTGTTAATAATATATGTGTAACTAACGTTTATGCACACAAAAGGTGAGAAAGGTAGGTTTTTTCCTAGTTACTTGACACTAATGTCATATTTTGGACAGCTCACACAATATCTTTTTAAATTGTAGCATATGTGTTATTCTGATGTATAAGCTATATTATTGGAAAGTTTAATTGAAATCCATTTAGTAGTTTTTGCGTGAAAGAGTAACAAACATCCATCCACACATACAAACTTTCACGTTTATAATATTAGTAGGATTCATTGTCTAAAAACATTCCGCGGCAGTATATGTATATATATATATCTTGTAAGATAAGTGCACAAGAACCGCTGTTATTGTAATCCTGTTTTATTTACATGTGTACTACTCGCGTAAACTACAAACAGTATTTAAAACAACGTTTGTCAAGTCATCTAGTAAACTTATAAACATTTTTTTACTGATGGTGTGAATGCCTAAAACGTGGAGTGCGGTAAATCGTATAGCCGACCAGAACCACTAAACACACCACCAGCCCTCTACGGTGCTTAGAGGGAGCCCTGGGAACATGTTTGTACGATTCCAAAGCATCTAAGGGACCCTAATAATAACTATATATTGTTATATATTGATCATTTTTGATTACAAGAATTTGAAAACTTATTGCGACGTCATACATTCCAATTGTATAATTGTGTTTATTTTTGAAATTTGAGATTTGGTGTTTTAAATGATTATAGGTATTTATAAATTTAACGATCGAATGGTGTAGCCTTTTAAGTACATATAACCGTATTTCAGTTATGATAATAAGTACTTATGTATAAAACACTGTCAAATATTCTAGTTATCATTACAATAAATCACAAGAGGAAGCAAGTAGTTTTAAAGATTCACAAACACAAAGAAATCGTGCACACTGAAAGGTATTCAACTGAAAACTGAAAACTCGTAAAGATAACGTTGAAATACCGTCGTGCATCCATGTACAGCCAGCAAAAAAAAATCCCTTTAGGAAAACTTAATAATTTCAAAAAATTCTTATACTTATTTATGTGTGAGAAATAAAAACGTATTGATATTGATGATATATTCGTCCTTATAAAATTCGAATACTAAATGCCGGATATATAGAAGAAGTTTATTTTATATTCCAAGATGTCTACTTGACTTAAACCAAATTTCATCAAAATTGGTCATGCCAGTTAAACAAGCTACAATCTATCCTTGCGAAATTTTGCATTTATATTCATATAAACTAATCAACATTTTGAAAGCTATTAAAATAAATAAAAACAGAAGGACATTTTGGTATTCTTTCATAACAAAGTCCACAATACTTCAAATGCATAACAAATTTTATTTGCTGACCTTATGTTATCTAATGCTTCACAGTTGTGATATTGATTGTAAACATTAATAGCCAGGTTTTCACAATAAACATTTAATATTAGGCAGGGCTCTTGAGCTCACTTGTACTACCTATTATACTTAGCACAAAGCTGATATGTACTATATCATAGACATGGTGAGGTCAAGCTACAGCTGTTCTGGTTTGCCCTAGGCAGGTGTGGCCAGATATATCCCAGACTCCACATGCCTCTTTCTCTATAACCTCAAACTGTGGTGTGAGAATTTCTATAAATCAGTACGTAAACCAGCGCATTTGGTGAAATTTTTCTCAATAATGACCAAAAGATTAAAAACCCATTTAGCTTTCCACACAAAATGGTCACAAAAGCCTTATACAACTTCTTTTTTCACCCAAATATGTGTTAGGGCTTTAATAACAAGTTAATTTACTTATAAAATTAATTATAACAAATATTTAAGGTACTCACAAAGCCACTTTTCGCTTTCTCATGGCGGGACATTTTTCTTCCTTCGCATTCGGGTGTACCATTCTGAAATTAATTAGAGAATTAGAAGAGCTATTATATATATCAAACTGGACTGACAATTTATAAGAAACTAATCTAGGGGTAACATTTAATATTTTTCATATGTTATTGCACATGATGGCACTATATGAATTAAAAATCTATAAAAAATATAATCCTACCAAGTCCTATCCGAGTCAAATTTTTTTTTCATGTACTCAATCAATGTAGTAATAGATACTTACAAATATAATAAGAGTAAATGGTAGGTGATTGTGGGGTAAGGCCCAAGTATGGAATCCCAAAATATCTACTTATGGCCTAATGCAATTACTTACTTCTTTACAATTAGTTATGTGGGCGATATAAAAGAATGTTGTGTGAATAATTAACATTTTCTTTTTTTATGTGTTTAAAACTTGTTTAAAATTAAATCCAGAGCTATGGGACAAGCAACAATATACTAGCTTAAATGTTTATGTTGTTTAAAACAACAAATTTGATAATGCCTTTGTGAAATATAGCTTAGGAGTATAATAAAACTATCACTCTGTATTAGGCATTCGAAAACACATAGTTTCTTTGCAAAAAGTGCAGTTGCTAATGCTAAGCTGATAATTATCTTGCAGCTTAGCACAAGAACTTTAGTAAAATTTCTACTTTTTATACACAATTGTGCATTTCCATCACACATATATATGTGAAACATGATTTGTAGGACGCAATATAATCCCGCCAAACGATTACATATCGGGGTCGTTAAGAAATGATTATCGTTTAATAGGTTTTCTAACATTACAGAACAACTTCTATTCTTTGAGTACAGCAAAGTTCAATTAAAAACATAAAAACTGCGTTCAAAGTGATATGCCAGCGAGCGTCTACAATTAAAAATGTTTCTTTTTTCTATCATAAAATTGTAAAAACATGACTACATTCCGACCTGTAGGATACTCGAGTCTAACCTATGAAATTTTCCTTAAATATCAACTTTATCACAATCAAACGTTAAGATTAGATAAGGTATATACTTTACCACTAGAAATAGGCTGTTTTAATTTAAAACAACTTCGCAAACACAAGTTTTTGATAAAAACATGATAACACAAACAAGTACAACGGTTTAACAAAACACATACATACGCACTTCACATAGCTAACTAGTGATGTCATACCACGTTTGTCAAAATCTGGCGGTTAGCGGGTAACTGACAGTTTATACGTAGTGATGGCGGTCTCACACTAGTGATGGGACTTACGCATTCTGCGATTACGGGGAATATTATTAATTTACTTAAATATCAAATTAATTATTAATTACCACATAATTAAACTTAATCAGAACAAAAAACTTAGAATATGGAGAACTTATTTCTTTTCATTACTTAAACTTTATTAAGAATAAAATCAAATTAAAGATTCTGTATTCTTGCAATTCGTTATATTAACTCTAACGAAATATAATTCACCAACGTAATATGTAACTTTTACCACGCCAATTTAAAAATTTACATAGTTAAACTCTTTAATAGTTTTTTACAAGTACATATTTCAAGTTTTCAAATTGATTCTTCTATTTTTTTTCTTTCATTCTTCTGTTTTGCATTCTCAATACTTTTCAAATAACGTCTTACTGGAACCCAAATTTTGCATGAGATAAACCATTGTTACCATATTTTTATTTAAATTACAATAGTGTAAAATGGATAATAGCCGAGAATCAAAAAAATGTTTCTGTGCACGTTGTTTTCTACCGATTGATGCGGAAGATAAAGTCGATATCGAAGGGCAAAATTTTCATAGAATATGCAGTATGTGTTGTAAGTATTGTGAACTAACTATACACATTTTTCATAACTCAAAGTCTTCAATTATTATGTAACGTATTTTTATCAGGTATTTGCAGAACGATACCTCAAACTTTAAAAATGTTTTACGGTCATGTATTTTGCAACGAATGCTTTAAAACTCACGTCTTAACGAGATTTAGAGGAGAAAACCCAAGAATCCATTCGAATAGCTGGTGGATGCAATGGGCACCTGGAGTAAAACCTCAAGAAAATGTGGAGGGCGCTGGTATAAGAAACTTTGAGACTCAGTATTAAATATTTTCAATAAAAATGTTATTACCTGAACGTTGTTACTAATTGTAGGATCTAAGGATACGGAACAAGGGTCGGAAGATTTACAAAAACGTTGTTTTTGTGCAAGGTGTTTGCAGGCAGTTGGTGATAATAAAATTAATATTGGAGACCAATGTTTTCATCAACAGTGTGCCAAATGCTGTAAGCTTTTATGCCTGCTATTGAATGGTAGCTTTGTGATAAATTTACATGTGTTTTTGTATTCTTTTTTTTAATCTAGATTTCTGCCACATCGTGCCTAAGTCCGTGAAAATCTACTATGGACAAGTGTTTTGTGAAGATTGTTTCCACCGCCATGTAATGAACAAGAACGCGGATAACCCATCGGAATTCTTTAAGAATTGCTTCGACCAATGGCAAAACAATCCGCAGTTTGCTGAAAATATGAGGGAGTTTATGACGACCAATCGGGACCAGGCGCCGTTCATCTTCATGATGCAAGGCCAACAGCCACCGTTCTGTCGATGTGGTACAGGACCTCAAGAATGGTTTCAACCTACTGAACCCAAGAAATGTAAGATTCGTGTATCAAGTATACTAATATAAATAGTTTACATCAATTTGAGGAAGACTATAGGCAATAATTTATTGCGCTACGACTAATAGGAGGGAAGAAACAGCATGAAATGTAGATAAAAATGGTAAAACATATACATCCTGGTGGATTTCCATTGCGTATGTATAAAATAATGATTCTTCTTGAAATTATCTAAAAAATGTCCGTTACAGTAGGTATGTCTATCAAGCTGACGTCGTGTAAAATATATAGAGGTGAGCAGGAGGTTTGTAAAAACAAATTTTTATGCCCAAGTTAAGTATTCTACGCACACGAAGTCACTGACACAGCTAGTATACAATATAGTAATTATTATAACATAGACGAGGGTTTTGCTTATATACAGTATGTAATGTTTGTCCTTAGGTGCATAAAGAGTTATAAGAAAATGTTCACAGCTGCAACACCGGCGATTTCTAGCGTAGAAGAGTCAACTTGGGATTTATCTTTTGAAAACCGCACCGAAATATCCGACATACCAGAATTAACCGACGAAGCACTAATACCGGAAAGTAGTCAGTTATCGGCAGCTGAAAAAATCGAAAAGCTAACAAAATATTTACACGAACGTTACGAAATCGATGAAAAAGTCGAGAAAAAATGGAAAAACTATGAATTGGATAATTTGTCATTGATATCTAGAGATTCAATAAATTGTTGGCGCGATTTGCAGCAGCCTAAAGTAGAGCGTAATAAACTGAAGTGTCCTAAATGTTTGTGGCAGTGCGGTCCCATTTATGTAAGCGCTGAATATTTGCAAAACAGGCAAATTGTTTGCGAAGAATGAATTTTAATAAATGTGAAGTCTTAAAATATTATTTCTTTTTTATTTAAAGTAGTAAACCATTGTCTCACTAGTAATGTGCTATATTGCAAAACTTATAATCTGTGGTAAAAATTTGACAACTCAATAAAACGTCACTGTCATTTTAAGTTATTTCGTGGTATTTGAATTTCAAACCCAAAGTTTCATCTTTCAAGTTTCAAATAACAACACAAACCCAAGCTATTCGAGTATACAGCAAACTGTTAACAGTTTTAAATGCAATAATGAAAACTGTTTTAATATAACGTGCATTTTACGAATGCTTTTTAATTAATGTTCGTCACGTCTATCATAAATCGTGTAGCGTAAACGAAAGGGCGTCAACCGAAAGGCTTCTTCACCATAACGACTATTGAAAATGTATGGACGAAAGACACCATCGACTTATCGGTCGACACCCTCAGTGTATTCACACTATACAGGAAAGTAAGTAATATGTTTCAGTCATCTTAATTTCAATACAATTATCGTTGTGTTGACAACATTCTTGACCACTCCCTAAACTAACCTTTTGTTGACATTTAAAACCTAACTCTCTATATTTGTGTATTTCTACCATTTACACAACAGCATTTAAGTTCATAAAATGAAGAACTGATTCTAATAAGATTTTGTAAACAGGCCCTGCTTTTGAAATTATAAGTTCTTTATATTCAGTCTATTCCTTAGATCATCCACAAACCTCCGTTCGTCAAAATCGGTAAAGTCGCTAAGAGTCCCATGGTACCAAAAGCCAATTCTCCATGATGCTTTTGTTTTGGACTTGCAGAGGGGGTCTTTGCTCACAGGTTTTCTATCGGTGGTAAGTTTAAATATATTCACAAAAGTCATAATAAGTTCTTCTTTTTGTATGTTATAATTATATAGTGTCTTATGATAGATTTGAAAATTGGCCTATGAGGTCAGGCTAACTTTCGTTAAGTGATTGGTATTTCACCTACCAAGTGAACCTCGTGCTGTCATCTGTTAAAATAAAATAAAAAATGTTTCTCTTTATTAGGCCTCAGTCATTCTTTTATTTTATTCAGCTTCATGTAACATTAAATTTCTTGTTTCAGTTCATAGCGCTATTTACATTTGCACAAAGTATATTTGATTTATACTGTCTCGGTATGGCAACACCAGGCTCTGTACACTATGGGTATTATGTTATGAGCTATCAGTTTGTCTATGTGGGAAGTGCACCAGGTTGTTATTTTTTTTATTGTTAGTTTTTTTAAGACTATTGATACCTTTATTATAGTTTTAAAGTCTAATCGAGAATCCTGTGTTGAAGAAGAAATAGAAATTTACTATTGTAAGTCACACAAAACATACACAAGACTTATTTCTAAATATAAAAATAAAACATAATTTAATCTTAACTGTATAAAAATGTTGTGTGTTAATTAGTAGAATAGGATCTTTCTCAGCTCTTATCGGGTCCTTTATTGACCTGAAAAATTATCCGAATAATTATTGTTTTTTCAACTATTTGGCTGACATGAGCGAGTAAGAATTAATTTGAGCAATAGTGGAGTTAATCTTTTAATAAAAATGACATATGACAAAAACTTGGTTTAACTTAATTTTTTTTCTTTTAGTCCGCAATGTTCTGATAGTATTCTCATTGTTTTCCTGGATTGGTGCTGTTGCTGTCCTAGTTACAAGTATTATACTGATTATTGCATTACGAAAGGTATGTTATATAAAATCCCTTAGATTATCTCAGATATGTTACTAGATCTGTATACTAATTTTACTAACTGAAGAGTTTGTTTGACCACCCTAATCTCAAGAACTTAGAAGTAGATTGGGTCTATTTATCAAAGAATATTTTAGCCCATATGCTCCTATGCTGCATGCTGTGACCAAATTGCAAGCCACCAAATAATTATGTATAAAATAATGATTACTCTTTAAATTATCTAAAGATGTCTTATCTTTTAAAATTAACTTGCAAGAACAACGGAATAAGGATATTTTTACTTTCCTTTAATAAACACCAAAATTAGATAAAAATAAAACGGCAGACATCCTAAAAAGTAAACTGCACATAATTTAAAATCTATGCAAAATTTTACTAGAATAAGCTAAGTATTTACTCTAATATTGTTTCAAAAATATGCGTATAGAGTATACTTTTTTACAGGAACACGAAAAGCGCGTAGTGCCATGGCTGTACACGTTCGGCGTGTTCATAATGTTTCGTGTGGTCGCGTTCGTGTTCGCCTCCATTGTCAACGACATGATATTCGCGTACAACATAATGATGTGCCTTATATGGATCGTGTTTTCTATCTGTGGAGTCTACGGTTGGCTCTTGGTCTACAGTCTGTATTTGGAGTTGTCTGATTTGACTAAGCTCGAAGATTTGGCTCATTTGAGGGTAAGTTTCTGAACTACTAATTCCACTGTGAGGTACTTTCATACACAACCACCTTACCTATAGTTTATTACGCAATAAACATACCTAAAGAAAGATAAAAGAAAAAGATGCTATAAGAATTAACTGTTTAAAACACGAAATATATAACTTCTTTTCAAATAAGTTTTTCAATGAGCGTCGTTTCGGATGCTTTGCGGCTTTCGTTATGACGGTCACTGGGGGGACTAATGGGGATGTTTCTAATTTGAAAGTCGAGCTAGGCCAGTTAGTTAGTTAGATCATCTACGATTTTTTACTTATAAGTATTACATTATTTTCTTTTGAGGTCATTGATAAAAGGCCAGGTGATTAGTCCAAATTCGCGACCATCCATCCATTCCCCTTTCTGTCTTTACAGAATTTTGGGTTCTCCAACTCTCCACTGCATCCCTTTCAAACCTTCTGGTTTCTTTACAAAATATTTTGTAAAGTCCTCTGTTAGTTCTTGGAGCTCAACTTTTATGAAGTCACTTCCTAAACACATATGTCTCAGTTATGATTTCAACCTTTTATTTTTTTTAATATGTAATTATTGATTCCAGATGGGTACAATGGCCTCGCTGAATGCGTCTTTAGCTGGTTCGCGACCGACCACACCCCACTCCACAGTATCAACGATGCCGGCTTCGCAAATATGATATAATGAACCCAAGCCTACCCTCGAATCGGAGCCTATGTTAGAGAGTAACATTAATGAGGGTAGTCTTGAAACACCGGTGTAGTATCTATATATTGAATACTTTTGAGTACAAAAACATTCCTGCAAAGAAATACTAAATGATGTTTCATACCGGTGGGTAACATATTGTGGGTTTTTGACCACCAGACTATGTCTATGAAAATTGTCCTTTTATGGTTATCACGTGCAAGGTTTATGGTCTAGTAGAATATGGCAAATATTATTACCATTTGGTAAACATACATATTAATAAAAAAGTGTAGTATTGTCTGTAAGTTCGACGAGTACACGTTTATAAAAAGACTTAACGGTTTCAAACCCGAAACATAATAACTCTCACGTTATGCTGTAGTTAATATTAAGTTAATTATTTCGCGTTTTAAACCGTTAAAAATGTCTCATTTTAACATAGATTTTGAATTGTTTGGAAAATTACTAAGCAAGCACGGTTTTGTGGCCAATATTGAAAGTTATACTTAACATACAAAATGTATTCATATCATATAACTTGTGTGCCTTAAAAATTGTTACTTTGAATATATATTTTACAAATGTCATTGTATATTACAGACACAAATCAAATTAATTTGTTATAAATATAAAATACGTCATATATTCCTTAGCTGACAAGCTCTTTGGTATAATAATATGGCTAATAATCAACGGGGCGTGGATTCGATCCCCACCGGGTTCAACATATCTGTATTCTAAACAATTTATAATTATTCTGAAACATGTTGGACTTCGTCTAGAAATTTGGATATTAAATAGGATATGTCGAAACTTCCGTCCGGATCACGAACCTCCATCCACATATGAAAGAGCAGTGGAAACCAATGCTTGCTTGTTCTCCTCTTTCATAATAACTATCTGTCCGAATCCGTCCGTTTTATAACTCCATCTCTTTTCAATTAAAAGTAGTAGAAGAGGACGCATATATTTTAGATTTAAGTATATAAATAAGTTTGATTTTAAGAATGCATTTTTATTATAATAACGAAAGCCCTTATATGTTAATTGACTCGCCGTCCTATATTTTAATATTCGTAGCTAAGGTTTTTCTATATAATTTTATTGTTAAGTCGGGAATCTCGTTATAGTAATATTGTTTTATAAAACATGAATTTTGAGAGTGGCCTAACTGCAATTTTATGACTTGACTTATTGATTATAGTCTAAAAATGTTAATCTACAAGAGTTCAGTGACCGTAAATTGTTAACATATTTCTAACACAAATAAATTGCGCATTTTTATTTTCCTTATTGAAAATCATTTTTTTTATCTATTAGGCCACTCTGTCTCTAGCAGCTTCATATGTATAATTAATTATATCCTAATTAGGGTATTTAGGCACAAATTGTCCTTCATTTCTTGTGACTGCCATCGCTGTATTAAAACCCACCATATCTAGTTGTAACCTTATTTCGTCTAGGCTTGAGAAAATGTCTTAAAACTCAAACGAAGATGAGTAAATGTGGAATAGTTTATTTAAAATTATTATTAAACAAAAATGCTTTTATAATTCTAAAATGTTCACTAACATGCGAAAAATCATTATAGTTTAAATTAATTTATCTTAACTTCCTGGATCTAATTTTTTTTTGTCTTGTACCATCAGCAAAAAAGTTTTAAGTAGAAACTGGTGGTTTTTACCAAGTTAACCTTTTTTATAAATCTCATAAAAGACACTTAACAAATGCTTGAATTTGTAAATAATACCTATACTGTTTGTTACTATTATATCAGCTATTTTATAAGTATGACTTAGTTGTATCTAGAATATGGTAAGACTTAGGTAAACCGTCCAATAAATCTATTGTATTACTTACTTCAAAATTGTCCCATTTTTTTTATATTTTATCATACGCTCCAAGGTCATTTGACTCTCAAACATGCTAATAGTATATATAGTTGTCTCATTTAAAGTATATGGGAAAAAGAGACAGCTATAGTTGTATGTTCATAAAATATAACTATGTACTATCTTATAATATAATTAGGTTAATAAATCCACATCATATTTCGATATATTTTTAATACAACAACTTACATAAATATACAATTATAGAAACATAGATCTTTGTACATTAATCTAAAAACTCCGAAGCGAGTTTTGGGCGAGTATCGGAAGGCATACCCCGGAAAATATATTATCACCATGTTATAATTGGCGTTGGAATAAGACAAACTAGCAACTTTGTGACACTGGCCCATTTATAAACATAATTAAACACGATACCACGTGTACTTCAGATTTTCAAAGAAAAAAGCTTTGTGGCGCACGCGACGCCACAAAAATTTACACTATCATTGTTTAGTTTATACTTGGTAACTTTTGTTAAAACGGCGGTAGTTTTATGAAAATCAAAACACGTCACTGGACCGAAAGACCATAGTCGTAGGGTACTTTTCCTGTTTATACTGAGCTATCACGAATGGTATCATATTCAAAAATTTACTTCCTAATACTACAATAGTATACAATACAGTATGGACTATAAAGGTCACTTCAAACGGCGTCATCCCAAAAGCAAATAGAAAATGGCTTGAACACCTTTAAAACGAAGCTATTAAAACAAATGACAAATATCAGCTGCACCGTTAGCAAAACTGCTCCAATGAGTAATAAGTAGTATGAATTTGAGTACAGTCAACATCTAAAGATGCCATCCATTTGTGATGGGGGAACTGTGTTATTGAACGAGAAAGCCTTCTCCAATCTATGCTAATATAAAGCTGAAGAGTTTGTTTGAACGAGCTAATCTCTAGAACTATAATACGGCCGACGTAAATTGGCAAGTCTGAACATAGGTTAGACGCACTTTAGCGCATGTACACTAGTAAAGAAACTAATACTGCCATTTATTTTCGTTATAAATGAAAGATTTTACCTATAGCAAGCAAAAGTAACATACCAATAATTGATTCAAAGAGAATACGGGCTATGAGCACTTATCTTTCACTAAAATACTAAGACAAAACAAAAATATAACAAGAGAAATAATTGTATTAAATTTAACAATAAACAATCACTTTTCTAACGGACTGCGCTTGAGCGCAGTTGCAACGGTTGCAACGCAGAGCAACGGACTTGTCTTGAGACAGAGATATCGAAATAAACGCTAACAGTGTGACCGTAACAGAGTGACCGAGACACACTACTGTTTACCGAATATGTACGAAGCTTTACGAAATAACCCAATTCATTCTGCGCAGCGTTTCGCGCTAAGATCAGACTTGCCAAGTTACGTCGGCCGTATTATACTGGTTTCGATCGGTTATTTAGTTAATTGTTTAGAGCATTTATCGAGGAAGGCTTTAGGCTTTAAAACATTACGCTGCGACCGATAACATATATATGAGAGAAAAAACAGTATGCAATTTAAAGAAATATTCATCTTTGAGAGTTTCCCTTGCGTGCAAGGGACAGCACAAGATACCTAAAAATATGTATTGAGCGGAAATAATATAAATAATTTAAAGAGTAGTATTTAGTACGATTAACTCGCAAGAACGACGCGGACAAAGTCGCTGACACAGCTATTAGCAGTTTATAATGTAAATATCATTTTTCATACATCAGCAACATAGATAGTTCATAGCAAAAAAGGCATTCTACAACTGAGTGGAAGGAAAATAAACCTTAAGGCATTGTAGATAAGGTCTATTATAAATCATGTCTATTGTCTAGGTATCACTTTGTTTTCATAGAATATAGGATAAAAAATATGTTTTATGATTAGTACATGAAATTCGATTATAGTACAAGCTCATTGGGTTATAAATGCGCGAATACAATATCTATAAAAAAAATAACCAGCGCTGGCCACATGGGTCTCCGGATCTAGGAGTTTCTTAACCTCCATATAGGGTTGCCAGCATTTCTATGGCGAAATATATTTTTTTTTACCTCAAAATTTAAAGATACTTAAAAGTTTTAAAAGCGCACTCTATATGTTAATTTCGAGATACGAAATATATTGCAACACTTTATATAACAGAACAGTTGGCAACCCTATCTCCATGCTCTACGCATAATTTTTGTCCTGTGAACATAGAAAGAAAGAAATTTTGAAATAAACCTGAATTATGAAATGTTATTTTTTTCCAAAAGATAATATGAATTTGAGTAGAGAAATTATACAATAACATCACTACACTTTAATATCGGCGAATAATATCACTTGCAATAAATGCACAAAACAAAAAATAATACAAAAATCTCTATCTATTAAATTAATGAGTTTTAAATCAAAAATATACCCGTATGGTCAATATTAGTGCATGTTAAATATTAAAAGAAAAGTTATCGATAAAAAAAATGTTACCATCAAATGAAAATACATCGAGAAAACTACCATTCTGGCTATTACATGATTATCAATCAAACACTTCTGAATAAAACACTTTAACGGTTTAAAACGCGAAATATATTAGTTAAACTTATTTACAAACTATTTTAACGACCCTGCAGCAGCTATGGTCACTCACGGGGAGAACGAATGAGTTGAGCTCATATATTTCGCGTTTAAAAGAGTGTTTTATTAAAATAGTATTGATAATCGTCCGACATTTTTTTTTTGTTAATGAAAACACTGCCTAGTAGAGACAAAACATAGTCTAGAACAGTATTAATATCCTCAGATCCCAGACAGAGCTATATAAATAATAAAATAGTTGCTATAACCTATTAATTCACAGCTTGGTAGATACATTTTAATATCTATAGGGGATTAGATCCTACATGATGTGAAATGGCTTAGTTCATGTGGAGTGACCACTTGACACTATAATATAATATGTTTCACACATAATACCGTTATATAAATTAAAAAAATCATAAGAATAGATTCAAATTATATTGCGCGACAGACATTTGACGATGATGCCTGCGACGGGGTAGCTTAATCGGTTAGAAAAACAGCTTGGACCGCTGTGGATGCCGGTTCGAGTCCCGCCCATGTTCGGTACGGATCCTTTCGTGTGAGTACAGACACCTAATCCCCCATTAAACATTAGGAACGCGTTCTCAAAAATGTTTTGAATTAAAAAAATATAGATTCATTGTTTCTCTAACTGTCTAATCCCTGGTTCTTCCGTTTGATCCGGGCGTACGGCCCGATATCCGGGTCGGTGACGAAGTCCCACAGGACTCCGGACCAGCTGTTGTGCTGCGGCAGGTCGTCGTAGAACTCGGGCGCAATGCGTTTGACCTGGACAAAAAAAATAGGCTATGTTCTTCCACTCTACATAATACATTTTTTTACTAATAATAATGTTATTTGGCGGCAACAACACTTTTAACGGTTTAAAACGCTAAACATAAGTTTCATGGATTTTTAACTACAGATGCTTATTCTACTTTAAGTCCGTTAAAAGCATGCAAAACGTCAGGTCGTAGTCAATATGGAATTAATGCATATATTTTGCGTTTTAAACCGTTTAAAGTGTTAAATTTAGATTTATGTATATATTTGGCTTCAGATTCAGAGAATATTAACTTAAAATTATCACATCTTTTATTAGCTATTGTTATGTTGTTATGGTGCTTAATTCTATTTTAAAGACTTAATTTAAATAACTATTAATTAGTAGCAGTAAAAAATACTAGCTACCATTTTATTTTATTGCATGGCAGCACTAACCTCGGGCAATCGGCTGCCGGGGACAGCGGGGAAATCGTGATGCTCGTTATGGTAACCCACATTGAAGGTGATCCAGTTCAACGGACCGTAGTACGAATAGGTCTCGAAGCCTTTCTTGAACATATAGTGCTCGGAGATGAAGTGACCTGAAAGTTGGAAAAAAAATATTTAAAAATGCACATTTTTTTTAATTTCTACTTTATTATTATTTCCATATTTTAAACAGTATGTCATCAAATTTCCTTTAAATCGGTGACAGTGGTTCTACCAGTTTTTTATTTTTGACTACAAGTAAGAATGGAAAGAAATCGTAGATCTAGACTTTCCCTCTTTGTCTGTCCACTTTGGCATTCATAAGAAACATGAGAGCGAGAGCGTTGAGATTTTTTTCGCAAATTATGTATTTCTGCATAAAAAAAAACAAAACTAAAGACGTCTCGTCTTAAAAACATTAAATTTTTCACATATTATTGCACATGAAGGCACTATATAATTTAAAAACCGAAAATAAATTTGAAAAATTTTCGACTCGCAGGACTTGAACCGGCATCGTAGAGCAACAGCACGGAACGCTAGATCCGGTTCAAGTCCTGCCCGAGTCGAAATTTTTCAATTTATTTTCGATTTTAAATAAGTCTCGGTTAATTCTCTCTTGATATGAATAAACGGTAACAGGTAGACTTGAAATAAGATAAGAATGGTTTCAATGTGAAATATGTATACCATAGACTAATGGTTCGGTGCCCTTGCTAAACCCAAATTAAATATTCTCTGTAGTTTACGCGATAATATGCATTTAAATAAAAGACAATTCAACCGTTTAAAACGTGAAATACATATTAAAAAAATTGTAAAACTTATTTACAATTTATTTAAACTACTGCGTGCTAGCGGCATAGCAAATTTGACTGACTTTAGGGAGCACTCTCCATCTTTACTTCCACCCTTAGACCACGAGTGCTGCAAAGCATTCCGAAACGTCGGGATGTGGTTAAAATAAATTTACTAATACACTTCGCGTTTTAGACGGTTAGAAGTGATTTTTTAAAAGGAATTATTTGGGGTGGTTCGCCGGTGTTTTTTTTTGTGGGGGGCTTTCCTTTTGCCATTCATGGGGCTCGGGGCAAGCACATTTCTGTATTAGGCAAGTAGTTGATGAGACTTCTATGCCCTACCCCAATTGAAACATTTTTTTTGTTCTCCCTCGGACTCGAACCCAAGACCATTCACTTAAAGCATTGGTAAGCCATACGTTTAACCATTCGCCTACAGAAGCGGTCGTCTTTATATTTCAATGTGTGAATATTTACCAGCTACTGGATGTATGCCCATGGCCAATAGCGAACCGATTAGCAGGTACGCGAGTGCTCTTCCACCTGGAGAAATAATGTTAAGAGATATTAATAACAGATATAAGAGATTGTGTTAAGCATCTTCAGCCATTTAAAAGGTGCACAGCTGTGTGGCATAAGCAGGTAGTCGATTCGATTCTCATTCGGTCCAAAGAATTTCAAAATATATCTGTATAGGGGGGGGGGGGAAGGGGGGGGGGGTAAAAACCGGGAAACACGTTGCAAGATTTATGTTGTATATTTCTTATAACATTTTCGATTTGATCTGGTATATTTGTTTATATGTGGGTCACGAACCACCGTCCACAAATGAGAAAGATGTAAAGTTTAATCGAATTTCGGTCTCAGTCAGTGGATTTCCGAATATCCAAAGCCAACATAGGTTGACGCATCTTAAGCGTCCAGCATGTGTGCTATGATAAAAAAATCACCGGATCGCTGAGATTCTACTGTATATATACTGTGAAATAAATCACATTTAACTAAGTTTGAAATGCGAAATATTTAAGTGAATTACTGCCCTACAAGACCCCGACTACAAAGCATGCGTCGTGCCATAGTTAAATTAAATAAGCTAAACATTTAAATACAATGGAAATCGGCCTATGACGTCCGTAGTTAAGCTAATTTCCAAATAAAATTAACTAAAATATATCGCGTATTAAACCGTTAAAACTAAATACTTACCAAACAGCTTAACGACAATCATATCAAACATGAGCTGAATGATAAGGTTGATGACCTCCATCGGAGTGGGGGGTTTGGGTCTGACCACGAGCGGTCTTAGCGAGTAGAAGAACGGCTGCAAGAAGAGCCATAACAGCTTCCCTCCAGTTGTACAGAAGAGTTTAGCTTCTATTAGAGTTGGTAGATCGACGTCAATTTTTTCGTCGCCTTGGTACTGTAAGGAAAATAAGACAATTGTTTCTTAGGCATAGACACTTAAAATGATATATACAAAATAAAACATGTTTGTGCAAAGGCGGCCTTGTCGCCTATGGCGATTTCTTCCAGGTAACCCTTGCATGTAGCAATAAAAAAAAACAATTTCTGATTACAGAGAGATATTTTTATTTTTGCTCTATAGTGCTTATTTTAAATTTATTTTTGTTTCCTTTTTTTTTTTAATTTATGCTTTTTTCCTTATTATTTCTGGTTGCCATTCTAAGTGACATCAATGGGGCAACACTACTTTTGGATTTCAGCAACAGCTGAGTGATGTCCTTCCGCAGCAAAGTTAATGTATGTAATGTATTTGTAAACGATTTCTTTTTCTATTTTCTTATACATATAATTGCTTAATTTCTGTGTTGTTATAATATTCTTGAATTAAAATTGTTTGTATTTGACTTATCACTCAGTTACTACTAAATTGTTAAATACTATATATATATATATATATATATATATAATTATTATATTGTAAGCCAGGCTTCAAACCCCAGGATTGCAATTGCCAATTAACCAAATCGATCAGTAAAACGGGCACAGAAATGTGTTTACCCCCTTTCGTTCCCTTCCCCCATAGTGTGGGAAGGGAACGGAATTCAAAAATCCTCTCTTACCCTATGATGTTCTAAATGGTATTTCTTGAAGCTGATAGATATAGGAATGCCTATGGGCAGATTCGCGAAGAATCCGAAAAGTTTGTTGTGCAGCGGCCTATTGTGTCCGAATGCCAGACTGTGTGCGATTTCATGGATTGCTGTAAAGGAAAAAAAAAACATACAGTCAGTGCCTGTAATTAACGCAACATGAAATAAAATGCGATTTCCATTTAAAGGCCATTTAAAATGCGAAATATGTAAGTGCCCAGGGACTGCCCTAGATCTAAATATATATTACGTTTTAAAACGTCAAAAAACCTTTATACAACAATAGTTAAGAAATGGTGGAACCCTAAACGCAATGAAACCCGGACGGAATTTCGATAGTCCTACCGTCCATTTGATTCATATCCAGATTTCCAGACGAAGTCCTACTACCTACATGTTTCAGAAAAATTATAATATTAGAAACATAGGAAGGTAAAAAACATCAAACGCGAGTTTGTTTTCTCGTTTCATCAGTTCTTCATCAGTTCAGAGAATTTTAAAACATAATAACGAAATATAAATAATAAGTGTAAAATTACAATAAATAAAAAAATGATAATTTCCGGACACTTTCCAGCGATATCGATATTGCTTATCGATAAGCGTCACGTGCTGAAGAAAAATAATCGATATTTTATCGATACAAGATTGCATACCGGGTAATACGTTGCAAGGTCGTTGCGATAACGGACTTTGGTCTAATGGCTATTAATCGACGGGTCGGGATTTCGGATCCGACCAAATAACAATTCAGAAAAATCTGCATATTGAATCGTTAGTCCGTTACGGTCATGAATTACTGTCCATATATATAACAGTTTGAGGATGTCTAAAGCTAAATAATAGGGCGACGCCGCATCTTATTTAACTTAGGGGTTGTCCATTAATCACATGATCTTTTTTTTAGCATTTTTAACCCCCCCCCCCCCCATTGGTGATACGTAGTGAGGTTTAAGAACACCCCCACTCCCCCTTCTAAACATCACGTATATTTTTAGTACCTACGAAGAATCTTAAAATTTTCTGAATATTATCTCAATATAAATAGGTACAGGTATAAACTATACCCCCCCCTCCTCCCCCCCTTGTGTTATTTTCGTGATCATTATCAACCCCCCCCCTTTCAAGCCTCACGTGATTAATGGACAACCCCTTATTTGATTTTAATTGTATTAATGTAATATTCTACTTCAAATGTCAAGGGGCATGACTGAAAATCGGCTGTGTGCCTACTTCCACGTACAAAAAAAGCTGAGTGGTGTCCCTCCACATACATTTATTATTATTATTAATTGTCATTGTATTTTTGTGTATTATTTTATGAGTGTGTGTGGATTAATGATTTGATTTCATTTAATTTTTTAAATATTTTTGTTTAAATATTTTATGACTGGCCTTTTCTCACCTACCATCGAGTGAACCCCACGTTTGTTCGTCCTCCTCTGCCTTACAAATATCGACACGAGATTATCGCAGCCCGTGTTTCAAGTAATACGATATTGCAAGGTCGTTGCGATAACACTAAATGCATACAAATTTCAATAATGTAACCGACCACATAATGCAGTGTAAATAAACGATTTATCGTGTTATCCTCCATTGATAAATACGAATTGGAACAGACACACGAAATACCTTTTTTCAATGATAGAGGACAGACATGGCATGCCAATCATGAAGTGAAGCCTCACTTGATGATTGGCGATATACCCCAACCATCTAAACAATATGCTGTATAGATGTCGACCTATTTGGGCTTCGGATCAGTCTGAAACCAAATCGCGATTGGGTCGACGGCTTTCGATCTGTGGGCGGTCGTTCTTGGCCCGGACGAAATTTCTCTATTCCTACCACCTATGTAATATCTGAGTTACTAGACGAAGTCCGGAATGTTTCACAAAAATTATAAATTGGAAAAAAAGAAACGTGTTGGGTATCGAACCCGACAAAATTACTTGAAAGGTATATATAATAAAAAAGGAGTTAAAACATTTCAGATTTTTTAAAGTAAAAAATACCAGCACGTAATGCATATCGTACAAACATTTTTGACGCTTTGACGCTACAAAACAAAATCATATATTAAGTTAAAAAAGACATTTGCGTCCGAAATAAATAAATAAATGACGGCCTCTGTGGTGTAATAGTAGCATATGAATAAAAACAGGTCGTTTCGAACCCCCACCGGGTGAGATATGTTTCTACTTAATAAATTTATAATTTTTCTGAAATATGTAGGACTTCTTCTGGAAATCTGCATATTAATTATTTTACCTTCCTATCAAATGACCCCCATGTTTGTCTGTCCACCCTTATCATAAATATCTCAAGTTCGAATTCCTTTTATAACCTCGATGTCATATGTTTGCCATCAATTTGCGCGTTGTTCGAGATTCGATTCCCAGCAATAGGGAAAGTCGCATTGCTTACGACTTTTTCAAGCCCGTTTATCGGTTTTCCTTTAAGGTGGTCGCGCCGGTTTCCAGCGAAACATTACCAACGTGATATGTTATCGCACGTGACTTCAATCACGTATAAGCAATTACGTCGATATTTTACAGATAAATCCAACGGCCTTGACAAATCGCCAAATGATAGGAACGCCCACATCCGTTGTTGGGCTGACATCGATAAGAAAGCGCTGATGCGCTATCGACCTATTTTGGCTTCATTGGACCGAAACCGGAACGCGATTATATTTTACGGTTTTTTTATCTAGGTGGCTTTATGGGTGGTTCGATATTGTTGCCACCCATTCAATATCTGGATTTTCAGACGAAGTCCAACATGTTTAAGAAAAATTTGATAAGAAAGATGTTGACCCGCTGGGAAACGAACCCACGTCCCGTTGACTATTAGCCTGAGTCCCTCAAAATCTTTTTCATAACGATTTCAAGCGCTTCGCCTTTCATTCATTCTTACCTAACATGAGAGAATGGTTAATAACTCCGCCGAAGCAGTAGGCGACCAGCAGCAGCACGGGCCAGCTCATATATGACACCAGGGTCAGCATCAGGAACTGAGTGAACACCATCCCCGTGACTACCCATTTGAAGTTAGGGTCGTAGCCGTACAGCTTTTTGATTTCTGGGTACTTCTCTGAAAACAAACAAAAATATATATGAGACTCTTAGCAGTAAGGTTAAATGTGTTCCTACTGCATATTTATATAGCCGCTTCCGTAGCCAAATTGAGGCCGCTAGAGCCAGAGTAGCCTAACTGCAATTTTTTATGAGTTATTTACATTTTCATAGTCTGAAAATGTTAACTAAAGAGCACAATGACCGAAAATTGTTAACATAATTCTTACACAAATCATAGTACAAATTCATTTTCGCCTAAGTTAATTGGGCATTTTTATTTACCTCCTCCTTTAATCATGATTTTCGTTATTAGGCCACTCTGCCTCTTGCAGCTTCAATTGTTAAACGTGTTGCCTGTGTAGCAATGCGTTAAGCGCGAGAGGACCTGGGTTCGAATCCCAGGAAAATAATAAATCGAGCAAGGCACTGAAGTTTGATCAACTTGCCTGTAAAAAATCGATCGGTGAAACGGACACAGCGATCTGTTCGTCTCAAGTTTGTCTAAATAAAGCACGTTTAACGGTTTAAAACGCGAAATATATTAGTTAACTTACTTTAGATTGAATTTACCTACGTTTTGGATGGTATGCAGCAGTGGTTACGGTCAAAAGTATGAATCGTGGCAAATTTAAAAAAAAAATCACAAAAAAAAAGCACTGTACACAGTTGAAATTGGAACATAAAAGTAAATGAATTCGTCTAAGCCGATGGTGACTTCTATATAGTTGGTAGTCGGGGGTTCGATTTCCGCCCGTGACATTTTTTTACATGTGATAAATTTTTATATAATTTCCAATAGCTATGAATGCACGGACTTTACGCCTTCTAAAAATTACTTACATCTCTTATCGGACATGGGGTAATATTCGATAATATTCTGATAAGATAAGTGATAAACACGTGAACAGGAGATCGTGAGAGAGTCATTCATAAACGTAGAACATGCGTCATGTGTTTCGACGTAGTTAAAAAGTAATGAAACCATTATTTGTCTTGTTTTAAACCGTTAACGTAATTAACGTACACATGAAATAGTGTACTAGTCGCGTAAACTACAGATGATACTTTATTATTGCAACTCCATTGTATGTGAATAGAAAGAGACAGAAAGTACACAAAATGATAAAAGACAAACAAAACAGTCGACAAAGACTTTTTTAAAATAAATTTTTGTTGTTGTTGAAAAAACACTGTTCTGCCACTGATTCAAATTAAGAATACACAACAATTTAAATAAAATACTTTAACGGTTTAAAACGCGATATATTAGTTAAACTTATTTGGAAATGATTTTTAACTTCGGCCCGACGTTTCGGATGCTTTGCAGCAGCCGTGGTCACGGGTAGTCTCCCCGTGACCACGGCGTCGCGTTTTAAACCGTTAGAGTGTTTTATTTAAATGAGTACTACTCGCGTAAACTATAGACAGTATTTAATACACAACAATGTAAACCTTTACTTCTAAACTTTTACTAGCTGTGTCAGTGAATTCGTCCGCGAGAATAATTTGATTGGAAATTGAATGATGAATAATTTTCCCAATTTTGTTCACATTTCTCGCTGTACCTTCGCTAGTATTAGCCGCAGGGTGATGTGGCATATAGCCTTCCTCGATAAATGCTCTAACCAACACAAAAATAATTGTTCAATTCGAACCAGTAGTTTCTGAGATTAGCGCGTTCAAACATACAAACAAAATCTTCAGCTATTTTAGTATGGATGCAAGTGATTTAAATAGGAAACTTGATTCTTTAAAATATATTTCGCCAAACGTGTTCCACAAGTACCTAATAATGACAACCTATATGCGACCTTCGTCGTGGTTCAGAGGTTGAAACTTTTGCGTAGCCACGCATTAATAAAGATTCTGTCTTCGAGTTCATGAAGCCTGATAAACTAAAATCTCGTTTCCCCCCGTGGGGCATGGGGCGAACACATTTTTGTGTCCGTTTCACTGATCGATTTTATTTACAGGCAAGTAGTTAAATACTATCTGTACAGCTATAGGCGAGTGGTACACATTTAAATAAAACACTTTAAACCGTTTAAAATGCGACATATATTAGTTAATTTGCGTAAATGGCCAAAAACCAACTTCAACGGAACTGATGGCGCTAGCGTAGTAGTTTTTTTACTTTGACATCAGAGATACCTCCCCAGGACCACGGCTGCTTCAAAGTGCAAAGCATCCGAAACATGGGGCCGCAGTAAAAATAATTTTGAAATAAGTATCAGGGTCAGCCCCAACTACTTATTATACCTTAATAGAATAAAACGAAACCCGTAAACCTAGAGGCAGTGGCCTAATATCAAAAAACATGATTTTCAATAACTTAGGCGAAAATGTATTCGTACTATTATGTCAGTAAGAATTATTTAAATCAAACGCTTTAAAACGCGATATATGTTAGTTCAATTAGTCTCCCCGTGACCACGGCTGCTGCAAAGCATCCGAAACATCGGGCTGAAGATAAAAATAATTTTCAAATAAGTTTAACTTATACTTATCGCGTTTTAAACACAGACAGTATTTAGTAAGAATTATGTTAACAATTTACGGCCGTTGTGCTCTTGTAGATTAACATTTTTAGACTATGAAAATATGAATAAGGCAAGTCATAATTGTTTGGCTGCTCTGCCTCTAGCGGCCTCAATTACAATTGGTACAGCTAAGCTAGCTTAGCTGGGCGATTTATTAGACGGTTTATGAAACCAGATAACTGCCTGATACAAAAGTTGTTAGTTTTTCTGTCAGGATAACGGAACTGGAAAATTTATTAATTTCGACTGGTTCGATTTCTTTAACCTCGTTTAACTTTTCTGTAGTTATTATCGCAATTAGATATCACTTCGACTTTGAACGAACACCTGCGTTTCGTGTATTCTCTTCCATTGTATTGTGTTACCAGCGAAACAAAATATTTACTTATTATCACGGTACCTACATCCACCTGTGTATACAATGCAAATCAATACATAAATATAAAAAAGTATTATCCCCGACAATTCAAATTCTTAGAAAAATGAATAAGTTTCGAAAACTTTTCTATTTTTACATATTATTACCAAATGGTGGCACTATGTAAAAAAGTTTCGTCAAAATCGGTTAAGCCCTTTGGGAACAAACGATCAACTAACAATCGCCATTAATATATTAGTTGTTTTAGAACTACCCGTTAGTATTAGAGGTTTACATTCGACTGCAGATACCGAGGTTTGCATTCCGGGCGAAATGTTAGTTCAGTATTTGAAATTTTTCTAAGAGAACTTCTAGTAAAGAATAAAGATCACCTCGGAAAAAGTTAAGCCCTTGATTCGATTATCATCATACATTTAGTAGAATGTTAGGTCATCCTGGGTCTATGCTGATGAACTCACCCTCTATGAGAGTAGAAACTTCTACTCAGGAATGATTGACATGAATGTTAGGAACGATACGTAAGTATCGTCTGTGACAACGTGAAATGTATTAGTTAACTTATTTGTAATTTATTTTAACTGCGGCCCAGCGTTTTCCCCCCCGTGACCACAGCTGCTGCAGAGCATACGAAAAGTAGAGCAGTAGTTAAAACGAATAAAAAATAAGTTCACTTCCTTATCGGGCATAGCTAATCAATAAAAATAGCAGCAATTCAAAAAACGATGTAATAACAAACAATAATTTCACAACAAATCGTTATCGGCTTTATTGCTGATAAGGTGAATTTCAGGTTAAGATAGAAACATTTTTCTACGAAAAACCGAATGGAAAATTTAATTAAACATTTCAGCTTGCCTACGTTTTGTATTTTTCCAGAAGAGATAACAAAATTCGGAAATTGAATCCAATCTATACTAGTCTGAACTAGTATTACAAAGCTGAAGAGTTTGTTGGTTTGAACGTGCTAAATCTCAGGAACTATTGGGTAGGATTGGAAAAATATTTTTGTGTTGAATAAAACATTTATCGAGGGAATCTTTAGGCCAGATTTAAAATATCACTCTTCGATATATAGCGACGAAACTGTGGATAATGACGAAAACACAGGGAAAATTATCTTTAAGAGCTTCCGTTGAAAAAAATTGTTAAAAGAGTGCCTCTTTAAACGATCTTAAAAAGAATTCTGCGTCATCTATCTTTTAATATTGACTTGTAAGAACGACGGGACGCGACCGACGTCGTGGGTAACAGCTTAAGTTTATAAACACGAAGAGGTGGTTTTTCAAAACCAAATTTGACGGACGAAATCGCTGATGTAATGAGTAATTAATATAAATGTCTAGGCTGAAAAATAAATTAAGGTAGTTTGATATTTGCCATACAAAATGAAGGGTACTTAGTTAAAATAGTTTATTGACCTCCAATGCCCGTTGCCTAGCAATGTGTTAAACGATGCAGGTCTAGTTTCGATCTGAAGTCTAAAGTGGAACGGACTGAAGCACTAGTCGATAACGGGACTTTTTATTTCAGCTATTTATCTTAGAATGTTTCAGAAATAAAGTCAACCGCTAACCGACCTTCAGCGTTCAATGAACAATATTGAAGCAATGACAATGGTCAGACGTCTCGCGTTATCGTTTTGCAACAAACGACTTCATTGTTTAAAGGATTTTCTAACGTCAAAAAACTCTGGAACAAAGTACCTAGATTAACTAAGTATTACTTTTTTTAATCTGGAAGATGTTAAACAGACAAGCCTCGTGTTCACTTGAGGGTAGGTGAAATACCCCAGCCGTATAACATCTAAACACGATGCGCTGTCGACCTATTATGGCTTTGGATAATCGGAAATCCTCAGACTGAAACCGAAACGCGATTAAACTTTACGGCTTTTCATTTGTGGACGGTGGTTCGTGACCCGACCAGAATTTCGATATTCCTACCACCCATTTAATATTCAGACTTCCAGACGTCCAGCATGTTTACAAAAAATTAGAAATAACTTTAACCCGATGAGGATTAAACCCACGGCCCGTCGATTATAAGCCACACCACTAGACCAACGAGGCCCTTAAAATAATGAATGTCTAAAAATACATAGGTACTAAAGCAGTCTGTAGTTTACGCGAGTAGTACACATTGAAATAACACACGTAACGGTTTAAGACCCAAAATATATCAGATTATTTTCAACTTAATCTAAATGTGACCCGACGTTCACGATGCTTATCGGATGTTGTCAACGACATTTTTAAGTCATTTAAAAAAATAATCAATGTATGATACAAAGTTTCGGTTTATTGAATCGTGTTCGCATGGGAAGCCATTAATGTTTCTCTTTTTTTTTCACATTTTCCACTGTTTCTTCGACCCTGAGAAAGGACATAGGCTACTTTTTATTGCGAAAAGGGGTTAAAAGGGGGGGTGAAAGTTTATATGGAAATTCGTGGTTTTTGAAGCTAGAACAATGAAACTTTCTTCTTTGGCTTTTTGGGAATAGGAGTGGGAGGGGCGTGGGCGTGGGAGAGAGTGGGAGTTAGAGTAGGAGTGATGCGAGGTGAGTGTTGCGGCAAAGTAGTACTTACAACATAGATTGGCTGCGATAAATGCGCAATTAGGTACATAAATTAATAAACAGCCTAAATAATTAAAAATTCTACCCCAAGTCACTATTCCACGCGAACGAAGTCGCGGGCACAGCTAGTTGCATATAAATATTTAAAAAAAACTTGTTTTACTAGAAAACATGTCTATTTCCTTTTTGCATATGCAAAGAACACGATAGCATGACTTTTATGCGAGCGCCTGTTCCCACATTAACATCTACTTAGTAGAGGAGGGTAATTATCGACAATTTGCACCCAACTCCAACACTAATAAGTAATTATACCGAGCATGAGTACGCAACACTAGTTCTTGTCGGCGTATTCACTCTAGCAGAAAGTAACCTTCACTGATAGCCAAGGTTAGTATGGAAACCAAGAATTATTAGGTTATAACAGTCATTTAAATGTGGCAGAAATATTTCTGTGTACGCTTTCCAAATTAATTTCACTAGGTCTATAGATTATATGTATTTATGAAGACAGCCTTTTGTTCAATATTGAAATAACTTTTTGTTACTTCAATCTATTCCTCTGGCTGCGTCATAGGTAGTTAAATATTTACAATACAATTTAAATGTTATGTCATAATTTACACACATGAAACACATGACTTCTTTAGCTTGACTCAATCTGCATTACTATACATACAAAAAAGTACTTTTTTAAATACTGTCTGTAGTTTAAGCGAGTAGTACACATTCAAATAAAACACTTTGACGGTTTAAAACGCGATATATTTTAGTTAAACTTGTTCGAAAATTATTTTTAACTACGGCCCGACGCTTCGGATGCTTTGCAGCAGCCTAACTACAGACAGTATTTAGTTAAATGTTTAGAATACAATTTGAATGTTTTGTCATGATTCACACACATGAAATACATGACTTCTATAGCTTGACTCAACCCACATTACTATATTATATACAAAAAACATACTTCTTTTACTAAGTAAGACAGACAAGCCAGCAGAGCTCAAGGGCTCATTGGTTGATTGTTAGCCATACATGGTCGTGCGTTCGATCCCCATCGTGTATAAGGTATAATTTTTCTGAACATGTTGGACTTCGCCTGTAAAGTCAGATATTAAATGGGTGGTAGGAATAACGAAATTCTGTTCGAGTCACGAACCATCGTGCATACATGAAAAGGTCACAGAAAAGTTTTCAGTCTGGATGTCCGAATTTCCAAAGCCATAATAGGTCGAAAGCGAATCTAGTTTCGACGTCAATGTCTGGGGTATTTTACATACGATCAAGTGAATTCCTACTTGTATGTCATTCTCTATAAAAAAAGGTTTGGTTAACTGGAAGTGAGAGTTTGATATTCCAGTCATCAAAGTAGGATGTCTATACTCTAAAATTCACTGTCACAGGTATTCAGGAATGTAGAGTCTGTTATTAACTGCATTGACATTTATATGTCTTCCTCCTTATCCACTAGAAAACTTATTAAAATTATTTTGGATTATTTTTTATGGTCTAACTAAAACTACAATATTCAACACTACTCGCAATAACCAACCACCGAACAAGAGCAGTGAACAACGGGTAATATTTGACCGGATATGAACATAATTTAGGTTGAAAAATTTATAAGTCATGGGCAGGACATGAACCGGCATCCATAGTGTTTGTTCTGTTGCTCTAACCAATTGAGCTGCTGTGTCCTACCCGTCACCGTTGCATTTTTGCAATCCATTAATACATGCATCTCTAGGGCAATGTAATCTCAACCTTAATATTTATATAATAAGTATACATATGAACCAATATGACCAAACAATTAATGACATTGATTACAATTAACACCAATAAAACAAGATTTACAATTAGTCTACGTTGACAGCAACAATTATAAGACTTAAATTTCAAGTAAAATCAAATTTTATGGACTCTTCCTGAACACCCAAACAATGTATCATAAAGATATCCAAAATTGCTGGTGCTTCAATTAGCTTCTATTAAGTCTACTTGATTAGCCAGAAATCTTATTAACAATCCGCAAACAATGTTAAACCTTATCTGTGTATATTCATGAGCTATAATGACGTGATAAGACACAGTTATCAGCTAATTCATAATTCTAGTGTAGCTTTTTTTAAACTTTTCTCCATATACACTTTTTGGGTGTACCTTTTCTAAAAGGATTTTTTAAAATACTTTTTTTGTATAACATTTTCCTACTCCTGAATCCAATAACTTTTGTTGGTTAATTATGTCAGTATTCTTATAACTATGTATATACCTTATATAAATTAAATAAACTATCCAATTTGAAAGGAAAATCTCAGAAAACTAGGTAGTTTAATCTGATAACAATCAGTCATATGTTGGGTAAGTCCATAATGGTTATGAGTGAAGTCATATTTTTTTATTGTGCTATGAAATTTGAGTAATTTCAAAAATTGTCAAACACAACTGCAGGTTCAAGTTTTATCATGTTTTTTTTTAATATAAGTGACACATTATCTAACTTATTACATTATATGTGTTTAACTATATGTTATGTTACTGTATAGTATTTCTTTTCCATTATAAACAGAAATGATTTCTTTTACCTTATAATATATTGTCACTAACTTACAAATAGGTAAACATGTTATGGATGTGAACTTAACATAATCAAAACATTAATTCATTAGGAAGTTACATTACAATAAATTAGAAAACAATTCAACAGTCAATCACTTATTGTCATTATTAATTTCGTCGTATTATTTCTAGTATTTTTACCGTTTTAAAATTAAAGATGCATTATTTTGAGACAAATAAACATGAAAAAATACTTTGCTCTTAGATATAATCGATCTTTTAAAGCATAATATTTTAGTGACTAGTAATATAGTAAATTTAAAACTTCGTGTTTAAACGTTTCTAAAAGGCTAACATCGAAAATATTTACAGTTGCCGAAAAACATACAAATCCTGACGAGATTTCAAAGCAGATGTAACTGGTTAGATACTCGAGAGAATACTTTATTACACATGACGTAATATTAACTTACCTAAAATGATCTTGCGTCGGCTAGCATGCGGCTCTTCTGTGTGAACCCATTCGAAATCATTTCTAGAAACATGGGCACCCATTTTTGGATAACTAAATTTTTTATGAAGTCCTAATAACACTTCTCACAGTCCACTTTAAACCGGCACGATTTAAATAAATTAAATATGTACGCCCCGTTTTATAAACAGTCTATGATTAATACGAAACACTCCCGTCCCGGCCCTCACTGAATTTATTTTGTGACGAAGCGAGAAGCGGCCACTAGCAAAAATAGCGCCTTAAATTTTTTGAACTCGTTAAATGACGTCAGTGTTGACAACATGATAATTGACAGTGATATAATACTAGAAAAATGAAAGTTAAATTAGTCTGTGGAGAATCTTAAGAAAGTATAATCTGTCTTATGCATTAAAGGTCGATCTTCTTTCGGAAAGAGGAATGGTAGTATACAATCCGTGAAATCCTAATCCTAATTGGCTAAGGACAAAGACAATAATATGAAATATACTCTATTACATTCAAGTCATGTTATAAGCTTATAAGGTTTTGCTTTGGCAAAGACTTCACTAATTGGGTGGTATATGGTGGTACTCAGCAATAAATACAGAATATAATTGGAAACATGCTATACTTCATAGTATATAGGTAACATACGTTTTTGCACTAATATCAAGTTATGAAACAATACTTTATGTTACAGAAATAATTAAAAAAAGAGCAATTGAATCGCGCTTTATACTCGTACAAAATAGTGTAATATGAATTATTTTATGTATGTAAAGCTTGCTCTTGATTATAGCCTTATATAGGAAATAATAATAGACATTGTGCTGGGTCACACTGAAGTACCATAGAGTTTAGTGAATTGACATTAACATTTCATTGGCTCATATTGGATTGACAGTTTGTGCAACCATAAACAAAAAAGTGTCTTTCACAAGTTTGAGGTTGAACATGGCGGTCGGTAAAAATAAAGGCCTCTCGAAAGGCGGTAAAAAAGGTGTTAAGAAGAAGATGTAAGTTGCAATATGCAGTCTAAACGTTTATTTGTTAATCCCACGATTCCTTAAAATTCTATTCGTTACATTGTTAAAAGTGATTATTAAAGTTAAAGTGGATGAAATTCGTATCTCGTGTCAAGTCGAATGTGTTTAGTTTTCTAAATACTAACAACTTAGTACTTGCGTATAATGTATCGTATTTTATACACTATCCATTCGCCAAGAAACCAAATTTTTTACTTAAAACTTGTTAGTTTTGTGTACTTTCACCGATATAGGAAAGTATTTGAGGTTAGGGTGTTAATGGTGATATTTTCTTCCAGTGTCGATCCCTTCACCCGTAAAGATTGGTATGATGTTAAAGCACCGTCAATGTTCACGAAGAGGCTGGTGGGAACCACCCTCGTCAACCGTACTCAGGTAGGTTTATTATTAAATACAGCTAAAGTATGCGGTATGTTTTTCCTAAAACATAACCTTTGAAATGGCATTGTTGCTTTAAAATTGACCAAATATTGGATTCAAATGTTTCCTCCACATGGCATCCTTCACTGCATTGTATACATAACACAAACAATATCTTTAGCATTCCAGTAATTCTTATATATAACAGTTCAGTTGTTAACACGTTGCTTTGGTTCGCATACACAGCTGTTTCCTGGGTTTTGCGTTTGTTGCAGGGAAGTTTTAATTTAAAATGGCGAAACCATGCTCTTTTATTTTTATGATGATCCACCTAGCTCGCAATGAAACTTATCTGATGAGAACTTTGTTTCCTTTTGATTTACCACTGAAAATTATGTCCTTTGATAAATTATTAACATGAATCACACAAGTTTTGATTTAGTTATTTGTTTTAGGGAACAAAAATTGCATCCGAAGGTTTGAAAGGCCGTGTTTTTGAGGTATCTTTAGCCGATTTGCAAGCTGATACTGATGCAGAAAGGTATGAAAAATGATTATAATAGATCTAATGTGGAATAAATTGATTATTATATTCTTAAGCTTACTATTTTTAATTTTATCCTACTAGTCTGGTAAAACATTGACTTGGTTTTTAACATGATGATCCACCTAGCTCGCAATGACACATATCTGATGAGAACTTTGTTCCCTTTTGATTTACAACTGAAAATATTCTTCTAACTCTCACCTGTCTCACCTGTTGCATACATGTTGATTAAGTCTAAACATCTTCCAGGTCCTTCCGTAAGTTCCGTCTGATCGCTGAGGATGTTCAGGGACGCAATGTACTCTGCAACTTCCACGGCATGGATCTCACCACAGACAAGCTCAGGTAATAATTAATTATTCAAGTTGGTTATAAAATCAAATGTATTTACTTAGTAATAAGCAATCTCACATTTTTTGCCAATTATTACCAATATATGTTATTATAATATTTATATTTAGAAAATGTTGTGTACTAAAACTATCAACTGATTTCTCATGAAAAAATTGGTGTAACATTGCAGTCCAGCTATATAAAGGTGACTACATAACCTTTATATCGTTTCAAACTGCATATATAAAAGCAATAGTATGAAAAATATTTCTGTTTATGCAGATATATTCATATTTTTGTAACAAGTACTAAAATTATAAAAACATGCCATGTGGCATGGACACCTTTCCCTGAAGAAAAGAAATTATTGTTTTCCTTTTATTCTGTAATAATGAATTTCAATATTTCATTCCCAGATGGATGGTAAAGAAATGGCAGACCCTGATTGAGGCTAACATTGATGTTAAGACCACAGATGGGTACCTGTTGCGAGTCTTCTGCATTGGTTTCACCAACAAGGACTCTTTGAGTCAACGCAAGACCTGCTACGCCCAGCATACCCAGGTTTGTAATTATTGGCTATATAATATATACATACATGGAAAAGTATATTTGGAAAGGAAAAAGAATCAAAAGATAAGGGAAAGTGTAATGGTCTGCCATTTTTGGCAACTAATCCTACTTTTCGTTTTTGTTTTTCGATAGTCTAGTCTGCAGTCCAGCTATATGCTTGCTCACATAACTTGCATATCGTTTCAAACTGCAGAAATAAATGCAACCGCATAGCTTCTGCCTCAAATAATGATTATATTTGGCATCTTATGTCGTTGCAACATGCACCTTAAACCGAAAAATAATTCTCAATATTTGGTATACATAGTCAAATGTTATTAGTAAATTTTTATTCGGACACACCAACAGAAGGCTGTGGGATCAGTTCGCTTCGCCTTCTTACCATTTTCCTCTTACACCCTTTTGGGAAGACATTGTGATATCCTATCCTCATGTTAGTTGTAAACATGGTTAGGGAGGAAATGGGTAAATCGCAGGGCCTTCTAGAAGAGTCCCTATTGGAAAATAATAATAGTTGCAAACTTATTTGACAAAAGAACCCTTGGTTTACCCTGTCAGACATAGGGCGAACACATATCCGTGTCAGTTCCTCTGATAAATTTGTAGATCTCATATTTTAAGCGATGATAGATGCTAGAACCCATTTACACATTAAACTATGGAGGTGGAATTGACATTGAATGTAATTGTAGGTCCGCGCCATCAGGAAAAAGATGTGCGAGATTATCACACGCGACGTGGCCAGCTCTGAGCTGCGCGAGGTGGTCAACAAGCTGATCCCTGACTCCATCGCCAAGGACATCGAGAAGGCCTGCCACAGCATCTACCCCTTAAGAGACGTCTGCATTAGGAAGGTGTGTATACACATGTCCTTAGACCTGCACTTTTGTATGGGATGATCTTGGCATATATGAATAACGATTGAAGGGTCGAGTTTGTAAACCAACCAACCAAATTTTGTATGAATATACAGTAGGTCTGAGAATCGGCTGCTGCCTATTTTAATTTTCCATACCCTGAAAATTTTTATATGAAAAAACATGGTTTGCCTAGTTTGTAGAGTCATAACGAAATCTTTAATCATTGAGTCACTATTGTATAGGGGATATAGTACAAACTTAGCAATTTTAGTATTGGTGGTAAGATTAACACTTATAGTAAACTACTGGATTGTGGGATAGTGATTGGGGTAGAATTTTTAATTATTAGGTATTAATTTAGTTATAATTATTAGCTCTTTGCGCGACACTCTTACCTCACATCACTCCTACACTACTCCCACTCTCACTCTCACTCCCACTCCTATTCCCAAAAAGCCAAAGAAGAAAGTTTCATTTTCTAGCTTCAAGAAGCACGAATTTCCATACAAACTTTCATCCCCCTTTGGGGTTATAAGGGGTTACAACCCCCTTTTCGCAATAAAAAGCTCATTTCTTTCTCAGGAGTCTAAACCATCCGTTTAGTAGTTTTGGCGTGAAAGAGTAACAGACAGAGTTACTTATGCATATTATAATATTAGTAAGGATAAATTTGTTTGTCATAGGTAAAAGTACTGAAGAGGCCGCGTTTCGAAATCGCCAAACTCATGGAATTGCATGGTGAAGGTAAATATGTCTTTGATTTAATTATCATTATTTGTAATCTTATACTAAACGGTTTAAAACATGAAATATATTAGTTAAATAAATTTTAGTTTAATTTAACCACGGCCCGACATTTCGAATGTTTTGCATCAGTCGTGGTCACGGGGTGCTAAATATTTCGCGTTTTAAACCGTTAAAGGTGATTTCTTTTAATTTGTACTACTAAAAACTAGACAATACTTAGATAGCTGATATGATGATCCACCTAGCTCGCAATGACAACAGAACTGATGAAAAATTTTGTTCCCTTTTGATTTTATTGCTGATGTGACGACATTAAATCCACTCGTACTTGTTCTATATTGACTAGATTAATGAAGAGAACTTCTTTCAGGCGGTGGCGGCAAACGCGGTGAGGCGGGAGAGAAGGGGGAGCGTCCCGAGGGATACGAGCCTCCAGTACAGGAGAGTGTATAAGAATATACGTTAAAATCTATGCGACTTTTTATTTTATCAGCCCGCTGTAGATATAAATACTGAAACGTTCTCGTAACTCACTCTACACTAATATGAGATTGCTACAGGCAGAGTGGCCTAATAACAAAAAACATGATTTCAATAAATGAAACTGAATTTGTACTAATATTTGTGTGAAAATTGTGAATAAGTCAAGTCATAAAATTGCAGTAAGGCCAGTCTGCCTCTAGCGGCTCCATAAAAGCTGGAGTTTGTTTGAACGCACTAATCTCTGAAACTACTAATAGGAATTGAATTTTTTTTGTGTTAGATTATTTAGATAGGCTATATAATATCACGCCGCGACAAATAGGAGCGATGAAATAGCGGGAAATGAGATAACGAGCAAAACAATAAAATAACCTGTTGGTTAACCGTCAAACTAAAAGAAAGAAGTTAATTGGCTTGGCACCAAGCAATAAATATTTATATTTACTTTGAAAGGATGATAAAATAATTTTGAAAGTAAGTAATTGTTTTCACCCTGCTACAATGTCGTGTTTTCATGAAAAAGAATACTAACTGACGTAAATAAATACTGGCAATGTCTACTTTAAATTTAATACTACTACTTTAAATGAGTAGAAAATTTATTATTAAAAAATAAGTCATGTCGATGCTAGATTTAACTAAATACAATTACTTATAACTCAGTGCGAAGTAAATTTATTAAATACTGTCTGTAGTTTACGCGAGTAGTACCTACACATTTAAATAAAACCTTTAACGGTTTAAAACGCGATATATTTTAGTTAAAAAAAAAAAAAAAAAAAAAAAAAAAAAAAAAAAAAAAAAAAGGATTTTTTGGGGGGGGGGGGGGGGGGGGGGGGGGGGGGGGGGGGGGGGGGGGGGGGGGGGGGGGGGCGGGGGGGGGGGGGGGGGTTTTTTTTTCTTCTTTTGTGGGGGGGGGGGGGGGGGGGGGGGGGGGGGGGGGGGGGGGGGGGCGGGGGGGGGGGGGGGGGGGGGGGGGGGGGGGGGGGGGGGGGGGGGGGGGGGGGGGGGGGGGGGGTAAAAAAAAAAAAAAAAAAAAAAAAAAAAAAAAAAAAAAAAAAAGGGGGGGGGGGGGGGGGGGGGGGGGAGAAAAAAAACCCACCCCCCCCCCCAAAAAAAAACAAACCCCCCAAAAACCCCCCCCCCCGCGTGTGATAAACCCCCCCCCCAACGAAAAAAAAGGGGGGAAAAAAAATTTTAAAAGAGAGAGGGGGGGGGGGGGGGGGGGGGGGGGGGGGGGGGGGGGGGAAAAAAACCCCCCCCCCAAAAAAAAAAAAAAAAAAAAAAAAAAAAAAAAAAAAAAAACACCCCAAAAAAAAAAAACGAAAAAAGGGAGGGGGGGTTTAAAAATTTTTTTTTTTTTTTTTTTTTTTTTTTTTTTTAAAAAAAAAAAAAAAAGGGGCCCCCGGGGGGGGGGGGGGGGGGCCACAAAAAAAAAAATTTGGGTTTTGAACCCCCCCCCAGGGGAAAAAACCCCTTTTTTTCCCAAAATTGGGGGGGAAAAAAAAAAAAAAGGGGGGGGTTTTTTTTTTTTTTGGGGGGGGGGGGGGTTGGGGGGGGGAACAAAAAAAAAAAAAAAAAAGAAATTTTCGGGGGGGGGGGGGGGGGGAATAATTCCCCAATTTTTGAATAAGGGTTAAACTTGTTTGAGAATTACTTTTAACTATGGCCCAACGTTTCGGATGCTTCGCAGCAGCCGTGGCTACCACGACTGCTGCAATATATCGCGTTTTAAACCGTTAGTGTTTTTTTTTAAAGTAAATTTATCTTTTTCTTTTCAGTATCAATGTTTTTTAGTCTTGAAAATATGCCATGTTTTGCATGATGTAAAAGGCGGTTATATACTGTTTCCCAATTTGATGCTGTTACAAAAAGGTGTGTCCATCACTAGTTATATGTATATCAGATTAATTAATAAATCTTCAGAATCGTCTAGAGAAAACCAAAGTGTTTGAGATAGTCAGGAAAGCATACAATAAACCAATCTCTACACAACACTTAAAACTCTGTTGCTAAGCGTCCGAAACGTCGGGCCCTACTAAATTAAAACGTTAACTAATTTAAATAAAACACTAACGGTTTAAAACGCGATATATTAGTTAAACTTATTTGAAAATTATTTTTAACTTCGGCCCGACCTTTAAGTGTTTTATTGAAATGTGCACTACTCGCGTAAACTATAGACAGTAATTAAGTTAACTAACGTATTTCGCGTATTGAACTGTTAAGCGTTTCATTCATTTTTATTTTCTCATTTTAAAGTAGGCAAACAAATTTTCTACAAATAAACATTAATACTATTGCGAAGATTATTCGCTTTTTGATTTAAATCAGAATTTAATTTATAACCATATTTCAATTTTTATAATGGAAATAACCATGGGGCATATTTGATGGTAGGTAAAATACTTCAAACATATAACATCTTGACCTTCCAGTTAATCTTTGTTTAGACTAAGCAAAACTAGTAAGATTAAAAACTTTATTTATGCCCTAGACTCGGTAGCTCAATTGGTAGAGCAACAGCACGGAACGCTGACGATGCCGGTTCAAGTCCTGCCCGAGTCGAAAATTTTTTCAATTTATTTTCGATTTTTAAATTATATAGTAAGATTAAATAAAACAAAAAAACGTTGTAATCATGATTATAATTAAATTTATCGATGGTAATATTTATTCAAGTTCTTAGATAAGGATTTGTGTATGATAAATTTTTTGCATTACTAGTCTTGTACATTAAACTTAATTGTTGAATTTTGAAAAAATAAATAAAATTAAGAACTAATTAATAAACTTAACTATAGTTAAACTAATTCTTTAGCAATTAAATTAAGAAAAATTTACAAGTTAACTGCTAATCCTCTAATCTATTGAAATTCTGTTCCCTGGCGGTACCAAAATGTCGGTTTCTCGTTTGATAATATCCCAACTGACGTCTATATCCTCCTTTGTCGTGAAGTGGGAACAGATTACCACTCTTATTAAAAAACGATTCCTGAACGTCGTGGGTACCATGAAAATCTGCTTGCTCGCCACCAAGTTGTCCAGCAATTTCCTCGTCATCTTATCGCTCTCCACTAGTCGTATGCACGTCAAACCCATAGACGGCTCGGGTTCTACGACGAATCTCTCGTCGCTCCGGACCAAATCTGCAAAATATTGCGCAAATCCAACTTGGCTTCTTATATGGTTCCTCAGACCTTCGCCGCCGTACATTTTCAGAACGGTCCAAAGTTTCAGCGCACTGAACTTTCTTCCAAGCGGCAACTGCCAGTGCCGGTAATTAGGGACGCCCTGCACGTCGTCTAAGTAGATCCTCTGAACGTTCATCGCTTGAACCACGTCAAAACCATCCTTTACCCACATCGCTGAACATCCGACGTTCACCAGCAGCCACTTATGTGTGTTGACGTTGAATGAGTCTGCGTAGTCGATTCCATTCATCAGATATCTGTATTCTTCACAAATAAAGGCCGAACCGGCGTACGCTGCGTCTATGTGTAGCCATGCTTTATTCTCCTCGCAGATCGGTCCCAATTCATCTAATGGGTCGAAAGCACAAATGCCCGTTGTTCCTAAAGTTGCGACAACAAAGAACGGGATTAAGCCCATCGATTTGTCTACTTCCATCGCTTCTCTAAGGGTTTTTCCACGAAGCTTTCCATTGTTATCTGCCTTCAGAAGCCGAATCTTCACGGAACCTAGACGACAAGCCTTTTTCTACCGATGAATTGGACTGATCTGATGAATATGCCACAAGTTTGCTTCTAATTTCGTCCTCGTTCAGACTAGAGTTAAAAGACATAAATTTACGGATCATTTTGTCTTTGGCTGCTGAGAGGCACACGAACACCGCTTCACTAGCGTGTCCCTGGATGACGCCTCCACCCGGTCCCGAAGAACAGTTGAGGAATTCTTCAGGTAGTCCCAATAGCTTGCCAAGCCAATTAAGCGTTACCATTTCTAGTTCCGTGCATACTGGGTTGGATATCCAAGTGACGCCGACCGTCCCGAGACCTTCAGTTAAAATGCTGCCCAAGATACTAGCGTACGATGCTCCAGATGGGTAATAACCGTGGAACTGTGGCGAATTCCAAGATGTAACTCCCGGGAGGATGGTCCTGCTGAAGTCTTCGAACACCGTCTGCCAATTATCCGGTTTCTCTGGGGCATCTTTAGGGAAACTTTTAGCCACATGACCTGGCTCTATGGACGGCGTGATTTCATGTTCTCTAACGTTATCGTAGAAGTCTGCAATGAAGTCGATCACCTCTTTTCCGTGCTTGCGGAACTGTTCAGAATCCATGCTACCTATTGGGGTGTTTAAGTGCTACACCTACACAATGTGAAATGTCCGCGCAAATTTCGAAGTTTGCCTTATATGTACCGTCGAATGAACAAACAAAAAACAAAGTGTCTTTAATCTTATTATTTTCTGACGTATGTATAATTTACGTAGATACAAAAATGTATGAATATTTTCTGTACCGTTTTGAAGTAAATTCTGCACCGCAAAACAATAATAATTTATATCTTGCTGCAGTTTCCATAAATCATTTTTATAATAGTTTAATTAAATTAACAATTTACAAAAAACACGTCCACAATGACAAAATGGCATTATTGTCCGAATTAAATTTTGTCTTTCAGATAAGTCTGGCAATATTTTAATATCTGTCTGGGTTTTTGCGAAATTTATATTATTACTCTACAATGAGTCCGGTGTAATTTAAATTTATGTCGGTACATTCAAAAATTTTATTTATTTTATCTCTAGATTAATACGATCGCATGCGCTGACTATACCTACGCCATACGCTAGGACCAATTTCATTACCATTATAATTATGGGTTAAAGATTTTTTGGAGCAAAGTTAATAAGTTATAGTTAATCTAGTCCTAGTTGTTAAAGTACTTTAGCCCATACATGCGTTTGTCTAATATGCTTTAGGTAATATGTACTAGATGGTCGTCCGCGAGATATTTTGGGCATTCAAATAAGTTTTTAATCTTTATAAACTTAAGCTGTTAGCTACAACGTCGGTCCATCGCGTCCCTTCCCGTCGTTCTTGCAAGATAATCTTATAAGATAGACATATAGCGTCGCGGACTTTTTTTTAGACCATTTAAAGGGGAATCATTCTTTCATAAACAATTTTTAGCTATCTTGAACCGTTTTCGCAGCGGAGGTCTACTATCTGAAACCTACAGAGATGAAAATTTTCCCCCGTTTTGTTCACATTTCTCGCTGTATCTTCGCTTCTATTAGTCATACCGCGATGTGGTATAGCCTATAACCTTCCTCGATAAATACTCTAACCAACAGAAAATATTTTTTTTTATTCGAACCCGTAGTTCCTGAGATTAGCGCGTTCAAACAAACAAACTCCTCACCTTTATATTTTAGTATAGATATAGATATTTATGTATACATATAAGTGTACTAACGCTAACATATGTGATATTTGAATAGGAATATCTAAAAATTAATTAGAATTTAGCGATACGCATTGTGGCTTCTTTAAATCAATTCTAAATACATTAAAAAATTCTTTGAAAAAGTATAAATATGCCGTTACAGGATTGTGTTACGCAATTCCTAAAATCATGACGACTGGTTGCTTATATTGCACATGAAGTGGGTTTACAATTCCTACCACATATTCGTTACTATATCTAATATATAAAATTCTCGTGTCACGGTGTTCGAACTTGAACTCCTCCGAAACGGCTCGACCGATTTTCACCAAATTTGATATGTGTACTCAGTAGGTCTGAGAATAGGACAACATCTATTTTTCATCCCCCCTAAGTGAAATTTTTAATTTCATTTTTTTAATGACATTTAAGTAAAATTATTTATATGGCAAAACAACGTTCCGGCTCAGCTACTAGGTACTAATATACGAATATATATAATATATTTAACTTAACATTTGTACAAACTATAGCTACACAAAATCTAGGTTTATTTACACCTAGTTTTACGGTGTGTTTGTCAATCTTTCTTTCTATAAAATCTAAAAACGTATTTGTTTTATACGCGTATTAAAATATAGAAAATGTGAATCATAGTATAGTCTGTAGGTTTAAATCTTTTATAAATATTTTACAAAATCTATAAATAATATACACAAAATATAATTATTTAAATAAAACACTCGAACGGTTTAAAACGCGATATATTAGTTAAACTTAGTTGAGAATTATTTTCAACTTCGTCCCGACGTTTCGGATGCTGTAAGGACCCGGCCAGTTTCGCCAAATACCAACTTCGACGGAACAGATGGCGCTAGCGTAGCAATTTTTACTTCGACGTCAGAGACATCCTCCATCTTTAGTCTCCCCGTGACCATGGCTGCTGCAAAGCGTCCGAAACGTCGGGCCTAGTTAAAAATCATTTTCAAATAAGTTTAACTAATATATCGCATTTAAACCGTTAAAGTGTTTTATTTAAATGTGTACTACTCGCGGTGTACTATAGGCAGTATTGAAAAAGTAATCATGTTTTTATTAAAAATCGTTGCATTAACAGTTGGCAAATATTACTTAATCATCATCATTATTTTGGTGAACATAGTCTTTCGTTGTTAGGCAATGATTACAACAATATTACAATTAAGGTACATATTTACATAACAAACAATACAATAAATTCATTTTTTACAATACATGAGGACAGACAAGCATGGCCTTTACTCGAAGGAAGGTTAAAAAGCCCCAGCCTATATAGCATCCCAGAAAATGTGCTGTCGAATGTATGATGCCTGTATTGGCTTTAGATACCGGAAATACCGATCGAAACCGAATAAAACTTTACGGCTTTTTCATCTGTGGACGATGTTTCAGAACCCGGTAAGAATTTCGAAATACCCACCACCCATTTAGCATCCAGATTACAGAGGATTCCAACATCTTTCAGAGAAACTATAACAGCTGGGAATCGAACCGTCGCTTTGTACATACAGACCGTACGACTGTACGACGAGACCGACCAAAAATGGCTTTTACCTGAAATTTGTGGGGATGTAACTTGTAAATATATGGCTTATAAAAATAGATTTTAATGAAAACGTGCAAAGGTCGTCGGGTCAGCTTATATTAAATAAAATAAAAAATCTTCTTTAATTAACATAAATATATTACAACTTGCTTTAACGAACTTCTTAAATCTATCGGAATGTTTTTTGTCTTAATATTTTTATTTGAGTCTAACGTATAAAAGTTGTTCACTGGATAAAATTTGAACTTTTCTATATTGTCTTTATTTATTTAAACTTTTAACGGTTTAAAACGCGGTATTATTAGTAATTTTGGTCGAAGTGTCGGATGTTTTATAGCGGCCAAAGTTTATACAAGCCACAGGCTTCCCGTGTCGCATTTCAAACCGTTTAAAGGATTTTAATAATAACGTACTAATAAATTTATATGCATAATTTTATAAGAGTACCTACTGTTTTACATAAAGACTTACGAAATAAACTACTAATACAAACGTTCACACAGTGTTTAAAATTTTATTTCTACAAATGATATAATCTATGGCGCTATTGACTTATAACTAACCTATGACCATTTGTATTTGTTTTTAAATGCACAGCCTGTTGACTCTTTTTTTTTTACCATTGAAATAGGCTTTTTTGTTTTCTGGCGAAAGATTACTCGCGCGCCTCTAGCGGCAAACTTGAGAAGCTGTCTAAGAACGACACTTTTTAGATCTAACCTAGAGGCGATGTTTAAATATATTAACCGGAGGTGCTTCTTGTTATGTTACTCAATGTACTACTTATTGAAATATAGGAATATGTATTTATTGGTTTCCAAAAGAATATTATAGCAAGAAAATGGGAAACTTCTTACAATATGTGATAAATCGAATTTCTCTTGATTTTAAAAAGTTATAGCTAAAATGTTTCCTGATTTCGTATCATCTGAGGACATTCCTAAAAAAAGTCTAAACGAGAAGAATTCTTTCTTTTTTGTTTCAGCCAGTAAAAATACACCCATTTTTTACGTATAATAAATAAAAAATTCCGTGTCGTAAATTGTTTAAAATACCGTTAAAATGTCGTTCTTAGACACCTTCACACTTTTGACACTTAAGACGTTAGTTATTAGTTAATCTTTCAATCGCCTTGTCATACTTTGATGATCCCACTTTAAGATAAAATATTTTGCCTTTGGTTTATGTTTGTCTGTATTCTTTCTAAGGAACAAACCATCCAGGTTTCAGACCCGTTAGTGTAAAAATTAAATATGTGCATATACCTATAATTTTTGAATATTATAAATATTCAAAACACCCACATAACTACATAACGCTGATTTCAAGTAACAAGAACATGTAAAAAACTACTTCAACAAAAAGACTTCTTATATTATATACGGATATTGAATAATTAAAAATATGCATATTGGCAATTTTTTATGGCTGTTGTTCAATATACAATTTTTCATTTGTCAATACAGATTTTTAAGTAAATATAATTTAATATATATTATACATCTTATCATTGTAATCGTTTAAAATTATTTTCTAGAATCTATTTTATTTATGAGCAATTTCTCTTATGTGACAAAAGTCTTAAAATCGCCCAAGAATAGAGTTTCAGAGGTCTAGGCACTTTCATTATTATGTAATTCAATTTATCAGTGAAATTTACTTACTAATGTATCTGCCCCATGCTCCACAAAGAATAGCGGATGTCTCAAGACTATAAAAATATATACATTTAACACAGTAATCAATTTAAAATTGAAACAAGTTGAAAATTTCCAATAAAACGTATGCACATCTATTACGATCTATAAGTCCACGCTAGTCCGTGCTTCACGTACCTGCGCACGCGCTTAAAAATAGCGATACTTCTATAAATGCAAAATCTAAGAAAATAATATTATTAATCATGACAACTGTGGTTTGGCTTCTTCTGTCGGTATTACTTTAACGGAAGCACACGGCTTCCTTCTTCGTGTTACCAACATAATGAAGAGACAGGAACCAGAAACGATGAGAGCCAGGATGAAGAACACCGTCAACCCCAATTGGGCTGCTGCTGTGGAGTACGTGCCGTGGTAGACCAGTGTCCGAAGACTCTCTGGTAGCTCGTCGACAGTCTGCAAGTATATTGCCTATTAGATTTCTCTTTCATTCACCTCCCTAAGAGATACCTTCATTAATAAATAATAAAGCTATGAGTTATCTGTATAATAAAGTAACAAAAATAGTTTGTGCGTATTTAAAAAAATATGTGCGTGACAAAAACAGAGTGAAATAATATATCTTAGTTATCAACTTTATGTATCGTATGTACACTATAAATAATAAATAGTTATATACTAATAAAACGGAATTTAGTAAATATTTAAGATGGATTTACAGACTGAGAAATGAACCTTTAATTAATTTTGTATTGCGCTATAACTATTAATTCGTGGGTTTGATCGCCTTTGAGTTCAAATGATTATAATCTATATATATATACTTTAACGGTTTAAAACGCCATATATTAGGTAAACTTATTTGAAATGATTTTTAATTAATTTTTAAATAAGTTACCTAATTAGCGCTTTGTAATAACTTATGTTTAATTCGTGGACTTGATCCCGTAAACTTTGACAGTTCAAATGATTATAATCTATTAAAAACTCTCTGAAGCATCGTATAGACTTTGTTCAGAACTTTGAACAGTAAATTTGTAAAAATATAGAAAATTCATCCGGGTCACGAACCACTGTCAACCACGGATGTAAATGCCGTTTATTTTATTCGCGTTTTGGTTTTAGTTATACAAAAAGGTCGACAGCATAACTTCATCAAGTGAACTCCACGCTTGTCTGTCCTACTCTATCATATTTATTTGCGTTTCAAACTGTTAAAAGCGGCTTATTAAATGAGTTCTGGTCATCGTTTCCTAATCCTCATCATAGGTCTTACCATTTCAATCCAGGCCACAGGTAGTATCATGCCATCCTTCAAAAAGCTCAACGAGTTAAGCAGTGGTGTCTTACGAACTATTATATTCAGTTGCAGGCTGTAAAAGTAAAATAAATATTTATTTATTTACATATAAATTTATTCTGCCAGATAAAATCCAATTCGACAATAACATAATGATACTAGATAATTGTTTTTTATATCGTACATTATATAATATACAATATAAAAAACAATTATAAAACTAAATTTTAATAATTAATTTATTTCCACTTGTAACAATGAGGTGTAGTCGCAATTTTACTCCGATACCCCGCGAAAACATTTACCCTTAAAGACGGGTTCAAACGCAATATATATTGAACTTGTTTAAAAATTATTTAAACTACGGCTACGTTGTGCTTGGCAGTAGCCGTGGTCATGGGGAGACTAAAAATGGAATAAAGAGAGTAACTTTCATACAAGTTTATTTTAATTTATTTATACTTTTTACACAACACACGCACACAATTACAATGAACTAAAAATAATAATATCTATAATAAATATAGTATGGAGTGTACGGGCCGAAGTTAAAAATCACTTTCAAATAAGTTTAACTAATATATCGCGTTTTAAACCGTTAAAGTGTTTTATTTAATGTGTACTCGCCTAAACTATAGACAGTATTTATATGGAAATACTTTTCAATTTAATCAAACAAAGGTAAACATGACCAACTCAACTTTAAAATACCTATCTATTGTTGTTTTAAGTCCCATTTCCTGTGGGGCATGGGGACAAACAAGTTGTTGATCAGACTTTGACTGCTATCCGACCGTAACAATTTATTATATCTCATATAAACCTTTTTCTAATTACCTGGATTTTCCGTTAAGCGATATGCCAAGAGTCGGATGTATATCCAGATACGAGTCGTGAAGTTCCGGCTTCGGTTCCAGGCCCACGAACGGTTCTCGAAGCTTAGGGTCCCCCAAGTAGAAGTGAGGAAAGGATGCTAGCAGCGGTGCACCTAAAGAACGACAAATTGTATTGGTATTATATTGTATGTGCATTTATTTATATAACTTTATAAACAGCGCAGGATTGGTTTACTTAAGAATTAACTTGTAAATAAGAGGAGGCCTCATCGGTAAACAGCGATCTCTTTCAGGCAATAATATGTGAAAAACACTGAAGAACTTTTTAACGTTCTTGTCTTGAGAACAACGCATCAGACAACTCTACATGATGTCAACCTGTCGTCATCTCCTCAGAACGACATTAAAACAAACTAAAGCATCATCTTTAGCACAAAGCATAACGTATTCTTCATAACATATCTATTCATGTCTTGTCGTTCCTATCAAACAAAAAAAAAAAAAAATCTCATTAAATGTCTTTAATTACAGCTTTAAATTACTACACGTACAACGTCAATAAAATGCGCAAGAGTTCAACGGTCAATAACCTAATGAATAAGGGTAGGGTTTAATTACAATCTATACTAATATTATAAAGCTGAAGCGTTTGTTTTTTTTTGTGTTAGATGGAGCATTTATCGAGAGATTTATAAAGCCAATTGGAGCGAAGAAACATGTGGAAAAAACGAGAAAAATAATCCTTTGAGGGATTCCACTGCGTTCTCTGCGAAAACCCTGTCAAGATGCCCGAAAAATATGTATAACAAATATTTCTTATCTTAAGAACACAAGAACCGTTTTTATAGTAATCATATAAAATAAAGTGTTGTAACTTTTGTAAATTTTGTAAGCAGTAGTTTGTTCTTATTAATAGATTGTGCATACTATAATATAGTTATTGTATGTAGTTGATAAGAATTCCGTGCCCTCTCCGGCCGAAATAAATTATTGTTAGATGAAACCGACGACCTGTGATGATAAACTCAATGGTTTGCAAAAAGGGTTTTCAGCTACAGAGGTCAATTGTCAAATGACTTTGACGTTATATAAAATAACAATTACATTTACGTATATATATAACCGACACTATATTGAATTCGAACCCTTCGCTAATTTCATCGGGTCATTGACCCTCGTCTTGCGCATTTTATTGAACCTACAAAAAGGTTAAGCATATATGATGTAGATGTATAAAGTGTTACTTAAAGACTTAATTAATTCGATTTATTCTTAATTTAATTACTAAAATTATAAAAGGTATTTTTTGCACACGCTCCAGACATAGGCTTATTTATAATTTGTTAACATAATTTAAAAGAAATAAAGTTTTTACAATAATTAAATTACAATATAAGTTTGCGTTATAAATTACAAATCGTTTAGACGATTACGAGTATATAAAATTCTAAACGATGGAACAGCAAACGACCTTGTATCTTAATGTGTAAGTGTTGAGGTTGAAATTTCTTCGCGCGAAAGATGAATGTGTATTAAATTAAAGAAATTAAATAATTATGTTTATTTATTTATATAAAGGACAGCATTGCTTTGTTGACAATGAGCACGAAACGATATGATTCGAGTTACGATAGTGTATATTTTTAATGCATGTTAAAATATCTTTTTTTATTCATTTCTGGTTCTCTAAAGTCAGAAAGCCACAAATAAAATTTATAGTAAAATTCCGGCATGGTCATTTCTGTGTGTGTTTATTTCCAGGCGATATTTGTTCCCCGGGATTCAAACCCTCTCGCGTTTAATGCAATGTTAGGCAACAAATTTATCCACTTAGCTACTAAAACCCTATTGCTGACATTTTATGACTGTGTGATTTTTCTTCTGGTTAAATTCTTAACATCAGTAGAAATTCTATGAAGAAGTAGATATTTTATTTTTACCCATTGTGCAAGTGGTTATGTCAATAACGCCTCTTGGAGGACAACTGCCTGTGTCTATGTCGCAATAGCACTGATTCGGAGGGTAGTTTGCGGGATCGTCGAATACAGTCTTCGGCATTGAGTAGCGCAGTAGTTCAATTCCATCTGATATCTGTAATAATTAATAATATTACAATATATGCAAGTAGTACACATTAAAACCACTTTTAACGGTTCAAAACGCAGAACTTACATTACATATTAGACACACCCTCCATCTTAGGCCTCTCCGTAGCTGCCCTGCTACAAAGCATGGAAAACGTCAAACAGTAGTTATAATAATTTGCAAAGTTTAATAATAATTAAAAAATTATATATTTCCCGTCTTAAACTGTTAAAAAATTTAAATAATAAGGTTCAGTAATTTTAGAAAGTTGGAATTAAAATCGTTTTAATTATTCGTATTATGTAAAATCTTATCAATAGATAATAATCTATATATTTATGATAGAGAGGGCCTGGCAAGCGTGGGATTTACTTAATGGAAGGTAAAATACCCCACCATAAAACATCTCACGAGATGTGCTGCCATCCTATAAATGGGATAGGATATTCGAAAATCCAAAGATTGCAACCGAACGCATTATTCACGATTTTCATCTGTGACGATATTGTATGGACGGAATTTCGATATCCGTACCACTTAAAATCCAGATTTCCAACGAAGTTAAAAATCTTCAGAAGAATTATAAATTTATCACATCTTTGCGTTATTTCGAACCCAAAACCCTTTGATAACTAGCCAACCTACATTATCCCAGAATGGCTTAGAATAATAACTCATTCTCTTAATTCATTAAATAAAGGAAGATTAGTATTTTGTATTTGTGGAAATAAATAAGGTGTTAATACCTCCACATCCTTCACATAGTTGAATGGAAGGCGCCTGCAAAGATTTCCATAGAAAACGAACAGAGTTCTGTTCTTGTCCAACATTGATGGCGGGAAAATGGTTCCATCGGAGCCTTCTATACTGCAAAACATATAAACGAATATTAAACATCATATTTACTATAGTAATATTAGAAAGACTAAATAAATAATTCTATTGAATTAGTGTTAAAAAAATTATTTAAGTAGTGCAACTTCGATTTTTTTATTTTATTGAACTAAAGGTTTTGTTTTATATTTCACATTATGTGTATTAAGATATAATAAAGACTATTTTATCAGGGCACATGCTTTTGAGAGCCACTCATTTAGTATATATTTTGTTTTTTGTAACTTGGCGAACGACCACAACCAATATGGCCTACTTCAAACCATAGAGACCCAGATATTTTATAGAGTAAAGTTGTAGCCACAGATGACACAGAGATAAAGAAACATTGATTACGTATGGACCAAACGAAATATTTAAAATCACTGTATGGCGAATTTTTTTTTTAAATTTTTATAGATTATTATTTAACTCGTCGTTTTTAACACTTTTCAGTGATCGTGAATGAGTGGGACTTCTACCTTATAATGTCGTTGACTTTGCTTACATCCCCGTCCTTGACTTAGAGGTCTCGTTACCAGAACATAAAATATTATTTAAAAAGAACATCCCGTCTATATTATGTCAATGTCAAACTTTTTTGAATTGAAGTTTTTATTTATTATATAAAAAGCTATTGCCATTTGCCTTAAGACTAACTTATAGCTAATAATCTATATCTAAGAAATAATTCTCTTAACTTTCCATCCAAATATGTCACATTCTGAGTTTTATTAGTTATATATATAATCCATTGTCTCGAAGTGTTTTAAGTGTAAATCAAAGTATGCCTTGTTAAAGAAATATGATTGCGTATAAATTGTGTTTGTTTACCAAAAATGTGAAGAATGAGAAATATTGTTGCCCTATACCGGGATTACTTGATGACTTAATATAGTAATTATAATTATCTTGATCTAACACGTTACGCTGTTCGCGGTTTTAATTTTTTATAGGAGATAAGTTAGCAAGTGCGTCAGAAAATTTGTTTTTATTCCGATATGGTTCAAAATTCTGTCTGTAGTTACGTGATTAGGAAAAATATAAATTCACGTTTAAAACGCGATTTATTTAAATTTCGTTTGATTTAATTAGTAAAACCTAATTATCAAAACAATAGCTAATATTACATTGTTGTCTTAAAAATTAATATGTTTTTAAAAACCTATTTAAATACGTGAAGTTTGTAGCAGATATTAAGAAAATCTATTACTTGTGGTCGCCATAAAAACATCTTTTAACTATGGATTATAAGTTTTTTACGGAGACATACTTTGGCTTTTCAATAAAACAATTTTTAAGTTAAATCTGTTACGCTAACGCCATCTGTCCCTACGAAATTGATACTTGTAGCAACCAACGGTGTCCTCTTACCTGCACAGTTAGAAAGAAGTTTTGCTTGCCAAACTTGGGTTCTCGAGAAGTTAAAATTAAATTAACTATTTTATTCTGCTTTGAAAACTGGTACCATCGTGGGTAAACCTTAGGTAATTTAGTTAACCACTGAGTCACGGAGACGGATAATTATTAAGTGCTAATAATTACCATCTTTTCTAACAAATAATGCCATTGCTTCAGTCACATCTGACAACGATACACTTTGACCCTATAGCGATTAATATTCATATATTTACAATTGACACAGCGATAAGATGTTTTAAAATATCGTTTAAACTGGTCGCGTGATTTTAAAGTTTTGATTCGGTACTATGACTTTAGTGAAGCAACAATAAATGAAGGCAATATTATAGAAGTCATGTTATTTATAAATGTTAAAAAACTGTTACTAAAAGAAATGGCGACACGAGCGGATCAATCAATATATCAGTCAAGTCAGAGAGTCAGATCGAAATAAAAACTTTTTTTTAAATCTCAATACATTTTCAATTTATATAATGCCATCGTGTGAAAAATATTAAAGATTTTGTCCGTTTGTGCCTTAAAATAGAGATAATATCTATAGAACTTAGGCACAGTGGCTAAGCGCGATATAGCTAATTTGAAATGGAATCGTAAAATCGTGGAAAAGCACAGAAGTTGATAAAAATAGGATAGAAAAGAAACGGAAAATATTTTCCGCCTATGTCATGCGTAGAGAAAAAATTACATTTCATTTGTTTTTAAAGATTATACCGATGATTTTGGTGATGAATATGATGATGATGATGTTTTTGATGATAAAGAACTAACCTATTACACTCAGAGCTGCCCCAATACGGCAATCGATCATCGCCGTTGAATTTCTCAAGTATATTCATCTTGTCCTTATCGTTCTCACCCGTATTGATGGTCAATCTATCGGATACGGTGCCATTTTTCTAAAATTTAAGAAGAAATAATTGTATGTAACTACACAAGTTATTCAGATTTCTTATAAGGCCTTTAGTAATAATATTCTTTAAAATAACACACTTTAAAGGTTTAAAACGCAATATATTATATATTTGTTAAACTTATTTGAAAAGTATTTTAACTACGGCCACGGGGAAGTGTGATGTCCCCGTCAACACAGCTACTGCAAAGCATCCAAAACGTCGGACCGTAATTAAAATAATTTTCAAATAAGTTTAACTAATATATATCGCGTTTTAAATAGTTAACTATTTTATTTAAAATTGTGTAAGATGGAACTAAGTATAACAGTAGATTTCTTTTTAATAAAAACACTTGTATGGTTTAAAACACGTAATATATTTATTATAAAATAAAAGAATATTTCGCGTTTTAAGTCGTTCAAAATGTTTTATTCAAATGTGTACAACTCGCGTAAACTACAGATAATACTTAACCGTTAACAAAAAATTTATTTTGTAATTCTCTTATTTTATTAAAGTACGTTAAATATACATCGTGAACATTTAAAGCCGATGTTGTTATTATTGGTATCGAATGAATAAGGCCATAAAATCGTGTTAGTGTGGGCAGCATTTGTGTTGATTTCGATATTATCGCTTAGACTCTAGGCTATAACAAATAGAGAGCGAAGATTCAATAAAAAGAATTATATCTTTCCCCAGAACATTTTACTAACATAACGATACTTTAAACGAGCTGAACACGAATTATACATATGTATGAATTTTAACTGTGTCCTAACGACACATTGCATCGTAGAAAACTAAAATATAATTCGCGTTTCAGCTCGTTTGAAGTAGATAAATTTAATGTTACTTTTGTAAATTTATAATCACAATCGACTTCTTTATATTTGTTATGCATAAGATTCACAACAAATATAACTCAAATATACATAAGAAAACAAAAATAATTATACAACAACATCTGTTCAAATCGTAGTGCCTAGCATGGCTTTAAGTTAAAGAAGACGTGGAATCGAATCTCGGGGTAACAAAAAAATGAGCGTACACATCTGTGTCCGTTTCACCGAAATTTGACAACAGAGAGAAATTGGATTTTAAAGGCTCGAGTAACGGCAGCAATATATGGCTAAAAATTAACGGTTCGTGGGGTCAACAATTTTCTAATCAATTTAAAAAAAATTCTGAAACATGTTCTGGAAACCTGGATGTTAAATGGATGCTCGGAATAGCGAAATTCCGTCCGAGATGAAAAAGCGGTGAAGTTAATCGCGTTTCGATGTCAGTATGTGGATTTCCGAAAATCCAAAGTCAAAATAGATGGACTTGTTTAGGTGTTACACGGCTGAGGTACTTCTCCTACCATCACGTGAAGTCCATTAAGTCGATATGGACAATGGACATGTCCATGATAAGTACCTACAATGAAAGAACGACAAACTGGGGGGTCATGAGAAGGCAAAAGTACAATAGGTAAACAGAACGTATGCAACGAAAAGAACCCTACAGAATCTTGGAAGAATGTGGAAAGGGGGGGGGTTGTATAGGAGCAAATTAATAAGTAATTTGAATAGCAATAGTAAGTCATAGTTCGGAATGGTTTGAAATATTTAGAGAATTCATATTTAGAGTGTAAATAAATTTTAAGCAACATGAATTATTATTGTTTAAGTTAGTCGTTCTAAATAAAGGCCTATATTATTCTTTTAATTTCACTCGCGTAAGCCACTGATAACATGCATGTTTTTAATATAGTATTTTTGTAGATAAATAATTGTATTAGATAAAATACTTTTAACGGTTTAAAACACGAAATGTTTCCCCGCGATAACGGATGCTGGAAAACATCCAAACAGCCAACCGTTGGTTGGGTCGTAATTAAAATTAACAGTTAAAAGTTTTACGTTTAAATAATTTTAAGATACTCACTGTTACTAAAAGCCCAAAGTTTTCGAACTTGAGTTGGCCATTTAAGCTTAAAAATGGCTTCGCTGTATTGATAATATCATCATCGTAACCCCATAGGAACCTGAAACAATGTTTAAATAAAACACTTTCAACGGGTTTTTTTTTTTTTTTTAAAAAAAGGGGGGGGGGGGGGGAAAAATTTTTTAAAAAAAAAAATAAAAAAAAGGAAAACAGCGATAGTATTAGTTAAACTGTTATTTGAAAATGATTTTTAATTATTTATAACTAGCCAGTTCTAATTATTTATAATAGTGAGTGTATGTTAACCATTATCAATGAAATCTGAACATAAAATTGGCGAAGCCATTGACAGTCTTCAGGTAGAACGACACTAAGTAATCCCATACTTGTCCCGTAAAAACAACAAAACAAAACTTGTAAGTATAGATGGCAACTCACCGATGAACTGGTAGTGTCAAAAAGGCGTCATGATGGTTTACGAAGCGAAGAGAGTTGATCAATGGGAACTGGAGGATGTTGGGTAGTTCCAAAGCTTTGGAGATTACGCCCTATAAACAGAGAAGAAATTATGAACACATACGCTTTCGTTTCATTTCGCTTAGATTTCATAGTTTAAGCCGAACCCCGCCCACTTAAAAGCTTTATTTGTTAGATCTCTAACTATCGTCAAGTTGAAACAAATTGCGTTATCGTATTTTATCAAATAGCAAGCCATTAGCCCTTATCTCGTACTTAAAAGATTAATTTCAACCCGGCTTTTCCCAGCTTTCATTCAGCTTAAAATACAATATGTGCTTGAGAAATGGGAGAAAGACCCAGCGTGTGCATCACGATCTAAAGGTAGTGTGCACCGGTTTTTCAAAACCCCCAAGGGATAAGAAGTGACTATTAACTGAAAACTATATTAAAATTATAAACTAAGTACGTTAAAAATATACATAACTATAACGGGCATTCTTAAGCCCGTTTAAAGAAAAATCAAACTTTTATAATATTTTTAGGGAATCTTAAACTCGTTTCTCAAAAATTATTTTCACCGTTCATCCACATTTCCCACTGTTTATCCGCTTTTAGTCACAGCACGTTGTATTATAACCTTCCCCGATGAATAAAGTAACTACATTTCAAATTTACAAAAACAATTTGTAAATTTGAAATGTAGTTCCTAAGATGAGCGTGTTCAAACAAACAAATTCTTCAACTTTATAATATTAGTATAGGTTAGATTAAATTGTACTAACATGTTAAGACTAAAAATAAGACTCGATTCTTGTACTCGAGCAGCAACTCACCAGCAGAGGCAAATTAGGTACACGAATCTGATCGAAATGAGGTCCGGCGCTCAGTTCCGGTAGAAAACGGAAGTTGTTCCGTTCTTGATACGTCAGTTTATCGCCTTCAAATTTGATGTTCACTCGTTCCAATTGCTGGCTGGAAATAAAAAAAGTAATAATTTAGGATGCAAGTACGTGTTGTATATTTGTTGGAAGGTGAAATACCATAGTCATAATAATTTAACAAGATCACAACAAGCAGACGAACAAGATTCTATAAACCTATTTTCGCTTTGGATATTCGAAAATGCACACACTGAAATCGAAATGCGATTCAACTTCACGGCTTTTTCATCTAAGGACGGTGTGTCGTGACGGAATTTTCTACGAATTATACGTCGATTTGAAACTGGTACAACTCGGTCAGGATCAAATCTTTGACTCGTCAAAATATAGACAGAGTAACATCTTTCAAAGTTAGCATCCCTAAAGACCCAATGTAAAATAGTTAAGACCTATTTTGCGTTTCACATTCGGAAGTCCACAGATCGAAACCTTTGTCTTTCGCTGTATGAATACAATCCAAATTAAGACAAATAAACGTTTAAGTATACGCAGGGCTGGACTTGGGGGAAGATGACCGGCGACATAACCACGGGGCCTCTACAAAACGGGGCCCCATAGTTATGGCGCCCCAGTAGAGATATCGATTTTTTTTTTAATTTTGCAATTTATAGATTTCTTATTTTAGATCAAATATATGATGTTTTTTTAACTATTTGACGTTAATGTATTTCGATTTACAATACATTACTTATTGAAAAAATCTTCTGAGAAAAATACATTATTTCACACATTCAGAAAATATTTTGGGGCCATAGGTCTCTCACGTTGCCCACAAAGCCTCCACACTTCTTAATTCGGTCCTGGGTATACATAAATATATTAAGAAGCCTTCTAATAGCTGCGATACAATTACTAATTACTAGCAAAAACTAGAATATCTTTATATAAATTGAAAATTTCAATTTATTTTCGATTTTTAAATTAATCCTAATTCATTCATGTGCAATTTACCATAAAAGCAATATTGATAAGGCTTGACAAATCTGTTCAAACTATTTTGAAATCAAATATCATAATTCTGCATACAAATAAACAAGAAATAACACCAAACAACAAGACTTAACTTTAGGCCGGTTTATTATTACAATGCTCGAGCTTTTGTTGTATCATAAATAAGTTGAACAAATCCGACGTTCAGGTCGATGCCTCGGTACGCTTGACAATTGAAGGAGCAACGGAAGTAGAGCAATTTACAAATAATGGTAGCAATGTACGGCTAATAATAGTCGTCGTGGATTCGATACCCACGCGGTCCAACATTTCTCAAACCAATTTATAATTTTTCTCTCTTTTTCTGGAAATTACGAACCACCGTCCAAAGAGGCAAAAACTGTGAAGTTTAATCACGTTTCGGGTTTGGTCTGTGGATTTTCGAATATCCAAGGCCAAAACGTTGGAAGATGTTATAAGCTGTGGCACCTACCATAAGTGAGCCCCGTGCTTGTCTGTCCTTCCTTACCATAAAAAAAGTGCAAAACATGATGCCAATATACTGAGTTTGTCCGTCTACAAAAATAAGTGGATTATTACGGAAAGTCGAAGAGATGACATTTCCTTTCGACCTATCATCTTTCAGAGAATTATGACTTATCTTAACGCCACATTGACCTCTCGCATAATAAATCGTATAAACATCTACAAACTATTCTAGAAATATTAACTACGTGAAATACAACAAGATGGGGAGGAAAGAGGTGATAAATACTAAAACTAAAGCGTTAAACTTACAAAGTATTTATATGTGTATAGTCTCTAGTTTATACACATTGAAATGAAATACTTTAAACAATTCAATACGAGAAATATGTTAGTGAAGTTATTTACAAACGCGACTCGTCGTTTTGGATGCTTTCTAAGGGTATATTTCACGTTTAAACCTGTTTAAAGTGGTTTATATAATCAATCAATATTTTTTTTTTTTTGAAAAAAAAAAAATTTTTGGGAGGGGGAAGGGGAGTTTAAAAAAAAATTTTGGGTTAAAAGTGGCGAAGGGTGGGTGGTAAAAAAATGGGGGTGGGGCCGAGGGTGGGTTTTAAAATTTTTTTAATTCAACTAAAATTGTTCTAAAACAATACTATTACTAGTCTGTAGTATTTATTTTAAATAAAACATTTTTAACCGTTTAAAACCACGTAGTTGTAAATATAATTTAAAACATTTCGCGTTTGAAACCGTTCAAGTGTTGTATTAAACATATTTTTATTAGAAAGACTGACTTAATCCTGATAAGACCTCCCTTGCAATCTTGCGATCCCAACATAACCTGTTGAAATTGCATTATCGTAATAAAAACAGGGGAATAAAAATAAAACATTGGGGACGAAGAATTGTTTGTTCCGATTTATTGCTTTCGGTGTCACCTTCAGTGATAAAATTATTAATTGAATCAGGTCACTGCACTAAGATAATTAAGTCCTCGGCACAATAGAATTTATTAACCTTTCATTCGTTCCACATTGTCAGTTGGGCTATTTCAAATTGCGTGTTTCGATTCGTTGTTTTCGGCTCTGTGAGGCACGCGGCGAACACATTTGCGTACTGGATTCACCGATTAGTATTTTACTAGCTAGCGAAGAAAATATTTTGGGCAGAATTGGTAAAATGGAAATCTCCTCATTTTTATAAATTTTAGCTGTTATCCACAACGTCAATCTGTACATATTTTTGTCTGTAACATGACCCGTCTTCGCAGTGCATGCAAAGGAAACGCCCCAAACAATTTTTCCTATCAGATCGAGATAGTTATTTGTTTTCTCTCAAATCAAACCTAAATACTGTCTATAGTTTACGCGAGTAGTACACATTTAAATAGAACACTTTAACGGTTTAAAACGCGATATGTTAGTTAAACTTATTTGAAAATTATTTTTAACTAATATATCGCGTTTTAAACCGTTAAAATGTTTTATTTAAATCAAACCTAGTTCCCCAAGATAGGCAACAGGCAAGTGTCAACGTTTCACGCTGTGCGCTTTTTTTGTATTTGATTAGGCTCTAACCAATTTAATATATTCTCTGAATTAAGGGCGTAGAGCGAACGAGAAGAACTGGCAAGAAACTCGCCACCACTCTACATCCAAAGTTACATTAAATTGAATACGTCAAATTGAACACCTCAATTTAACTAAACAAACTTTGGATTTTTTAGATTACGAAGTTTCGTTCTCAAAGTATAGTAAAATAAGCGTCATTAAACTCTACGGTTAATTATTCTTAAATACTTTATTCGAAACCATTAAAAACTGCGTAAGTGATATTTTATGTTAGGTCATAAAATACAGTTTAGAGGCAGTTTGTAGACAGGAAAATGCATTATGTTTTTTAACCCTTCCGCATTATTATATCAACAATTATATTATAGACTTATGATATATAAAATTTGATTACCTTTGTCTTATGTACAGAATTATTACATCAAAAATGTTACCTAACTTACGACTTAACAAATTTTAATTACAATTTTATTTACATCTTTAGTTGCTACAGCCAACTTTTCTATATAAGAGTTGTCCCTCACATTTTTTTTGTAACTTTTTAATAAAACTTATTTTAATATAATATATTTAATAAACAATTCAACCCTTAATTTTTCATCTCTTTAAGTCCATCGTTTAATACGCGATATATATTTATTTTAACAAAGGCCCGACGTTTCGTGACCCCAGCTGCTGCAAAGTATCGGAAACGCGTAAGTTATTTCGCCATTTAAGCCGTTAAAAGAGTTTTATTTGAATGTTTATTACTTTATTATCATCATTTTTAATCTCGATTTAATAAAATAAATATTTTTACCCTAGAAATTATCGAGAAACAATGTATATAATGCCTGGTGGGTCAGCTACTAATAAATAAATATTTGTAATGAATACCTTGCATTGTGTGTACTCAGCGGTGTGAAAAAACGATCATTTATATGTACAACTGACTATTAATTAGTACAAAAGTTCATGCTACATCTGGCCTCTACTTTGACCAAATCATCAAATGTAGGTTGGCAGGTAATATATAAAACTGAAAAGTTTGTTTGTTTGTTCGACTTGCAAGAACGAAGGCACGCGACCGACGTCGTGGGTAAGTCCTTAAATTTATATAAATATTCTTAAACATCGTATGTGGACGAAATCGCTGACACGGCTAGTATAAATATTTGTTTATGTTAGGACTGTTACAGTAAGTAAGATACCTCATTTTTGTTATAGAGGAGAACAGACAAGCGCGGCAAGAGTGCCCACTTGATGGTAGGTGAAATATTCCAGCCATATAATATCCAAACAAGATGCGCGGTTAACCTAATTCGGCTTCGGATATTGGTACATTCACAGACTGGAACCGAAACTTGATTAAACTAGACGAATTTTTCATCTTTTTTTTTTTGATTGATTATTCCCTATTGTGTTCCTATGGAGCCACGAATACTAACCGGGCGTTTTGGGCGAGCGCGTGAGCGCTCCCCGTGTTTGCGGCTAGCCTGGAGGGGGCATCCGCCTTGGCTTGGACGCCGCAATGCGGGTGGGAGCTTGAAGAGCTGGACGGATGCTCACCCGGCTGAGCGGTACGCGTAGCGAATGACCTCGCCTACGCCGGCGTAGGCGGTTTTGCGGGCGATCGGCGCCGGTGTCGGCCGATCGCATAGCGATAAGGAAATCGACGGCTTTCGTTAGATCGTCGTCGGGGTCGGTAAGAACGTTACGCGGCCTTCTCCAGCGTGTATTGACGGGAAGATTTTTCATCTGTGGACGATGGTACCCATACTAACATTTTATATTGAATATCAAGATTTCCAGACGAAGTAGCGTTTCAGAAAAATTATAAATGGATTAGAAACATGTTTTAATAAAACATTTTAACGGTTTAAAACGCGATATATTAAACTTATTTTTTGTCCCCCCGTGACCACGGCTGCTGCAAAGCATCCGAAACGTCGGGCCGAAGTTAAGAATCATTTTTAAATAAGTTTAACTAATATATCGCGTTTTAAACCGTTAAAGTGTTTTATTTAAATGTGTACTACTCTCGTATTTAGAAACACGTTGTTCCCGGTGGGGATCGAACCCACGTCCCGTTGATTTTTTTACATTACACCAACGAGTTTGTTAAGTTACTTTATAGTCGAAATTTATTAAATCTTCAATTCTATTTATGCTTTACTTTAAATGTTTAAATAAGGTTGTGATGTATGGGTTTGCTTTCCATTGATAAATATATAAATAACTACGGTATGGGTCTTCTCTAAATAATAGCGCTATGTCTATACTGTACTTATGTTGTCTCCCTCGCTCGCTGACTTGTATGTCCCACCGCCACGACTTTCTAAACCATATAAAAGCAAACATCGAAAAACATCTGAATTTTAAACCTAAGTTGTTGGTACGGCTTCGGTTCGTAATTGCGTTTAATTCGGCTTCGATTAAAACCACATTCGGTGTATCTCTAAGTAATTTTAGGCCCCTAGAAGCACTGTAGCCTAACTTTAATTTCATGACTTGCGTTATTTCTATTTTCATAGTCTAAATGGTAATCTACAAGAGCACAGTGACCGAAAATTGGTAACAATTCTTACACAAAAAATTGTTAAATTAATTTTCACAATCATGTCTTTTGTTATTAGGCCACTCTGGCTCTAGCAGCCTTATTCTATCAATCATACTCACGAGTAAACATAGGGTCCGATGTCTTCAACGTGAAATTTGTTATCGATTCCATCTCGAACTCGGTGCCAGTTCGTGTAGTTGAAGAGGTGGACCTTCATGAGAGGGCGAACAGTCGGCCGGCGCCACATCGAGAAGGCGATGGAGTTGTTCCGTATAGCCATGTTCTGGAAACCATAAACACTTAAGACTTCGATAAATAAGGACGCTGTCTCAATAGTAGAGAGCAACGGGCGACTACGAACTCGTCTATCCAATAATATCAATGAATTTAAATACTTATGAGTCGTCGGTTCGATTTCCACCGGGGCCAACATTTTCCTAATCTATAAAGCTGAAAAATTTGTTCATTATGTCTATCTTTTAAAATTGACTTGCAAGAACAACAGGCGCGACCGACGTTGTGAGTAAAACCTTAAATTTATAATGATAAGGAGGTAGTTTGCAAAAACAAATTTTCACGCCCAAAATAACTATTCTACGCGGACGAAGTCGCTGAAACAGCTAGTCAATTTATAATTTATCTGAAACATGTAGAACTTCCTCTGGAAATCTGGATATTAAATGGAAGGAATATCGAAATTCCGCCCAGGTCACGAACTACAGATAAAGTTGTATATAAAATTTATCCCACTTGGTTACAGTCTGGATTTCGGCATATCTAAAGCCAAACTAGATCGATAACATCTTGCTTAGATCCGCTATCCGCTACTTTATCTACCATCAAGTGAATTGTTAAACGTGGTTTAAAAAGTGACCATCGCCAAATGTTTATTTTTAGCATGCCTAATAGGCATCTGTTTTAATTTCAAAATGTGCAACTAATTTGACTGGGCGCAAGGCCTTTAAAAGTAACTATAACCGTAAATAAATATATAACTATAAGTTTGAACCGTTTAAAGTGTTTTATTTAAATTGAAATGCAGTTAAATGCAGACAGTATTTACAAGACGTTGCAGATATTTCTGCCGCGTTGGCCAAGTCTATCACGAGGTTCTCGGTTCAAATCCTGGAGGATTGGTTATTACAAGGGTATGGAAATTATTCGTATTATATCGGGGTTTGGAAGTGGGAGGTATTAACACCTCTATAATATCACGCTTAGCCGTCGTCTCCGTTAACACGACTAATTTGGAGGTGGCGATAACCCCTTTTCCCCTCGTAGGGCATGGCGCGATCACTTTTCTGTGTACGTTTCGCTGATCGGTTTTAATTAATGGCATGTAGTTGATCAGACTTCTGTGTAATCTATTGTTTCACTGGGCTTCGAATCCAGGATCTCTCGCGTTTATTGCAACACTAGGCAAGACATTTAATAATTTAGCTACAGAGGCTAATTTAGTGGTGGTAATGATCAAAGCTCGTAAATTCCAAGAACCAGCATGGTGGGTCTAGACTAGACTATTGCCCAGCTGTGGGCCATAAATAGGTAGACCGTGAGAGCTATTTTAGAGTATACGTACGGACAGTATGGCGTCATTGATCGTGTTCGTGAAACAGAAGAATATTGTTCCAATGAGACTTAGCACGAACGTCGCTGACAGGAGAGTTAGGACTGCAACAGAAAAGAATTATTTATTAATAGAAGACAGTATTTATGATATAGGAGGACAGAGAAACGTGGAGTTCACTCGATGGAAGGTGAAACACTCCAGCCATATACCACCTGAACAAGATGTGCTGTCGAACTTATTTTGGACTACAACCGAAGCGCGATTAAACCAGCTTCCTAACAGCTTATAAACGGAACACATATTTGATATACAAATTTCCAGACGACGTTTGGTTCTGACATAGTGGGGATTAACCCAGCACCCAATGATTATTAGCCAAATGTCGTTACCTGAGACCTCCGAGCCCATCAAATAGTCAAATAAATAAATAGTGTAATATAATAAAACTTGAGTACCAAGAAATCTAAATAAAAGAAAGAAAAAAATGTTAAGAATTAGTTAAATGTTAAAGTCAAAGTGCTACGCTAGCGCCATCTCTTTCGTCTTCTTTGATATTTATCCTAATCGCTATCTATCAAAAGCAAGTAACACAAGGTGGCGAATTCTTAATCTATATCTAATTATACTAATATATAAAAATGAAGAGTTTGTTTGTTTGAACGCGCTAGTCTCGGGAACTACTGCTTCGAATTGAAAAAGTATTTTTGAGTTAGTTAAGACATTTATCGAGCATGGCTATTGGCTATAAAACTTCGCGATATGACTATATCATATATGTATATATACTACGAGCGAAGAGGCAGCGTGAAATGTAAAAAAAAAACGGGGGACAATTCTCATCTCTGTTGGTTTTCGATGCGTACGCTGCGAAAACAGCCAAAAAATATGTATGAAAAGATGATCTCTTTTTTAATGACCTAAGAAATGTCCGCGACACTATATTATGTCTATCTTTTAAGATTAACTTGCAAGAACGACGGGTTGCGATCGAAAGGACGCGACCGATGTCATGAGCAGCTTAAATTTATAAAGATGTCGAGGTTTGCAAAAAGAAATTTGGATGGCAAAAATAACTATTCTACGCGGGCGAAGTCGCTGACACAGTTAGTATTCTATATAAAGTAAAATGTAAGACTTATACTCTTAATATTTAAATTAAACCACGGTATATAAACTAGCATAATTAATTCCCTTTTATTCGGAAAATCAAGAAATCCGGGCCTATATAGCTGAGTAAACAGTTTTATAATTTACATAAAAATTCTTAAGATGTTTGTTCAATTTAATTAGGTACGGCGGATGTTAGAATCCGTACTAAGTCTTATGTGATGTTTAAGGAGTATGTAGTACACACGGAGGTCAAATATCCAACTACATAATATTAAAAAATCAGTATAATAATTAAAAAAAAAAGCAAGTTTGGTTTAGCGTGCGAATGTCAACATTTGTAATTCTATGCTATGACTTTCCTTCGGCAAGATTCAAACACAAGCGACCCAAGAGACAAAATTTTATATTTAAAAACACTTTTAACGGTTTCAAAGGCGAAATATTTTAAGGTAACTTATTTTTTTTGTTTGTTTTAAGTACGGTCTGACGTTTCCCCCCGAAACCACAGCTGCTCCAGAGCATCGGAAATATCGAACCGTAGTTTTAATAAAGTCAAGTTAAAATAATTCGCTTTATACAATTAAACGCGATGTATTTTAATATGTACTATTCGCATAAATTACAGACAATATATTGCATTTAAAAATCGAAAATAAATTGAAACATTTTCGACTCGGGCAGGACTTGAACCGGCATCGTCAGCGTTCCGTTGCTCTACCTATTGAGTTACCCACTCCTCTTCGTCGATTTTTTTCGAACTTATATTAAATTTTTAAATTTTACATGATTTATTTTCAGAAATTGTTAAAATAAAATGCTTTTAGTAGTTTAAAATGAAAAATACATTAGTTAATTTACTCCAACTACAACACCACGTTTCGGACGCAAAGCATTTTAAACCGTTAAAAGCGTTTTATTCAAACGTGTACTCCTCGCGTAAACTACTGATATTTTGAAGGTATTTTCAATAAAAATAAATAAGAAAAAAAACCTAATATGGATGGATATGTTGTTCATTACAACACTATAAAAAACAGAAATAATCGGATTTCTTAGCCGAAAATATTAAGTTTCTCAGATTCTCTAAGAACCCAGGTGTTCTCCGTGATCCTTTGAGCCACGAAGACAGGCATAATTTTCTCTTCTCTCAAGGACAGACACTTTTATGCAGATATTAATATCACAGTACATATTGATAATTTACATGACCATGAGCTTATCGAAGTAATTATTTTTAAAAGATTGAGGTCATAAGCGGGTTTTATGACAGAGGACAGAGAATCATTGGATTCACTCAATGATAAAATGCGCTGCCGACCTTTTTCGGCTCTGGACATTCAGAAGTCTACAGACTGATTTCACTTAACGTAGATTTACACTTCGGTTTCCGGTTGGCAGTCGTTAGTGGCCTGGACGAAATATAGAGCGGGGGCCGCCCCCCCCCCCCGGCCGCGGCCCCGGGGGGAGGCGGGCCGGGCCCGCTCCCCCCCCCCCCGGGGGGAAAAATTTTTCAATTTATTTTCGGTTTTTAAATTATATAGTGCCTTCATGTGAAAAATATTAATGTTTTCAAACGTTACTAAAGTCTTATAATTTTATAAACATGAACCCACGGCCTGTTTATTACTAGTCATTTACTTTTAGACCAACAAACTTTAAAACACCTTTGAATAACACATTATACTAATCTTTTTATATTTTTTCTGACACATGTTGGACTTCGTCTGGAAATCTGGATATAAAATGGGTTGTAGGAATATTGTAAGTTCCATCCGGCTTGAAAAAGCTGTGAAGTGTAGTTGCGATTGTAGTCTGTGTGCTTTCGAATATCCGAAGGCAAAATAGATCGACCGCGCATCTTGTTTAGATGTTACATGGCTAGAGTATATCACCTACCATCAAGTGAATTCCATACATGTCTTTCCCCCTTTATAATAAAAAAAAACAAGGATAACAAATCGTATTTCAAGGTGCGCCTGAGTTGTAATTTAATCTAAGTCATACATTTATTTCACATTTGACATAGTGCGGATGACAAATAACTACACAAAAAATGATACACTAGAAAGTGAGAACTCGTGAAAGAACAATAAACATGTTCCTTTTTAACACGTTGACAGTTAGACGGCTTAAAACGTGAACGTGACGTTAACTTAACTTTTTCTTAATTAACTACGGCCCGACGTTTCGTATGCTTTGCAACAGTAGTCAGCGAGGCCTTCCGAAACGTCAGGCCGTAGTTAAAATAAATTAAAACTAATTTAAGTAATATATGTCGCGTTTTCAACCGTTAAAGGTGTTTTATTTAAATGTGTATTACTCGCGTATACTACAGACAATTCTTTGCTTACCGACACGTACTTTAAAAGCATTTTCTATCTGTCGTTTGTCTCCTAGCAAGTCAAGTTAATCTTTATGATTAGCACGCGAAGTCAAGGATAAACCTTTCAAGCTGCGATTGGATCCGTTCAATATGTTTTGAACTCGTTATCAGCAAACACCTTATCGGAAGTTATCTCCAAACAGTTAGTTTTTATAAACAAAATATATTAATATCATGTATGTGTTATCTCGCTATATTTTTGGCCTAATGTCTTTTATAGCAACCTACCTGCCTTTGTAAGAGAAGAGACATGCAAGGTTCCCTTGGTAAAATGTCCCAGGTTAATAACAACTTATTCAGATGCGCTGTCTACCATTAAGATTCAAAATCCTTTGGCCCACCTGTAGACGTTGATTCGTGAGCGTAAATATTTATTTTATAAGACGGCGTCGTTTAGAATTTCTTATTTTGCTTTTCACATTATTTGTGCGCGTTTTCCTCGAAAACGGCTGAACCGTTTCTAATGTAATTTGGTATATCAATGCGTTTGGCCTAAGAATGGGTTGGTTACATTGATATCATTTAAGTGTAATTATTTATACAATGCATATTGAAATAAATGCGCTTATCAATATTAATGTAATATAAAAAACATCGGTGTGTGTTTTTGTAAGTAGTGAACACTTTTAACAGTTTAAAATGCGATATATATATTAATTAGGGCAGGTAGTATCTCTATACCAACTTTTATATATACTAGCTGTGCCCGCGACTTCCTCCGCGTGAAATAGTGAATTGGGGTAGAATTTTTAATTATTGAGGCTGCTTATTAATATATGAAGGGGGCATTTAAGGCAGCCAAGCTATGTTGTAAGTGCAACTTTGCCTCAACACTCTCACCTCAACACCGCTCTACTCCACTCTCATTCCTACACTCACTTCCTATAACTCCCGCACCCACGCTCACGCCCACCCCTACTCCCACTCCCACTCTTATTCCCAAAAAGTCAAAGAAAAAAGTTTCTTTGTTCTAGCTTCAAAAACCACGAATTTCCATACAAACTTTCATTCCCCTTTTACACAATAAAAAGTAGCCTATGTCCTTTCTCAGGGTCTAGACTCTAGACCATCTGTATACCAAATTACATTCAAACCCGTTTATTAGTTTTGAGGTGAAAGAGTAACAGACAGACAGACAGAAAGACAGACAGAAAGTTACTTTCGCATTTATAATATTAGTAAGGATTTAGTTTATTATATATAGTTTATAGTGTTGCCTCTTTCACGCTAACAATTTGTTTACCTCTAGTTATGTGAAATAACTGCAAAGTAAACGAAAAAAGTGACGCAAGTGTTGTTTGCCCGCTATTGTTGTCAAACTTGCTCGTTCCTCATATAGTGGTTTGACCGAGGTCTCAGGAATATCTTGGTGCAGTGTAACGCGTTACGTCGAAAGACCATTTTATACATAAGACAAAGAAAATATATCTTAAGGATATAGTGTAACATAGGGAAGATCTTATTCGATGATGTGTAATGCTACTAAGTACTAATTTGTATAGAAAATAGTCTTAATAGATAACGTGTACTAAATATGTAAAATGTGAGAGTATTAAAAAATAGACTACTAAACGGGTCTTGCCATAGACAAAACATGAAGGGGCAAGATAGCGCTTTTTACCAAGCAACTCGTGTTCATAACGCTATCTTCGTTCAAAGGTCACATCGACGGGAAACTTGTAAACAATTCATAAAATGTTATACGATAAAACGAAATATCGATAGTTGACGACCGTATTGTTGCTCTACACTGGCTTGGCATCAATCATCTTCGTAGAATTGTTTTATTTTCATTGATTATTGCGTGCGTTGGTCTAGGTCCACTAAGTCTCTAGGATCCATCCTAATTTCGGGATATCTAAAATCGGTGTTGAGAGATACAGATACAGATTGCCGAATATTTATAATAAGGGGCAATAAATAAAATAACAGGGCAAAATTTGATTTAGATCATTTTATAACATTCTTTCATTCATATTTTGTGGACTAGCTACGCAACTGTCGAAACCTTCGTCTGCGAGAAATTGTTATTACTTGGGCATCCAAATTCGTTTGAACGGAAAGTCCGGGAGATAAGGGGGTAAAGAAAAAAAAACTCTTCAGCTTTATATAGTATAGATATAATAATTTATAATCTCAATTTAAAAAAGCAATCGCTTCCTTGGTGGTAAGATATGTTTTTATTAAATAGCTCACGCCAAGTTGTTTGTCATAAACTCTTCGGGGGGAATGGTATTTTTGGCCACCCAAATTCTTTTTGCAAACCCCTTCCTTCATCACGCCGTTATATTAGAATTCACTTAAAAATTTTATTGGCGATTGACATTTTATTTGATCGAAACGATGTCGCTTTGTCTGAGTTTATACTCCAGACAGAGATATGCTATTAGAAGTTTATAAAATATAATAATCAATAAATCAGCAAGCTAATTGTTGTAGTGCAACTTGCAGGTTCGATTACTGGCGAGTCCAATATGTTTGTAAATCACTAATTAAAAAATTGTCCAATTACTAAGTGGAAAAACCACCGTACACAGATAGAAAAGTAATACAGTGTACTCGCATTTCGGTTTAAGTCTGGTTTTTCCAGAGGCAAAAATAGGCCAGCAGCGCATCTGAATTAGATTGTAGAACGGCATCATGTTCTGATATGAGGAAAAAGAATTGCATCAAATGAAGACAGTTAATTTGCACTTACGTCAATGTTTTCATGTCACTTCCGGTCAATCAATCAAGTAATAATAGTTTGTATTTTTACATCTACACTAATACATAAAGCTGAAGATTTTGTTTGTTCGTATGTTTGAACGCGCTAATCTCAGGAACTACGGGTTCGAATGGAAAAAATATTTTCGTGTTAATCAGAGTATTTTTTTGAGAAGACTATAGACACTGTCTATAGTTTACGCGAGTAGTACACAATTATGCCTGCAGCGAGCGGGGGACCCGGGCCGAAGTTAAAAATCATTTTCAAATAAGTTCATCTATTAAATCGCGTTTTAAACCGTTAAAGTGTTTTATTTAAAAGACTATAGACTATAAAACATCAAGCTGTCACTAATTGGAGCGAAGAAACAGCGGAAAATGTGTAAGGATCGGGGAAAATTATTCATCTTTGTAGCTTTCCGATGCCTACCCTGAGAAAACGATTTAAGACACCCAAAAACATTAGGAAAAAATTTTTTTTTAAAATGACTTAAAAAAGTCGAAGACTATCTTTTAAAATTAACTTGCAAGTCGTGAGTAAAGCTATAATTTATAAAGAAGCGAACATTAAAATAATTACAACTGATGACCACAGAGGGCGACACTTCAGCTAAGTCGGTTGAACAATGTTTATCTGAATATAGAAAATTGAAAATTCTCTATGAGAGTGTGATTGAGTATGAAAGTGAAAGTTGGTAAGTTTAATATTAACTTCTTTAAGAAAATTTAAATTTCCCGCGAATCCCAAGACTTGACGTCACGGAAGAAAATGCGGTTTTAACGTGTAATTTAAATGTTAAGTTAGGCCTAAAAAGTTGTAATTTAAAAAACTGTACTAAATTGAATAAGTATATTTATTATTAATAATATAATAGTTATTAATAATATAATTAATAATAATAGGGGTAACTGAAGTAACATAAATCGTTGTTTCGTTAAAAAATACGTAAGTTGACATTGTTATAAAAAAACATCGCTTCAGACAAATGCATTAAAAAATTGCTTGCATTTCGCACATACAAAGTTAAACGAATCTTGTTATATTTATTATTCAATTCAAAAGTAAACCCGCGGACAGTAACTCGTACATTATCAAGCAATTCTTGTAAATTACTGAAATAATTAAGCAATTGGTATTTGACATAGTAATTGATCTCCATTCCAAGAGATGCATTTAATTCACGAGGTCGCGATTTCGAATCCCGAGAGACAAAACACTTTAAATACTGTCTGTAGTTGACGCGAGTAGTACACATTTAAATAAAACACTAACGTCTTAAAACGAAACGTCGGGCCGTAGTTAAAATAATGTCCAAATAAGTGTAACTAATAAACATCGCGTTTTAAACCATTAAAGTGTTTTAAAGATAAATAATTTAGTTCTAAAATTAGCTAGTTTCTTTTTAAAATTAAACATCTGAAATATTCTTTATGTTTTGTAGCTATCCCACTAGAGTTTACATCTTAACGCGCGCTAATAAAGCTGAAGAGTTTGTTGAAACGCGCTAATCTCAGGAATTACTGGTTCAAATTGAAAACATATTTCCGTGTTGGATAGAAAACTTACCCAGAAAGGCTTTAGGTATATAACATCACGTTGCAACCCATAGGAGCGACAAAAGATTGGAAAATGTGGAAAAAAAAACAGGGAAAATTAGTCAACTGTGAGGGCGTCCGTTACGTGAGCTGCGAAAGCAGTTCAAGAAACCAAGGAATATGTATAAAATGATGAAATATGAATGAGCCCTCAATTTGTAAGATTAACTTACAAGAACGACAAGGCGCGGACGATGTCGTGGGTAATAGCTAGTGCTTTTCCCCTGTGTATACCAAGTTTCGGATGTGCATAAAGAATATATTGGCCTGTGTCCCAAACCCCAGACCCACTGGAGAGAGCAAATCGACTATATAACGAGGTAAATAGGCTGTCTTGTATATAGTTTGCGCGAGTAGTATTTAATTACAACACTTTTAACGGTTTAAAACGCGGAATGTATTAGTGTATAACTTATATATGAATAAGTATTTAAGTGACTCTAATTTTGGTCTGCGTTTTAAACCGTTTAAAGAGCTTTATTTAAAAATACAGTGTAAGGGCTGTTTCACAATGTTTAACTTACACAAATAGTACCGCCGGTCCATTTGTTGGCCCCAACATAACACCGACCACTGTTTTTTGATCCCGGAACACGTGAACTGTGCTCTGCCACAACCAACGCACCCCTGGAGAACTGTATCCTCGCGAATCAAGATCTTGCCGTTACATGGCGATATTATCACTACTTTGTCGTCCTTCGGGAGCATAGGTGATGATGATGTGGTTTTCTCTAAACTATCGTGATCCATTTTGGACGTGCTGTCGCGACGGTAGCCGAGCCAAGACTGGGGTCAAATCTGCGTTATCAGTTGAACTGAGGTTATCGCGACATGGCAGACGATTTTATGGTGTGCTAAGACAATGATGTGACCTCGATTTCTTACATGCGCTAACTTAGCAATTGATATTGTTTGAAGTCATGAAAAAGTAACAGAGTGCACACCGTTTCGTTATGTTACGCGTTACGCCGCTACGAACGTCTTACTTCGTTGACGTCTTACTATTTTAATATTTAATAGGTCAATTTATCTTTCAATGTGTTCGGTAGAACAAAAGACGATTCTTATGTCTGGAATAACTCGGGAAGTAAAGGAAATACTTCCTTCAATAAACAAAACTACTTGTACTTTTGAAATAACGTTTCTTAATATACAAATGTCGTGTCTACACATTTTTCTAAGATCGAGGAGAAAAGAGAACCGTGTGGTCAATAAGGGAAGGTAAAATTTACTAACAACTAAACAAGATGTACTGTTTACCAACAACCCACAAAAAGAAACAAGAAAATTAAAAATAAATGTATATTTATTCATTTGGCATTGGGTATTCGGAAATCTACAGACTTTCGATCCACGGAGGCTCCGTGACCCAGATGGAATTCAAACAGTTATCTAGATTGTCTAGACGAAATCTAACATGAGGATAATGTAAATTGATTTCAGATATTTGTTCGTTCCGTTGAGAATCGAACCTACGTCCCGTTAATTATGAGATAAGCATTAATATTGAATATTTACTATTTATTAGATATCGGTGTATTGTCTTACCCTAAATTATTACACTATGCCCGTTCACGGGACACTGTTGTGCGTAGAGTTTGGCCTTTTTTAAGGCTAAACTTTTGTCCTATCGGAAGATTGATCTGTTCTATATAATTAAAACAAAAAAAAACTGTTTTTTTTACGAGATTACGTGTTCCTTAAATAAGTTTTTTATTCGACATTAGATGTGAAATGTATGTATTAATTACTTCCGCGGTATTGCGTTAAAAGCAAGGATTTTATTTATTTCATCGTATTAATTTAGATGGAGTTGTTCGAGATAAGTTGACGGGCGCATTGGTATAATAGTAGCCATGTATGGCCAGTAATTGACGAATAGCGGGTTCGATTTCCACCGGTTCCAACAGTCTTTTAATCAATTTATAATTTTTCTGTAGTTCTTCTGGAGATCTGCATATTAAATGGACGGTAATATCGAAATTCCGTCTGGGTCACGAACCACCATCCGCAGATGATAAAGCCGTAAAGTCTAATCGCGTTTCGGTTGCAGTCTGTGGATTCCCAAATATTCAAAGCCAAGATAGGTTGCGCGCGCATCTCATTTAGATGTGATATGGCTGGACTATCACCTACTATCATGTGAACCCCATGTTTGTCTATCCTGTTCTATCATAAAAAAATAACGATACAGGCTGGACTTGAATCATCATCCACAGCGTTCCGTGCTGCTCTAACTATTGCGCTACCGCGATTAAAACAGGGCGGTGGTAGTTAGTTAACTTACATACACCGTAGTTAAATTAAAATCTAAATTAAAAAATATTCCTTACTACATATATTATTTACAAACAGAATTTGGCAACTAATTATTGTATGTTTAGTCGTTCGTGTTTCTCCTGGTCAGGTGCAAGCTAAGTTAAAGATCGATTTTAGATTAAAACAAAATTACGATACGGAAAAGTTTGCTCAAAAAACCCTGTTCTACATAGACGTAGTCGCGGGCACAGCAAGAATAAAATAATTTTATCATGCGATTCATTTTCAATACTAGATGTCTAGTCTTATTCCAAATCTTTTTTAATTACGACCTTATATGTTTGCATTATAATCTTTTTGTCCGTTTGTTGATCCGTACTAAACATGCGGAGGAAACTGAACTCATTAAATGTACCAGGAGCGAACTCGAGTAGGAATCTGGTTCCGTATTGTGGACTAGGCAAACGGTGCAACTTTAATCTTTTTCTAGTTAACGTATTATTATGTCAATAATTTTACAATTTATTGATATGGACCAAAAATAAGCAAAAATGTTAGTTTTTTGTATAGTCGTTTATATTTACTTATTTTATTTTATTTTTATTTTTGTTTATTTGTAAATAACTAAACAATTGCTGCAGGGTGCCCTATACTTTTTTTATAAACCACTTTTAACAGTTTAAAACGAAAAATAAAGAGAATTTTTTCAATTTATAGGCGAAGTTATGGAGAGAAGGCCTGGTTAGGGGGGGGCCTGGAGATGGATGATCTCAAGTCATTCCAAATCTATGCCCTGTTTCGCAATTTGGAGGAACTACAAAAAAAAATGACGTATAAAAAATTTTTTTAAACCAGTTTAAGTGGAGTGGTAACATTTTTGTTATTGAGATAGCAGAACTATGTTATATGTGCAAATTTCTGCCCGTTTCTAAAGATGCGGCCTGGTGGACGGACAGGCGAACGACCAGACGGCGAAGGACCTCTTGGTACGGAATCCTAATAAAAGAAGATAAATTATAGATTTCCAATAGTTTACTGCGTACCACTGACGTTTGACCCTGTTATCAGTTAATACAATTTGTTTTTATGTTCTTTTCTCAGTTAAACTCTAATAATTATACCTACACTACATAAAATTGTAGTTCAAGCTGTACAAGTATATCACACATAACACATTAACGTCAGTAAAATAAGTCTCAACGGCCTCATTTCAGGCCACAAACGGACAATGGACTGGAAAAGTATATATTTTTATTTTATAAGATATGAAGATAAAACTGTATAATGTGTAACCACCATTGTTCTCAAAGATAATATATATAATTTTCTATTTTTAATTATTCTTTCAAATACCGTATATTATCTATTAATTCTAATTATCTATAGCTTAAGTAGATTTCGTTTCACGTTAAAGCCGTGAAAATTGTTTTGTTTTCATTTCTAAAGTAGGTTGTTCTTTTCTATTGAATTTAGTTGAGGTGAGAAGTAGTCATGTAAAATAAACAGTTTTAAGAACTTGGAGATTTTGACATCGAGTAGTGGGGGCGCCTGCCATCTTTCGTCCCTCAGTGCCCACGGCTGCAGACATGCGAAGCATTGCGTCTATTTTAAAAATACTGACAACAATTCACGTTTCAATCCGTCGAAATGATTTTAACATTTAAAGTTTGCTGTACCTAATTTATAGGATTCAGATATGGATCCCCTCCAGTGTAGGTAATCTCGTTAGTCTCGAATGTGTATTTCAATAAAATTTTGTCGATAAAATAATTGTCATGTTAATGATTGCTTGGTAAATATAAACTACGCAATTAGGTGCTAATATTAGCTGTAAGAAGCTGGCCTTGAATTGTAAACAACTTGATTTTAATTGATCTTTAAGGGACGTTATATTTTTCTGTTGAATTAAAAAAAAAACAAATAACTATTTTATGGTTATTCTCGAAAACTCAAAAGGAATCGTTTCCCTTTTCCTCGCAATTGGTTTTAATATCATAAAATTAATGATTTATTTATGTTTGTTGACCAGTTTGTTGAAGCGTTTGCTTGTAACCTTGAATATTTTTTTTACTTTTTACCTGTAATATTGAATTTGTTTTTATCTGCCTGTATATATATATATATATATTTATAACACATAGCACTTTAAGCTACAATTTTTATCAAATTGAATAGTCTGTTAAGTTCATGTCATGGATTATTTTTGTTGATTTATGTTGTGTTGTATTCGCGCTGCATACAAACGACGGATAGAGAGAAAATACCTTGTAATTTCCATATTTGTTATTTTATACATTACCTTATAGAAATGTTACGTAAATATATTTTAAAACTGTTTGGAATACATTAACTTATCCACAGATTGAGTCCAAGAAAACATTAGACAAGACGAATTTGCCTATTTTCATTTAGTGATTTTATTTACAGACAGGTTTCTCAGGAAATAAACTTGTATATCGTATTGTATAGGCAGTAAAAAATTAAATAAGTCTCTCTCAGTCAGTACACAGACAGACGGACCAGCTATTTAAGCTGTTACTACTCGCGTAAACTACGGACAGTATTTAATATTAGTATAGATTATCAGTTAGTAGGCCGACAGATAGATCGGCTGTCACATGTACATATTTTAGCCAGACCACGATATAATAACAATCTATGAACCGCGTCTTGTTTGCTTTACCCTCTATGTTTGGATCTCGCGGACCAATTTCGTAAAATTTCCTAGCGTCGATGTCTCGCAAATAAGAACACTTGACGTATGAGAGTCAACGTCCCACTTATTGACGTGTTCAATTGTCTCTTTCCTGTCATATTCCGGATTAAACAGTATGACGGATTCCCAGTAGCGTTTTTATTGCGTGGGTTTTACGTCAAAGACTTTTAAAAGTGTATGACAGAGGAGGACTAGCATTGGGTTTCACATGATGACCATTGATAGCACAGACAAATAAATAGCATCTAGACAAGATGTGTTATCGATTTATTCTGACTTTGGACATTCGGAAATACAGAGCGAAACTGAAATGATCCACTCTCAAGGCTCTGCCATCTCTGGACTAAGGTTGTGACTGGACGGAAGTTTAATATTAAAACCCATTTTATATCCAAATTTTGAAGCTGGATACTAACATATGTAGTAAAATAAGAAACTAGAAACACACTACGGTGGGCATCAAACCGACGGCCCTGAAACGTGGCTGTCGAAATTCTATAGTTTTTCTTATAACCCATTTTGGGGTTACGAATGGTGAACTGTTATTATTGGGCAGTATATAAATGAAAATCAATTAACAACAATAGAATTTATTAAACAACACTGAGTATTTAATAATAAAAGAATGTGCATATAAAACTAATATCACATACATTTTGGACTTTCACATTAAGATAATACTTTATTTATAATTACAGTAATACTTATCCGTAATATTATATTCTGGATAATCTCTCTCTTTTACATATTTTACAATAAAAACATAGCTAATTCAATACTTTCTAAAATTAAATGCAATGTGTAATATTGTGCTTTACATTGAAAAAATAACCTTTGAGATTCGTCAAGATTTGAGATCAAAGGTTCAAAACAATAGTAATACAACAACAATAATAATACTTCGTCAATATACTTCATTCGATCCTGTAATTCAACTAAATTGCAGGATCTGTTGGATCTCAATTATTAAAATAACTATTTTATTCTACAAGTAAATTGCACAGTCAGATAAAATATTAATGTGTATAGTCTAATATAAGTATAAATATTTATAGCTTCTCCTTATCTCGTCTATAAAGAAACAGATAGCGCTAGCGTAGAAGATTTGACTTTGACATTAGAGACACCCTCCATCTTTGTTCGACCACGGCTGCTGCAAAGCACCCGAAACGTCAGGTCGTAGTTACAGTATATTGACGTATATATGTATTTCGCGTTCTATACCGTTGATGGTGTTTTATTTAAATGTGTACTGTTCGCGTAAACTACCGATAGTATATAATTATATTTATCTGACTCTGCATATTATCGTCCTAGTAAAAAATCTTTATGGCGCGAAACTTTCGCTTCTTGTGGCCTTCAAAGTATTCTCTGTAATAAAGACTATACATATATCGACTATATCACGGCTATGGCTCATAGACAAGTTATTCAGCCTGTGGTTTTCAGACACTTTCAATCTGTTATCTGTGGCGAAGATGGCCGCTGCGCGACTGCGACGTGCGCGTCAAGTCCATCCGAAGCGCGGGATGTTCGCCTCATCCATGGGCCTTGGCGTTCTTAAAAGGAAAGAAGCAAAAAAGTAAAATAATGTTAAAAATCTTTTTAACATGATTTTGCAAAACATCGACGCTAGGAAATTTTTACTAAATTGGTCCGCGAGGTCCATACATAGAGGGTAAAGCAAACAAGACGCGATTCATAAATTGTTATTATTTCGTGGTCTGGCTAAAATATGTACATATAACTAGCTGATCTGCCTAATAACTGATAATCTATACTAATATTAAATACTGTATAAATGTATCGTTCTTTATTTTTATCTTATGAATATTCACTAAATCGTAACTCAACTAATTTGTATACTTCGGTAACTATTTAAACATTAAGTCATTGATAAGTATAGAATACAATCAGCTCGGAAACATATTTTGTTTGTAATGGTAAATAAAGTAAAATATATTCGTAATACTCGTGACCTATACTACTATAACAGTCCTAAGCATCGGGTTGTATTTACAATTTTACGTCATTATGTGTTCGTAATAAACGGTTGAAATTTCCTTTTTCTCACCAAGCACAGATTAGATAGCAATAGAATATATTATTATGTAGGTAATCTATAGCTAAAAATCAACGGGTCCTGGGTTCGATCTCCACAGGGTCAAATTTTTTTCTAATTAATTTATAATTTTTCTAAAACAAGTTTGGCTAGTAGTTTGGAAGTTTAGATATTACATGGGTGAAATAACGAATGTTCCGTTCGTATCACAAATCTTCGTCCACAGATAAGTTTATACGCGTTTAGTTTTCAGTCTGTGGATTTCCGAATATCCAAAGCTAAAATGGGTTCATAGCGCATCTTGTTTAGATGTTAGATGGTTCGGCTTTTTCACCATCGATTGAACCCCGTGCTTTCCTGTCCTCATCTATCAAGTCGTTAGAATCTATGATACTCAAAATTGGATATACCAGGATTGTTGTCACTTTTCTGGCTAATCAGCTGCCGGTATTCGGTACTGAGGCGCCGTCGTCCATGCTCGTACTTCGCCTCCTTGGCTAATAGGGCTTCGCGTTGTATCTGCGTCTTTAGTTCCGTTGGCACATCTGGTATGAAGAGTTGCATCAGCCCTGTCAGACCGAACACCACGTGCTGAAAATCAAAGCACATCTATATAATATACTAATATTGTAAAGCTGAAGAGTTTGTTTGTTAGAACGTGCTAATTAATATCAGGAACTACAGGTTGGAATTGAAACTATTTTTTCTTGTAGTGGTGAGAGCTTTTATCAGGGAGGTTTTATGCTATAAAACATTATTGTGGATCCGGACACGTAACGCCGTGCAGTTGCTTCAAGCAATTGCTCTACGACATATTAGCTCAATTAATAGCGCGAAACGCAGTGGATGCCCGTGAGCAAAAGGATTGTTCAGTTAAACTGAGCGTTGTTTGTTATTATGTTTGTTTGTACAACCGCCAAACCTTTCTCCTCATTCTTCCCTTTCCTTCCTTTCTTACATTACGCCTATTGATCTCACCTCGAAGACAACAACGAATGCAAGTCTAGCAGCGAAGACGTGCCAGTAATGTGGTGACAAGCCATAAGGGTCCGAGTGATCCGGTGGGTTTCTGTACCCCCTGTACGCACACGTTGGTGGGTCCACCTCGTTCTCGTCTGCCCCCCAATCTTCACGGTAGTCTGATGTATTGAATACTGAAAACAGTTGAAATGTGCGTTTCAGTATTACGTACAGAAGAGTGTAATTATACAGTTTGTCTGTCATTTCCTTGAAACAATAGGCTTATAATTTGTATGACATTTATACTAATGTTAAGGCTGAAGAGTTTGTTTGTTACAATCTTTTATCCATATTTTCAGGGTATCTGAGTCGTTTTGTACCTTCAAAACTGAAAAATACTCCCAATTTTCCACATTTCCCTCTGCTTTTCGTTTTAGTGTGGATTCGGCTATATTTTATAACCTAGTATAGCCTTCATCGATAGGTGTGATAAGATTAGTAGTTCCTGATAGAGCGTTCAAACAAACTCTTCACCTTACATATTAGTAGACGAAATCCAACATGTTTCAGAGAAACTATAAATTGATCAGAAAATGTCGATTAACAAAACATGTTGATTAATTTCCATACATTGCTACAATTAGACCAACGACGTATACCTATGTTCATTTAAATGTATATATACATTTAAATAAAACACTTTATCGGTTAAAACTTATTTGAAAATGATTTTTAACTTCGGCCGACGTTTGGATGTTTGCAGAGCATGGTCACGGGGAGACAATCATTTTCAAATAACTTTGTATCAGTCAAAGTTATGCGTTTTATTTAAATGTATATATGAATGTAAAAGTATACTGTTGTCAAAGAATTATGAAATAATAAATTTTTACTTACATGATAGCGAATGGTCGATATAACCAGAGAGTGTATGGTCAGGAGAATATACATATTTATAGACCATGCGCGGTATAAAATCGCTCGTGTACGCTATGACGAACGCCTGCAATATGTAGACATACATATAAGCTAGTTATAGTTTGAAAATCGATAATAAATTGAAAGAATTTACGACTCGGACAGGACTTGAACCGGCATCCACAGTTACGTGCTGTCGCTCTAACCAATTGAGTTATCGAGTCCTACGCGTCATAGTTGACTGTCTCAACCAACTGTTACGTGCGCCTCTCGCGCAGTATAATTATAGTTTTACAAATTAATTCAAAACTGGAGTCAAGAGTTCGATTCCTGGTCACGCAAACGCAGACCACTCAGCTGAAGGTAAACATCATATGCTTCGGAAAAGGTCCGTAGTGCAAATTGTATCGTCGAGTCGCATCGTGTTTATGTAAGATTAGTTTTGTAAGCGCGATGTTTCCTTCGTCAAAACAATACAAAAACAGTTTTTAATTCCCATCAGTAGTTACTGAAATCAACGCATTCAAACAAACAAACCAAAAAAATATACAAACAAACTCTTCAACTTTTTAGATAGATATTCCAGTGAAAGTAAGTTTAAAGATCCCCAATTATTCGGGGATATAGTGAGGGGCGAAGAATTAGATTACGTTTACATAAAAAGGTGTCATGGCTCTATACTTACATTAGAAACAACAGCCGCGTAAGTTATTCCCCTCAATATTCCGTACCTGTGATAAATATTTGAGTTTTAAAACATTACTGTACACGTCATTTTATATTCGTTAAACGTCTGTCCCAGCATTGCTTTAAGCACGAGAGACTTTGAATCCCCAGGAAACGATATATTATTTCGGTCGAGTCACACAATCTGATCAAATACTTGTCTGTAGTTAAAAAAACACTTTTAATGGTATAAAACGCGAAATGTATTAGTAAACTTATTTTAAATACTGTTTAAAATAAGATACGTCACTTCGAATGCTATGCAGCAGCCGTGGTAACGGTGGGGACACTTCCCGTTTCCCTAGTGGTAGTTCCCCTATGTGCTTATAAATGTACCAAATCCTATGCAATCTTTACTCAAATCCTAGAACGGTTGCTTGAAAGACGTAACTATATACGACATAATATAAGACATATTTCAACTGTTTATTCTTTTTCCCTTAATATTTTCTTTTAGTATAAAAATATGTTATTTAATTTATTTATAACGTGCCAATAAAAAAAATAAAACTACCGTCTGACAGCACTAAGCGTTTTCATAAACGCTTCACTTACCAAGCGCCAATGTCTTCCACCCTCTCCGCTAGAGGTCGCCTCGCCTGGGTGACCATTTTGTACGCATCCAGCCTAATTTCGGCAATGTTGTTGAGAAGGGCGAACAGTGGCGCCAGGGGAAACGCCGCGACGAATAAAGTTACAAATCCGTACTGAAGAACTGAAACGTAACACGGAAAGACTTTTAAATAAATTAAATAAAAGATACATTGTAAAAAAGTAATAACTATACCTACAGTCTGTGGTTTAAATAAAACACTTGCATTGCAGTGTGTACTGTGGCTACTTATAAGGGATTTAAAACATCGGGGCATAGTTTAAATAAAAGCAAAAACGAAATATTACAATATGCGGTAAGGCCTACGTTTCGGATGCTTTGCAGCAGCCGTGGAAGACAAAGATGGCGGATGTCTCCTAGACGTTGGGAATACAAAGTAAAAACTCTGATTTACTAACTCCTGGTCTTGAATTCCGTCGTATAATTTAAGTTATATTAGCACTACCGAAGTTATTGGAAAATGCATACTAAAATAATCTAATTAAAAAAAATAAATAAAAAAAAAAAAAAATTGGGGGGAGAAAAAAAAAATTTTAAAAAAAAAAAAAAAAAAAAATTTTTTAACCCCGGCCCCCGGGGGGGGGGTTGGGGGGGGGGGGGGGGGAGAAAAGGGGGGGGGGGTCTCCGGCGGAGGAAAAAAAAACTGGGGCGGGGGCCGCGCTTTTCCGGGGAGTTTTTATTTGGCCCACAGTGGCAGTAACGGTTTTAAAAAGTACTTACTCATTTCTAAATACTCGTCGAAAAGCGCCAATCTCCCAGGGTCCTGGAGGTGGTAGTCTTGCTCCCAAGCCATGTGAGGTTTGCTGGGGTCCCTCGTCACTGCTCTGTGAGACCTTTGACGCCACCAGTTGTGAAGCTTTCTGGGAAAAAAAGACAATCAGGAAAATAAGTTTTATGTTTGAAGACTTTCACACGTGGACCATAATTTGAAAAACGAAAAAATTACAGAGAGTGCGTGTATCAACAGGTTGAAATTGAGATGATGTAGGACTGTACTCAATGTGTAGAGAAACTAGTAGTAACACTTTACTGTAATTAGTATAACTTATGGTTTAGCGCTAATTTTATTTCCTAGGTACATGTGAGTTTCTTTCTTTTTAATTTGTAAATGTGTTTCCTTATAACTTTAATCTCATTATTTCTGGTTGTCACTCTAAGTGACGCCCATGGGACCGAAATTCGGTACTGTTCCTGCAGCAACTCTGTGATGTCCTTCAATTGTATAATATTGTAAATGGACTTTGGTGTCGAGTAAATTAACTGATTTTGAATTGTGTACCAATTTAATGTTTCTTACGGGTATCCCAATTCGACGAAGTTATTGAAGCACTGCTTTCCGATCATGATGATGGCCAACTGTATGCACAGTTCCGACAGACACCCGGCTGGATCACAAATGTCCCCTTTCAGCTTGAAGAACTCTGACTTTCTCGCTTGGTCGTCTCCGGGGTAGTCGTAAAACCGACCCTAGAAAGGGACAAAAACAGCTATACCTTCAGTCGCTCGCCTCGCCTGTAAGAAGGCACGAAGTCCAGTCAACCAGCCAAATTAGATTAGCTTGCAATATTTTCCATAAAATAAAAAATTGGTAAGGATGTTCAGAAAAAAATATTTTTATGATATTCACCATCAATAAAAAAATGCATATAGGGACTTCAATCATCAATTCTTAGCTCAAAGATAAATTTGACTGGACTAATGAAACATATATACGCCAACGTTACATAGACCATCAGGCCGACATGGCCCACGATTCTTTCGTAGCATGTCGGTATCCCAACAGTGGGAACTACCCAAAGTTGATAAACTACTTCTCCCAAATTGTACGTACCTTGAAGAACGCGATGTAGATAAGGGACGAATAGAAATTGATGAATTCAAAGAAGAAAATCTTGAAGGTATAAGAATCCTCGTACTCCGTTTGTGTCCGCGGGTTTTCTATGTTCGTTAGGTAGACGGCTATTTTGGCATATATCTGAAATGCAAATTTGAAATAAATTGGAAAATAATTTTTGTGTTAGTTAGAGCATTTATCGAGGATGCCTATAAGCCGCCCTGTGACTAATACAAACGAAGGTACAGCGGGAAATGTGAACAAAGCGGGGGGGGAATTTTTCATCTCTGTGGGTTTCGGATGTGTACGCTGCGAAACGGTTCAAGATACCCTAAAAATATGTAGGAAAGAATTTCATTAAATGACCTAAAAAAAGTCTGCGACGCTATGTCTATATTTTAAGATTACCTAGAAACGCGAACCGAGAGATGGCCGCGAGCGATGGGACGCGACCGATGTTGTGTGCAGTTTAAATTTATAACTACGCGGACGAAGTCGCTGACACAGCTAGTTTTTAATATAATTAAACGTTTTATGGAATAATAATTTAGTAAGCGGCTTATATCTTAAATGGTTTTCCTTCCGCTGAAAATTATTTAAAAATCCATAGGTCAATAAACTTCAAAGTGTTTAATTCAAAATTGCAATACGCTAGATGCTTGAATAAATCACAATTAAAATAACAAAATATAAGTTAGGATAATGCCAGTATACAATCAAATAATACGAACGAAAAATCAAGACTAACTAATACTTTGTATCGGACAATAATCTTATATACTTAAATAAAACATTTTATCGGTTTATAACGTCTCCCCGTGACCAGGGCCGCTGCAAAGCATCCAAAATGTCGGGCGTAGTTAAAATAATTTTTAAATAAGTTTAACTGATAAATACCGCGTTATAACCGTCAAAGTGTTTTATTTAAATGCGTACTCTGCAAGCCCTCGTGAGAATCATGATGATGAACAAGTTGATCAACGCAGCAGTCATCGCGGTGAAGATTTTCGCGTGCTTCTTGAGGAAGAAGCCGCTACCGCCATAGATCACGGATACCATTGATATCCTGTAAATTATTGTGCCCAGAACTGCGCCCATGACGACTGTTATCTGGGGAAAAATTACAACAAAGTTATCTATTACGATAAATGTCTGGTGTATTGAAATGGGAGTTCACAAATGGGTATAGTCTATACAAATAAATAAAATTGGAGTGTCTGTTTGTAACATTAAAATTACCTTTTTACTAAATAAATATGGTTATACAAGTACACATACCAAAACAACTGTCTGTATGTTTGTTTGTTCCGGCTAATCTCGGAAACGGCTAGACCGATTTTCACGGAACTTTCACGACAGATAGCTGATGTAATATGGAGTAACATAGGCCACTTTTATTTTCGGCCAAGTGCGAGTCGGACTCGCGTACGAAGAATTCTCAGAAACTGATGCATCTATTTTCACGGGACTTTCACTGACTGATAGCTGATGTAACAAGGAGTAACATAGGTTACTAACTACACGTAAAGTTGATGATTTTTTATTCCCGCGGCTACCAGGTGCCCTGAGTGTGTATCATAATATTATAAATTCGAAAGTAACTCTGTCTGCCTGTCCGGCTTTAACTTCGAAACTGCTGAACTGATTTGAGTGGGGTTAGAGTAGGAGTGATGTGAGGTGAGAGTGTTGCGGCAAAGTAGCACTTACAACATAGATTGGCTGCCCTAAAGGCCCAGCCCTTAATAAATAAAAATCTACCACAAGTCACTATTTCACGCGGACGAAATCGCGGGCACAACTAAATTACAAAAAAAACAAACAACAAAATTAAAATTAAACTAATATTACAAAGCTAAATATTTGTTTCTTTTTTTGTTTGTTTAACCGCGTTAATCTGGGGAAACACAATTTTTTGTCATCTCGAACCAGTAGAATTGTTTTTTTTTTGTATTATTGAGATCATTTATCGAGAAAGGCTTTAAGCTATTAACATCAGGCTTTAACTAAAAACAAGGAAAATGGCTTCCGTCGCGTGTGATACAAAAACGGTTTAAGAAATCTTTGTATGAAAGAATTGTTCCTTTAAATAATCTAAAAATATGTCCGCGACATTATATGTCCATCTTTTAAGATTAACTGGCAAGAGCGTCAGGACGCGAGCGACGTGAATAACACATCTTAAATTCATAAAGATGAGAAGGACGTTTGCAAAAATAAATTTGGATGCCCAAAAGAATTACTCTACGCGGACAAAGTTGTTGACAGAGTAAGTAGTAAAGAATATTCGTATTGTGTTCTAGAATAAAAACGAAGAATAGAAAGTGAACAGGTAAATTGACAGCCGTAATTAAACTGCTTCTTACCATAAACAATACAGCAGAGCTTGTGGCGACATATCTCATCGTCTTCTGCCAAGGTGGCAGAAATGGCTCCTTTTCCCTCGTCACTGGGTTTGTGCGGAATGTCTTCACTGATGTTTCAAACTCGGGTCGGATATCTTCATCCTAAAACGTAGTAACGAGAAGGATTTCAGCGGCCTCGTTGGTCTAGCTGAAAGCTGATGATCAGTGGGTCGGGAGTTCGAACCCCACCGGGACCAACATGTTTATAATTATTTGATTTTTTTTGGGTTGGGGGGGGAAGGGGGGAAAAAAGGGGGTTTTTCCCCCTCCCCCCCCCCCCCCCACCCCCCCCCCCAAAAAAAAAAGGGGGGGGGGGGGGGGGGGGAGGGTTTTTAAAAAGGGGCAAAAACCCCTTGGGGGGGGGTTTTTTTGGGGGGGGGGTTTTCCCCCCCCCCCAAAGGGGGCCCCAGGTTTTTCCCCCCTTATCATAAAAAAAGGTTTTTTTCGATTTTGATTTTTTAATGCGTTTTCTAATGAGAGAACCTAACCAGACCTTGCATTTAGTACCAACCTGGTCGACGCCACCCAAATCCCATTCCCATCGCAAAACTGACTGCTTCCTTTTCCATAATTCGAGGAATGTTGTCGCTGAAAAGATAAACATAACACATACAAACGAAAAGCATGATAAAAATATATTGTGTAGAGAAATAATACCATCTATAGATTAAGTTATTTCTGTATGCGAGTACCATTTATATACAACACTTTAACAGTATAAAACACAGAATGTATTTGTTTAATTCCCTTTTAACTACATTTCGAAAGGTGACATATATTTTGCATTTTAAGCCGTTAAAAACTACTTAAAAACAGTATGTTTCTTAAAAAAAAAACTACTTATTACAGGATTCAACTTACCCCAAAACGACATGAATATAGCAAAGAAGACGGTGGCTGGGTTGTCGAAGAGGTAACTTAGTTTGGCGAAAAGGCAAGAATCTGATAGATTCTGATACTGGCAAGCTTTATCGCAAAGCGGGCATAGGGTCGTGTTGCCTGGTCCTTTGGTGTCACATATTTCTTTACTACAAGCACAAAGCATATTCAACATTATGATAACAACACATTTTTCCGGACTTCCAAACTAGGACCAAGATTAACATTGCAAGTTATAGTATTGTCGAGAAGCTAGCGTACAGGGAAGAGAACTTTATGCTAAGATCATAAAGCAAAAGACTATGGCGGATAGTGCTTGATTTTCATTAATTTTCAATAATTATTTAAGCCAAAAAGCACAAGACATTGAACATCAATACGCAAGAACTAAGGTTGAAATTACATTGCGCAAGCGCATCTATCAATAGGTTGAAGAAATTCTGGACATTTTTCATTCATTTTATTCTTAGTACATTACCTAGGTATATTGTCTCCGGAATCCATGCTAGCCAGTCCGTACAGGAAGCACAATGTACCAACTATGGCTGGCGCGTACAGCATCTTCGTGTAGAAGCCCAGCCAGCAAAAATATAACGCTATCTTTTCACCAAAATACCTCCGAACCAACCACAAGGGTTGTTTCTTGTACCACTTGCAGGGTCTTGCCCATTCCAAGTAAAGGAGCTGGAAGAAATACAGGTCCAACGAGATCGTTGGTGCAATGGCTAATTGGATCGTGGGTTCCATTTACAACGGGTCTCAGAGGGTTTTAAAATTATTTTTTAGATTTTCTGTAACATGTTAGACTTTGCCCTTCAAATCTGATTATTACATGGGTGATAGGAATTTCGAAATTCGAATCAATGGACACATATTCAAAGCCAAAAAAAGGTCGACAACACATCTTGCTTAGATGGTATATGGCAGAGGTTCTTCACCTTCCATAAAGTCAACCTTGTTGATTTTCTATCCTCTCCTATCGTAAAAAAGTACCTAAACTGACTAAATAAACTTAATATCTTCTATTTTTATCATTTATTTCTCTCAAAAAACGTTGTTGAAGTGTTCGTTTGTCTCGCTACACCTCGGCTGAACATTATCGTAAACTAATGTCAGTTGTAAAATTGAACTCCAGACATGATATTTTCAACGGTGGGAAAATGTCAATGGTCGTAAGTTCGAATCTTAACCGTAGAACGGTTTTTACTTATTTTTTCTTTATGTAAGCTATCATGTGTATTAATATGATCACTATAATGATTACATGTACTTACCCGTCTGTCAGTCTGTGTTTTATCGAGATTATCCGCGTTGTACCTCCCTTCATGTAATGGGAAACAGGCTAAATATGTTCCATCGTTAAGCAACCGTCTTATACCCATCTGAAAATCCATGTCTTCTATCAAATCTCGGATTCGGGCTGAACTGAACCGGCATCGTCATCGTCGTTCCCTGCTGTTGCTCTAACCAATTAAGCTATCGAGTCCTACACCTCATCGCCGATAGATAGGCCAGAAGGTAAAAAATCTGCTTTCCTCTTTCAGTCCTTCTGAACGAAAACCCAAAAGGTCGACAGCATATTAGTTTAGATGTAAAATGGCTGGCTTTCACCCTCCATCAAGTGACCCCTACTTGTCCTCCTTTATCATAAAAAATATATTCGTACCTTTGTCTCATTGTTATCATACCGAGCTCTAAGCAATATCTGCATCACCAGCAAACTCCTTTGAGCTGGTGAGAACTGTGTGTGTCTGTCCTTTACTAGGAACCTGTAACCATTATGTTTCTTCTATAGTTTACGCGGTTACTAAACATTTGATAAATGATTTCGGTTTAAAACGTGAACTATATCATTTAAGCAATATGTCTGACGTTGTGAATTCTTTACAGCAAATGCGCGGGTTTGAATACCGTCAGATGAAATATCAGTTCGGTATTATAAACGAAATAAAATTCGACATATGTTAGTAATGTTAGCTTCAAAGCCATTGGGCTGTAGTTAAAATTAATTGAACAATGATATAGGTCGACTTTTGAGCCGTTAAAAATGTTTAGTTTACAATACCAGACAATATCTAGTTCGGTATTTTTCAATTTTTAGCACAATAGTACAGTAGTTAGGAAATGAACGTTACACTTGTTAATTCTAAGCTTGCCTTGCTAAGTATATCAACAAATTTGACGTTCATAAGTGTACGTAAGTATGTAAGTGTATAGTTATCGACGTGAATAAAAAATCTTTCAATTCAACTTTGCCTTTTTTAACACTCATTTACTTTGACCTTAAAGTAAATAATGCAAAATAAAACCAACTGTTCTTCTCTTCTTACGCCTGGTCGTTCTGTGGCTGTGAAGAAAGAGGGGTCAGACTCGATTCTGCTGTGTTCGTATTCATATAACTGCTTCCATTTTCGACGCCATTTTGAATAAAACTTCTTGTCATTCTCTGCTAACTTCTCTTCACTCTATAAAAACAACGAATTAGTTTAGTTTTTATGTGATTGTGCGCAATGACTGACGGAATGTAAAATTTTGCTTAACATTGATATTTATTTTTAAATCTAAAAATAATAACCTTTTAATAATGTGTTTTTTATTTAAACTTAAAACTAGTATTTACAATCTATTATAAGACTCCCCTTTTTCAATTCCATTCCTTCAGAACACTTTATAAATCTATCGAAAACTCTTTCGCACATAATCTCTCTATAAATATCGCGTTTTAACCGTTAGTGTTAAATTGACTACTCGCGTAGTCTGACCTCGTATAAAAAACCTGTAAGTATTGTGTTTGCCCCATGCCCCAAATGGGGAAACTGGGATTACTTTAATTAACTTTTTTATCGCAACTTACCCAAGCCCTAACAGAGATTGTAATAAATCGTTTTGTGGGTAGTTTCATGCCAATAACTTCAGCGAGTCTCATCTCTGTTTTCCAAGGAATGTGGATCTTTAGGAACCAAGTTTTGCCATCGAAAGACAAGCATTTGTTCTCCAGTTCTAATTCCAGGCCTTCTTTGATGAGGTTTTCCTGGAAAAAAATATTTATTAATTTAAGTTTAAAGTATTATACAAACAAATAAGATATTTCTTACTATATATTTAAATCATTTATAAGGTTTAAAACACAGAATAAACAACTTAAGCAAAAAATAATTCTTATTCTAAATTATTATAATTTTATAATACCTTATGTATGGACAACGCCCGTACAAATTGACAGTATATTTATTATAATATTATTTTATAGCATAGCTGGCATAAATCTAAAGTCAACGTTGTGCTCATTCAAGTGTTTATATTAAAAAGCAAATATTACGAGGTTAGCTTAGTGAGCATCTTACTTTCCCACTTATTGAAAATTTTTTTATAGCGATATTATTAGGAAATAAATAAGTAGCACTACAGCACTCATTGGGTTTGGTTACCTCGCCTCGCTTTTAAACTTTATCTTAACATTTTTCATTCATATACATTCAGGTATACTTTCCAAACCGTTATACACAACAGCTACGCAAAACGCTTAAACTTCAACACTTCACCTTAGTCTAAACAATGGTACCTGGAAAGTCCTCCTATGTTCTCGTTTCCTTGCCTCAGCCTCAGTCATAACCCCAAAATCTTCCTCCTCATAAGCTAAAACCATGTCTATTCTTCTTCTTCCATCTCGAAACATTAGAGAATCTGGATCAAGGCCCTTAAAAAATTAAGTATTGTCTGTAGTTTATGCTATCGTAAATATTTCAGTAAAACACTTATAATCGCTTAATATTAAGGCTTTGCAGCATTCGAGACGTCGGGCCGCAGTTGAAATAAGTTAGCTAATATATTCCTCGTTTGAAACCGTTAAAAAGGTTTTATTAAAATAAGTCTTACTTTTCCCGGAAGAGAAGAAAGAAAGAAAAAAGATAAATATTGCTAAGTTTTGTTACTTCGTTAAGCTAAGTGCTGCCTAGCATTGCGTAAACAGTGTGACGTCCTGGGTTCGACCATAAACAAATGTTTTGTTCGGGCAGTGGACACAGATATATCGAATGGCGAAGACTCACACTTTTAAATACCACCTCATATACTTACATCAAGGCTAGTTTCCCCCACGTTTTCCTCTTTTTCATTTGGATAATTTGGCAGTGGCGGTTCATCCCTCTGATAATCTGCACCTTTGCTTTCTGATGTAGACTGGAACGAATAAAAATCATCTTTAGTGATTTCTTAAGCTGCAAAGCATAAATTGAACCGCAATTCTTAAGTGTTAAGGTTAAAAATAGACTAAAATGTACGAGATCAACCTGTTTCAATGAATTGAATAAATTCAATGATGACATGTAGGAAGCGATAGCTCAATTGAATGGAACATGGATGGCCGGTTCGAGTCCCGTCCGCGTCAAACATTTTTTAATTCAGATATGATATAAAGCACAGAAGAACAGCACGGTTATTACGACCGGCTATAGATAAATAAAAGACTTGTAACAGTTTTTATGTGAAGGATCTGTTGCCTTTTCAAGAACGACCCGACGCGTAGTTTTGAGTTTTGTTTATTATACGCAATAAGGCAGTCTTAGCACTACCAGTTTAATATACATAATCAATTTAGTATTACTTTTACTATTAATTAGTATATTTGCACTTTAATTGTTTGTATTTATTATTTCTTTGGATTTGGGCTACGGGAAAAGCGCCATTTCTAACGATAGACCGTGTAAGGACGTCGAAAACGTGGTCATGGTAGCGGGAAAACTTTTTGGTGTTTACTTCGTCTATAGCATCTAAACAAGATGCGCTACCAATCTATTTTGGGTCTGGATATTTGGAAATCCGGAAACCGAAATGTGATTGAACTTCACGGCTTTTTCACTTGTAGACGGTGGTTCGTGACCCGGATGGAATACGATATTCCTACCCCCCATTTAATATCCAGATTTCCAGACGAAGTCCAACATGCTTCAGAATAATTATTAATTGATAAATTGGAAATACGTTGGACCCGTTGATTATTAGACATACAGTGCCACCATTAGGCCAACGTACCCGTCGTACGGATTCGGTTTTGAGGCGGCCTATGTCTAGTAGAGGATACCGAGCAGCTGAAATAAAACTCTTTATATACCTACCGTATGATTTGGCGGCGCTGCCTCCGGTAAAGCCGAATCTCTCAGTTTAGGTATGAAAGCGCTGGCCGCCGAAGTCACGTTTCTGACCAGTCTCCATCCACGACGTGGTTTCCCCTCTGTACTTCCTCTCGAATGGAGGTCTTCCCGGAGAGTGATCTGAACAGTATATAGGTTTTTTATAAGAACATACACAGTAAATAAAACACTCTAACGGTTTAAAACGCGATATATTAGTATGTGATAGTGATTAAAGTGTTTTATTTAAATGTGTACTACTTGCGTAAGCTATAGACAGGATTTAACATACATATAGCTTGGTTAGAGCAACAGCTCGGAACGCTTTGCCGGTTCAAGTCATGCTCGTGTCGTTTTTTTATTTTAATATAAAATCGATTTTTAAAGAACTAGATAATTACGATACCGACTACTTTATTTAAATAAAACTTGATAATGCTTAACGAAAGAATTTCATTTCTATAGATAAGCTTGGTTAGAAAACTGCACTATTTGCCATTAAAGATATATTTAATGTAAATAGCTGTATTTAGTAAACCTATTTACATACTCGTAAGTCATACATTTTTAATAATAGGCTGTATGTTAAAGAGACAATATTCGAATTGTAAGCAGCAAAGCATCCTAAACGTCGGGCCATAGTTAAATTAAATAAATTTCACGTTTTAAACCGTTAAGAATGTTTCCTTTAGATGTATACTTTTCGCGTGAACTAAGCGAGTAATAAATATCATCGTGGCTTGAAAAAGGAACCACTAAGGAGAGAAAAAAATATTCAAAGCAACATCAGAACAACCACAATTCCATATTGTTGGGTGCTCTACTGTGGTTAAAAGTTGATGTTTGTTGAAGTTTTTTAAATAATAAAGCATTACGCATAACGATAACTAGGCAAAGAAATTACTTATAAAACATACCTTCTTGTCACTCCGTTCAATAAATGGTACGCTCTAAACAAAGTGATAAGTAAGCATAAGTAATAGTTTTAATAAGGAATTTTATTGAATTATAAAACCATTACAAAGACTCAAAACATTGGACATTGGACATTGGACATTGGAATTGGACAATAGACAATGGACATTGGACATTGAACAATGGACAATGGACAGTGGACATGGTAAGCGAAGTTAAATTTCCCTAGAAGACACTGAGCTACCGCGTATTTCGGCGTTCATCGTGAGCTTTATGAACTCGTAAATTTATATATATAAACAGATTATAAGATGCACTTATGGTAATTGTTTCATAATTTTAATGTAATAATTTGATTAACCTGTGTTTTAAATTATATTTCACCCTGGGCACGGGGCGAACATATTTCTGTGTCCGATTCGCTTATCGATTTTTTACAAACCAGATAGTCATTTTTCTGGAATATATCTTACCTTATTAGCAGGACTCTCAATAATATTAGCTAGTGACGTTCCAAATGCCGAATCCGATACTAGGCTATCTGCAGACTTCCACTGACTGCGGGTGTGCAGCGGAGTCCCCGGGAGGGTTAAATCGTGACTACGGCGTCGCAATATCTGAAAAACAAATTTAATGTAAGGTCAATAAAATAAATAAATGATTAATAAATTTAACACCTTTTATTACTAAGTACGTTCCCGATCTGTCTGTAGTGTGTCTTCTATACCTATTATATATATGGCGAGTCATGGCATGGCCCACATTGCCCAGGCGGTATGCTGTCTCGTTTGTCATCGCCAAACAACCCGACGTAAAAAAAACAAGTTGTCAAAGTCTATCATGTAATGTCGACCTGTCAACCGTCAAAGCCATCACATCAAAGTAGCCAAGTCATCGCGGTTAGTGCATGTTTCCGTAAATCCTTTATAAGCGTTAATAACTATCCGAGCGATTTGGAGAAGCTTGATGGCTGGCTTTTAAACATTTTATATAAACAATACTATGTCTTACGTACGACCTATATATAACAAGCTGTTTCAATCTATTATCAACACTGTTCTCCTCTTAAAACGGTTTTAAACGCTAACGCCCATTACGCTGCTCCAGTGGGATTGGTGGGTTTTAACGACTACCGCCATTAAATTTGTAAACTGTTTTTATTTGTCATAAAAAAATAATAACAGGATATCTAATAGATTCTAATAAGATCTTGATGTTTTTCTTTATCTAATCTAATAATTTCTTTAATAAAATGACAAAGTACACTACCTGTTCATCGGCAGCATCAGAAACACTTAACTCAGTTCTGGTAGTGGACGTGGAGCTGGCCAAATCATTCCAGGCATTCGTATTTGTGATATAAGCTGTTGGTGGTTCTGAGCTGGTACCATCTGCAATCGTATCGTTGTAATGTAGCTATTTTAATAACACTTGTAATTAAATGCTGTCTAAGTTTACGCGAGTCGTACACATTTAAATAAAACAACGGTTTAAAACGCGATATATTGGTTAAACTTGTTTGAAAATGATTTTCAACTTCGACCCGACGTTTCGGATGCTTTGCAGCAGCCGTGGTCACGGGGAGTCTAATAAGTTTAACTAATACATATATCGCGTTTTAAACCGTTAAAGTGTTTTATTTTAAACACTTGTAATTATTTTTTTTTTTACAATTTGTGTCAATTACTTTGTCGATAGCTTGCCAATGGCCTATTGATAGTTTGCGCGGGGTCTGTCGAAAGTTTGTGAATGACTAGTTGTCGTTGTATCACTGTCATTCAAAATATTCTTACCTTGTCTTAGCCCCTCCTTTCTTGCCCTTCCACCATCATCGCTATTTCGTCTAGATGAGGTTTCACTCTGCGTCCCCTTGAGCTTTTCGCTTTCAAATGTTATTCTGTCCAATAAATTTGGCTCAACTCTGCCAACCACTTCACCAATACGGTCCGAAGCACGATTGTTCAGGCGGCTCACAGCATGTTTGATGGAAACAAAATTTCCATTTTCCATTATTCAATCTGAAAGACAAAATAAGTCTTTGCTAAACAAGATAATTCTGGAATTATGCTTAGATGTTAATCTAAGAATGGACTTGCAAAAATTACACAAAAACGTATTTGTGCGGAATGAAGACAAACACATTGTCGGCTTCACTCGTGAAGATCATTAAAGTACTGATCTGACTGTGCCGTGGCAACAGACACTACTTTATTCGTGTGGGATTCGAACTTAGGTTCTGTTGTGGTTAACGCATTCTTAGGCAACCGCTTACCGTTACCGAATAGTTATTTTATATAAAGACGTTCTAAAAGTTAGTCCCTTGCCGTCGACTTCAAGATAATTCTAAAATATAGAAAAATCACTCGTGGACTTTAACCGGCACGTCAGCGTTCCGTGCTGTTGCTCTCCAATTGAGCTACCGAGTCCGCTGGACGCTGACGATGCCGGTTCAAGTCCTGCCCGAGTCGATTTTTTTTTTTCAATTTATTTTCGATTTTTAAATTATATAGTGCTTTCATGTGCAATAACATGTAAACAATATTTAAATGTTTTCAACTCGCGGAAACTATAGACAGTATTTAATATTAATGGATCGTGGGCTTTTTTTAATAATTTAAATTCATACTCTCTTCATATTTTTGGGCATCTTGCAGCGTACGCCTCGGAAACCCATAATGATGAATAATTTTCCCAATTTTTGACACATTTCCCGCTGTATCTTCGCTCCTATTAGTTATATGACGATGTTTTATAGACTATAGCCTTCCTCGATAAATGCTCTAACCAACACAAACAGAATTTCAATTCGAACCCGTATTTCCTGAGATTAGCGGGTCAAACAAACAAACAAACTTTTATTAGTATGGAAGTATAGATATATCGTTTATTTAACTTTTTCATAACAGAGATTCACAGAAAAATGCTTTATTTTATTCGATATAAGGTGAAAACGATCTAATTAGAATACTCTATCGACCTATTTATGTTGTCATAGCCCTGTTCCGGATTATTTTAGTTACTATCTGGCAACCTTATTTATTTAGTGGGAACGATGGTAATCAAATCCACGGCCATTAACCAACGAGCCTGTCAAGTCAAATAACTCCATTTAATAATGGATGATACAAAATAGACAGAAATTGATGACATTACTGGATTACGATCAATTTGAAAGTGCCCAATAATGTCATGTGTGGCGTACAGTTTTATTGACGAGCATGACCCAATCAATATTCTCACAATTTGTTCTATTTTTAGACGAAGGCTTCAATAATTATTACGTGGGTTGAATTTTATAGGGCACTAGGTTTGGTCCGCAACTTCTTCTATGCTTACGAGTAACCTAACAAAAAGTTTTTTCAAAAACTCCTTCTGCCAAACGAAATCCAAGTGACGGCAATCTTTTCTCTTCGTTTCATATAGGAAAGTAAGAATAGTCTCAAATAACAAAGAGATTATTTTCAATTCTAAGCTTTATATCTAAATAGATATTACGTTTTAAGAGATAATTTAAGTAAACGAATGACTACGATATTATACAATTTATTAATTTAAAATTAAAAGCTTACAACAAATAATACACTATTGCATAAACATTTTAAAGGATATAAATAATAAAATTAACTAAAATCGTGAAAGGGGGCAGACCAGGATGGGGTTCTAGATGAAAGGTGAAGTAGGTACCCTACCTATATACCTAATATCTAAACAAGACGCGCTGTCAACCTATTTTCAATTTTGAAGAAACTTCGATAATTCTACCTTCTACTACCTACTTTTTAATTTAAAAAAAATATATATCGAACCCACGGCCCCTAGTAGCATTGTAGCATGAGACCAAAAAGCATAAAAATGTCAAGTAACAAGTGTGCTTTCATAATATATGTTAATGCTATTTTAAAAATGGAATAGGTTTAAACGGAACGACGACAAGTAGTCCGACTAAGTGATACTTAAATGGAAAAAATCAATATAACATTAAACATTTACACGCCGTGTGGCATTTCACATCGTATGGTCCGTTCTCATGACTTTATTGGTAACGCTTTTCTTATAGATAGTTGTGGTGTTAATAATTAAAAACGCCTTACTTAAAAAAATTCCACGTTGAAGTGTACGACATGGTAGCTCGGTTAGAGCAGCAGCATGCTGTGGATTCCGATTCAAGCTCCGCCAGTGTCATCAATATTATTCAATTTAAATAGAGTAGTATTGTTTTGCGTATATTTCGAAGTTTGTCCCGCGTCTCGTAATAAACTGCCATAAACTGGGCCCCCTGAGTCACAGATATGATCGCACAAACAGACAAACTATGTTTTGATACATTGAAATTTTCAATTTGTAAAAAAATCCTGTTTCCGCCCGTTCTGTGTGTTCGTTTCACTGGTTTATTAATTTATTAGTGTCTGTATCAAGTGGTTTAACAGCTTTCAATGCCCTGTCCATCTAAAACTATTTGTTGTATGAAGCTAGGTAAAAGTGTGTAAAACATCCCTACATAAGTTTATTGGCTCTTAAGTCGCATCTACAACGAGCTTATGTTTTCGCAGGTATTATAGAAAATAATATTACACAATCCACTACGTTTTATTAGTCCTACCAACTTATTGAAATAACAACAACATAAATAAAACACGGGATAACTAAAGTTGGACTACGACTAGTCTCTCCGTGACCATGACTGCTGCAAAGAATCCGAAACCTCGGGCCGTAGTTTTAAAGTAAAAAAATTAACGAATATATACTGCGTTTTAAATCGTTAAAGTGATTTATTTAAATGTGTACTACTCGCGTAAACTACAGACAGAATTCTTACTAACACACTAAGCTCTGCTCCGTAGACTCCGTAGACGTATTGTGTTAAACATAGTTGTATGCATCCGATAGGAAATTGCCTATAAGTGCTATCAAATGTAAGCCATGTTTAAAGTTAAATTAGGGTTGGTTTGATGTACATAATCGCGGTTGACTGATAACATCGCGTGTTGGATAATTGACGTTCCTATACATCCAACTTATCGCTTCGCCACGTTGGTGAAGAACGGCTACGTGAAGGGCGAATCCATGTTCGTGCGACGTTTCGCTGGTTTGTCTGTGATAGTAGCAATGTATGGCTAATAACAAACGGGCCGTGGGTACGATCTCTAGCGTGTTTCTCATCAATTTCTGAATCATGTTGGATTTTGTCTGGAAATCTGGATATTGAATGGGTAATAGGGACACTGAATTCCTTACGGGTCACAAATCACCATCCACTGATAAAAAACCGTAAAATTTACGCCGTAAAAAACAAACGTTCGCGCGAAAGTTATTAATGCTGTTGTTTTGCCAGTGTGGTATGTTTATGTTATGATAGAGGACGGACATGCATGGGTTCACTTAATGGTAAGCGAAATAGCCCAGCTAATACATACACAAGAATGATATGTTCGACTTATTTTGCTTTGGATAATCGGAAAACCACAGACTGAAACTTAAGGATAAACGTCACGGCTTTTCCACCTGTGGACCCGAACCCAGAATTTCGGTATTCCTATCGCCCATTTAATATCCGGATTCCCAGGTGAAGTCCAATATGTTTTGGAAAAATTATAAATTTATTAGGAATGTGTTGAACCCGGTGGGGATCGAATGCACGACTCGTTGATTATAAGCCATACATTGCTACCATTAGGCCAACGAGCACATTGTACATTGCTGTACGTTTGTTTTAGTCGTTATGTTTTTCGTTTTTTGACGAGTATATCAGCCATGGCGTTAGACCGTGGTCTCCTATAAGCGCGTTAATCAAGAGTAAAGCTTACAATTTGATCTTTCGGGTCGAAGTGAATTTGTCCTGTAAAATATATGACATTTACACCTACTTGTAACGAGATGCATAAGTTAAAAAATCAATTTACGACACGGACAGGACTGGAACCGGCATCCATATATTGTATTTTAAATTCAATACTTTCTATTGGCCTTTAAACATATATTAATATAGAAATCAATAATATATAGGTATTAAATATTACAACTAAAATAGGTTTCAACTTTCGGAAGACCATTAAATTTCATCAAAGTGAGTCAAGCCATTTACAACATTCCCAAATTGTAAATCTCTTAAAAAAGAAAATGTAATTATTCTGTATATTCGAGAGTTCTTAGTTGGGGCGCGGAAAAAGGAAAACTGTTGATTTACAACGCGTAGATAAAGAAATCCGCACGGGTAACATCTGCTGTGTATTTCGCTGAATTCCTTTGAATTTAGCACTGGTTTTAATGGATTCCCTTTTAGAATGATTTATTGCAATACCCCGAAAATGTTGCAATGATTAAAGATTATAGTGGTCGTCACCCCTTTTATAGTTCCCACGGCTGGGATTTGTTTCATTGACAGCCTTACACGCCCGCTAAATGCGTTTTGATAAATGACACATCCCCCGTGACCACGGCTGCTGCCGTCCGAAATCATCCGAAATATCGGGCAGTAGTTAATATATTTTTCAAACAAGTTTAACTTGCGTTTTAAATTGTTAAAGTGTTGTTAAACGACACATGTTCCAATCCAGAATGTTCGGTGATAATATGTTTCTTGCACAACCGGGTTTTGAACTTACGAACAGCTCTGTGGTGACACCACTACATGCCTCTTAAGTTTTGATGACCATCTCCTTGTAATGTTATCTTGACCTAAAAAGTCAGTTTTCCTCCTTTTATGCATGAATACGTTATTCTTCGAAAAAATTGTTACGAAACAAACGAACGTGAATACAATGTACAGTCCTATTTCGGATTCTTTGCAGCAGCCGTGGTCGCGGGGGGACTAAAGATGGGTATCCCTAATGTCAAAACCGCTACGCTAGCGCCATCTGTGTCCTATCATTTATCGATATAACATTTTTTATCTTGCTTGATGCATCTTAAAGTAGCATTGGATTCTTATATAAACAAACTTCGTATATATAAACAAAACTATTATCCGTACGCGAGTAGTACACATTGAAATAAAGTGCTTTAACGGTTTA